GGAATGGGGCGCAGGGCGGGTCTTCGGGTAGAGGCGACGCTCGATGGGGTTACTGTCTGGATGGTGGTTCGGAGAAGGATGTGCAAATAAGAACCCGCCAATTGAGAGGTTTCAGTGGGCGGCAGCAACAGACGCCAGAGAGAAAGAACAGTCGGCTTGCCAACGGGTGAGTCTCTTCCGATGATTGGACCAGGGCAAGAGGCAAAGGAAACAGGGCGGATAAACCTAGCAAGGAGCCGGACAAGGGAAAACTCACCCGTCCAAAGCAACGATAACCACTATCAGAGAAGTATAGTGCAAGGGAGCGGCGAGGCATTCAGTTAAATCCATCAAATCGGTTAGTCAAAGCTCCGGGTGCATCGTGCGCCTATTCCTCCTCTCTAGGATGATAAACGGTCTTGCACTCGTCTTTCATCTCCTCCGATCAAAGGTCAGCTTAGCCGATCAATCACGTAAATTACCCCGAGAATTTAATTCACCTTCCTTGCGCAACCTTGATGAGGTGACTTGTGGTCGCCAGTTAGCCAAGGAAATTGGAAAAAGAAAGGACCCTAAGGAGGAGGATGGACCGGGGGTGGTGATGGTGGTGGGAGTGGTGGGTTGGTTGCGTCGCTGGACACGCCTTTCGCCCTGCTTCCTGGCCGCGGCATTGGCGCCTAAGCCAAAATTGGAGGGCCCATGGATGACTTGAGCGAGAGCGAAGCACCACAAAGGCGGCGTATCCGGCAAGCCCTGTTAATTCTGCCGTATATGTGCGGCGTAATTGCACGCACGTCGTCACCAAAGAGGTGGCTTCCCCCACCAGACGGCCGCTAAATGCAGAGGGATAGAGAGACACACAGGACAACCGAGTCCGTCTAGGCTTAGAGAGGGAATAATATGGAGATGGGTCAGAGTTGAATGCCCCAGAAACATATCCCAGTCAACGACCGTCCAGTGGGCCATGTCCCGCTCGGCTTGACCTGCGCTGGCTCTGTGCTAACCGAGGCCGCGCTGGAGACGCGGGAGGCGAGACCGGCGATAGGAGGGCAACCCGTAGCAGACCTGGAGGGGGGAGGTCTTGTTACGGGTGCGAGGGTAGTGGGTAGGGGAGAAATTTTAGTTATACTTTAGTGCCATTGCCTTCGAGCTGCCCTGCGCTCACGGCCGATGTGGAGGGGTCAAATGAGGACAAGCTACGCTTTCCATGCCCATCTTGCGAATATGAGCCGCTCGTCGTGGTCTTCTTCACAATCCTCGTGGGCCCCATCTCCTTATGCGTCACAAACGATAACATTGAGACAATAGAGATCACTGGTAATCTTCGATACTCAGGGCCTTCTTGTGCACCCTAGGCGCCAAAAAGAACTTCGAACGGTCCCTCAACGCCAGTGGCCTACCGAAAGTAGTGTTGCACAACAGAGCAATGATGATCAGCATTGGCCCTTGTGTCCTTGCTGTCATTCTCAGATGATGTTCGACTTTTATCCGCATCTCAATCAGCAGGGATTGGCATATGACGAAGATCAGCTCGACCCATCCGACCGTGGCCATTTTGCACTTCAATTTCCCTCTTGCCAATGATTTCAAATGCTCATCCCGACAGGGGCAGGTGGGGAGATGATCATCGCTGTTCGGAGCAGCGCCCCTGGAATTTTGTCCGGAGGTCTTGTGCGGCTGGGATAAGAGCTCCACAGAGCGCTTATTCGCTCTATGATTGTCAGACTTTGTCCAGGCACTACTCAGCGCGGCATAGCATGGACATCACCCCGCCCCTTTCCCATTTCCTTGTCCAAGGACACCCAGTGCAGAGAAACCCGAGCCTAAAGGGGACGTCAAATCATGCAAGCGCTGATAGTGTCGCAAAGTGTCTAGGGTAATGGTAGTTGAGAAGCCCCCTGCGGTCGGACATGCATGTCACATCCCGGGCCAGATCCCGGAGCGTTGGCGGGTCACAATCAGTAGCTTGAAGGTAATACTGTGGTCCTGCTCGTGCCCAGGGCCGCCTCTCGCGTGGGCGACCAAGGCCCATCTATCCACTCCAAGCTGGGCGAAGCGAAAAGAGAGATTGACCTGCATGAATCTTCAACCGTAGCAAAGTAAAATCGAGTGTTTGATATGCACATCTGAATTTTGTTACGACTTTTTGATTACTATAAGAACTGTCAGCAATACCTACGAGGTGTCATTGGAAAAAGTTCCCTGAAATCGCTGCTGCAAGCTGACATGTGGCCGTGGAGGGTATATTTCCCACTCTCCTGCCACCCTCCATGAGGCGAAAAAGCCTCCCGTGATTTGCAGAGGACTTTAACCCCATTTATAATGATTGAACCAATCACATACCAGGCCTTAACGAAAAAAAAAAAATATCTAACACAGTCGAACAGTTATTTCAGAGCAAAGGTAGATTTCAACGGTCACTACAAATAGTTTGCTGGACAAACAAGCTTCATATCTGATCGAGAAGTAATCTCATTCAATACATTGTCAACATAAACGTTTTGAAAAGAGGTAAAAGAAAAAGAAAAAAGAAATAAACGACAACGTTCCAGCGAATTTAGTCTATACTTTCCTCTTCTTTGCAAAATTCTCAGCGCCACTTCGTCTAGATAAAACGGGTTGGAATCAGCGGACGCTGGGTAGAAAGGTCAGGTTGCCCCTCGTTCGCGGCTAACCTGACTGCCTCAAGCGCTAATTGGATAAATCTAACGCGACACAAACCCCTACTGCCTGTTCTTCGGAAATTGTATTAATCTTTTCTAATGCGATGTACGAGAATGAATTCGAGAGTAAACAAAACATAATATTATAATATATATATTCAACAAAAAAAAAAAGAGAATTTTTCACAAATTTTTTAAATTTTTTTCATTTGCCTTTCCTGTTCATGGCGGCAGCGAATAAAGGACAAAGTGATTCTGCCGCAGACGAGGGGAGACCTCATCGGACCGTTGGAGCGCCTCGGGTAGCAGGTTCGTATCGCGATTGCGGCGGGTGCGAGTCCGGAAAACGCGCTCAAAGTCGGCAAAGGCAGCGACGAAGCGAAGGGGGTAGACAACAGAACGAGACGAGTATCAAGCAGAACGGAGGGATGTGGCCGTGGCGCCCTGGCGCGGACGCGAAAGCGTGCGCGGCGTCCTCGACAGCCAAATGATCATCGGGTTTAGCGTCAGACCACACAAGGGATGCACTCAATGACGCCGAGATCATGGTCCAGATCGAGTGCGGCCCGCTCTTCGAGGGCATATCTGCCATGTGTGCATTTGGGTATCAACGGTCTCTAAAGTACAGCCTAAGCCAGCCAACCAGAAATGTTCCCCACTCTGAGCACACGGAGCAATTCGACACTACTTCCATACTTGTCCATTTCGCGTGACTGGTTCCCATGCAAGCAAGGTCCAGGGAACAGGGTAGGAAGAAAAGGGCAAAGCGAAAAGAGAATGTGCACGATGCTTGTCAATCTCTTATTATTGCTTTCTCTATCGAATGCATTGTGACCAAAAATCTCTCCATGCTTGCTCAATTCACCACCTTCATTTGCAACTGTCCAGTACCGCATTTTGTCCTTTATGGGGGGAGGGGGATGGGGGAAGGGTGAAAAGGCCTGCTTGGATGGGCGGTGACGGGCCGTCCGCTCACCGGTGACCCTAGGCGCCGGCCCGCGCCCATTGGAAAAATGTCATGGGCATCCCGCCCGTTCATTAACACCCTTTGGTGACAATTGCTCCAAGGCTAAGTGGCACCAAGAGTATCAGATACACCGAATTGGCTCTCGAGGAAATTTTCAATTTCGTGACTCTCCGATGGCACCGTCTCATGATTGGCTGGTGGGCATAACAGCGTCCCATCAATATGGGTCTTCCGTCGTTCCTGGCCAATTTCACCTTATTCTCGCCAAGTTGTTAAGTCTTGCATCTCATGTTATCTTTTGTTGATCAATGACAGAACGACGACCGATGAACGAGCATAGGAAGGCTTGATTTTATCTTCTCAGCCTAGCAAGGCGTCTTTAACTACTGATAGGTAAGCTTAAAGCTACCTTCTCAATAGTGTTTACCGACACATTCTTTTCCAATTCAGTCTACGGAATACATACGAGTGTTTCTGACTCTGCTTGCTTTCTATCGCCAATCGTGGCGGAAAAATCCGAAGAAGAAAATCAAATGAGCGCAGTGGCCCCGTCCATATTCTTTGAAAAGACAAATGCGTCATGTGCTTAGAAGCGGCTGCAGCCTGCGATGCATGGCATCCTTGCTGAATCCCCAGATATGCGTAAGTAGGGCCCCGAGACAAGCCGCAGCTGGAAAGAAGTGCGCCGCTGCTATAGAAGAGATTGCAAGGTGCTGCCAAACGGTGGACAACCAGAGAAGGACCTTGACGATCTTATTCTCAAGAATGGTGCGAGACTAAGTGAGGGACTGGCCCCATTACCAAAGCTCAGGTAAATTTTGCCGATATTGAGCACCTATCCTCCGACATGCAGCCGCGGGCACGAAATGGTTTCGTCGGTTGCTCCACTTGTCCTGCTCCCGAGCTCAAAGCACGGCACCACATCCTTTAGCCTTCTCTGACCAAATGCTTCTATCCGCCGCCTACAAGCGCAGCCCAGCCGATCTTAATCGACTAAGGTCCTTGGGGAAGGCAAACTGCCATATCTGGCGTCGCCTGGTAGAGTACAATCGAATCTTTCCGGCCGGCTCCTGCTTACTACGTACGTTCCAGCTCATCGATTGCCCCCGATGACCGATGAGTGCTCGCGCGCAGCACATGAGCGACCACGCTGGACAGAACAGGGAACGGAGCTGGCCTGAAAAAGGATCGCACGCCGAACCGGCCACCCTCCGTCATGGTGACTATAACGGCTATCACCAAAGAAACGTGCGTGCCAAAGGGCAGCGCAGTTTGTTCCTGCACCCTCATTCTTTGTCAGAACGATATTCGCCTTTGATGATGAGCTCGTCGGGATGCTGCATCCCTTTGGGGTGGAGATTCTCGCACCCTATGGGCTCCTATTGCTCAGGACATTTTGCGAACCCTGGTCCACTTAGTGTGCTTGCTGCAGCCGTCACATATGTAACACTGAACGCTTGCATTTTTATTTGATTCTTCGTTGGACTGGACATGCGCACGCCCATTGGCTGCGCTAATTTCATCGGTCCTGTACTCCTCTGGTTTCTCATCCCCTTTCACCTGCGCGTCTCGCACTGCGCTGGACTCGGTAGGGGGAGGCCTGCCCGAGCGCCCCCTTCGTGCCTGCCGACGTGCTTACCGCTTGGCCGCCCTCCCCATCCCCCCTCGCGGCATTTTATCGCTCATCAGTCGCGGGCGGCTGGCCCCTGCCCGCGGGCGATGGGTCAGGAAGGGTGTGGCGACGACCCCCCATCATGCCTCGTTTCGATTACGAGGGCGTCTCGCGCAAATCCTCTCTTGCCTTTCGCGCGGACTTTAGCGGGGTCCATTGGCTTCCGATCAGCATACCTGCGCTCTTACGGAGTACACTATTTCCTAACTTTGACAGGGGCATGTGAAGCTTTGAACTCTCGAGAGGACCTGCCCTTTTTCTCCACCCCTTGACGCACGCTATTCTCACTCGCTGAACGCAATAGTCCGTCCTTAGCTGCGTCGGAATATTACTTGAACTCATCACGTACTTTGTTCAGTCCACATCAATTGCCACTTGCTATGACTGACACGGGCGGCAATTTGAATCAAGGGGAGTGCATCAGAATATGGTAGCGTAGCCCCTTCGATGGGTGCTCAACACAGGCGCGATCTTCCTATCGAAGCAATGTGTGACGATCATCGGGCTTGTCCTCCGAACGGTACTTGGCATTATCAAGAAATTCAATACCAGGACGCCATGACGGTGCCATGTAGGATGCCATCGACCTGACATGGGGTGATTTGATTTACCTACACACATCCAACATACAACTAGTCTCGAGCCATAGGATGCGACTGGAGAATGTTCAAGCATCCGCCTGGTTTCTGTCATGTTCATGTAAACTTATTGCCCAGCATTGTCTCAATCTAGAACGAAATTTCCTACCATACGGAACTATACAATGACTACTAAATCCTTGCCGTCGACATCCTTTTCAAAGCTGGCGTGGTCAAGCAAAGGACTAAATCGATTGGAAAGTGGAGCTTTGGTAGTGAGCCATGAAGGAAATTGGAAACAGACCTCCTCGCCTAGACAGTGCCGGCAAAATGCTGACGGGCAAGACCTTTTGGTTGTTACGAGTCTGGTTGGAACGACTCGAAACTCGGACAGAATTGACTTTTGGATAAAGAATTTGAGCTAAGGTAGACCCACCAACTTGACCAGTTAACACCAATCTCCGATCATGCTTTCAGTTCACAGGGGGTACACTACTACAAGTCACCCCTCTGGACATTCTCCGGGTTTCTGTTGAGGGTGTTCCGCAGTCTGTTATTGGTAGTTATCGTATCCAGCTCCAGAACATCCTTCGGCCGCGATTGTTGTGGTATCGTGTATACCTGTCAATGATGATCGCGGATCTTGGTAAAATGGGTAGCACTGAAAGAAACAAGAAACTGTATGTTGGTCAAGAGCCTGAACGTAATTCTTCGTAACATTTGGCCGATTTCGTAGACTATCGTTCTCATGGAGAGCTTAAGATCAGTAAACTTACCTACGGTTTGCATCCCGCCCACATTCTTTGCTTTACATCACTTTGGAAGGTTGCGCAAATACTGTGAGGAAGTTTGAAGCTCTTGGCCAGCGCGATGAAGCTTTCTCCGTAGAGGAAATTGTCCCTTTTATTACAGCATTGACATTTCCCTTTTGTCTGATGCTATTACACAGATGCTGTCCACCATGGGCGGCAGCCGGTTCCTTCGTCTTCCTCAATAGCTTCTTACGCACTGGCCAGACTCAGGCTCATGCCCCCAGAATTAAGGCATTTTTGCTGGACGCCATAGGACATCTTTACTCTTCTGTACAGCGAGCTGCACTGATCAGTGTGTTGGTCAAGAAGAGCTTCTTGCCACTAAAATTTCTTATCCTCGTCGGGCAGTTTTTCTGACTTTGGAACCAACATCAAGCTCACGACGCAGTCTCCCTCCTCTGAGTCAATCCCGATGCAGAATTTTAGGGCCGTGGCATGGTGGTATCTGTAGGAGGCATTTAAGGCTCGTCGCTTTAAAGCTTGCAGGATGCTTCTCAAAATTCCACCTCTGAAACATTACGCCCATTTCTGCTTGGCAAACCAACAAACCCAGAGCCTTGTCGATGCGGCTCAGACGATTGCTCTTCTTCATAACTCCTCCATACTGAGAGACTGATAATCTCAAGTTAGCTACTAATCTCGCGCACTTTGCACCTTTATATGAATGTGACGTGGAGTTGTACTTGGATTGTTGGACCCAAAGAAATTCCATTTTCCACATGCAAACTCCGGGTGGTCTCTGGAAGTTCAATGCTAATAGATACAGACACAATACAGCCATGGATGGTTCTTGATGCGATCTCTAGGTGCTTTGCACCCAAATTTCAGAGTCTCGTTCGTCACAGCGATAGAAAGCCTTCTCCGTCTCAGCTCCTTGACTTTGACTGTTTCTCGATAGATCTACCAGGCTTCGAAAAGGAAGGAGTCGTCTTCACCTTCACATAAAACATCTCGGAAAGTTCATCGAGGGTCTGCATAATGGGCGAGGGATCTCAGGCATACAATGGTTGTAGGAGTACGCGGTCGTCGCTTTGCGAAACTTTGTATGAAGGCTTCGTGTCCAAATTTCCCTTTCCGCCCAATTAAACCCGCGCCTGCCGTTGGATCTCAGCATATGGCCTTTACGTCTCACGAAGCAAATGGGTTACTGGCTGAAGCTAGGTTCATTGCTTGCCTCTACTTGCGCTTTGTTGCACGACGAAAGTGGTCCCAAAATCCGAATCTTGGGTTCATGGACTCTGGAAAGACAAGAATCGGACGGACTTCAACGGAGGAATACTGATGCGGCACAATGCTCAAGTTGAATGCCTAAATCGCTTCTTCAACTCTCCTAGAGTCTTGGACGATTCGCGGACTCCCGGTAAGAGGCGTTATGTTTCTTGCTACCTCAGGTGTGTACATCCTCATCAAAAATGGATCGAATGGGAGGCTGATGAACTGACCACAATGTCGTGCAGAAACTGCCGATCTTATTTCGCATTCTCTTCCACGCCCAGCAAGCAGTTTGAAGGGTTTAGAATATTGGATTGGTGCTTCCCTTGACGGTGAAATTTTTTGGCTTTGGAGGACAATCAAATCGACTCAGTACGCCATGGCTCATTTCGTATACCTGGATTGCAGTTTTAGGATGCTTGATAATATTTATCTGACCATGGGTAACACATTGTGGATTTTCTCTTCTGCGCATTACTGCGAGGAGGAAAATGTCCCTTTCAACTTTTTTTATCTACTCAAAAAGCCCGAAGCTTCTTCGTATTTTATCACTCCTATAACGGCATATATATTGTTTCAACTACCATAATCATATTTCGCATTGCCAGTGCCTCGAAATTATGGCCTGGACTGCATCCAACCGAAGTATCATCACTTGACTCTAAAAGTCCATTGACGGTGGGAGGCTGTATTTAGAAAGCTTCATCAAATATCTTCATCTCCAATTCATTTCTGCCAGAGCATACACTTTAATTGGCAGATTTGGTTGAACACACGACAACCTATAGCTGATATACCGGAAATGGATATGCCTCGCTATGGGAGTGTCGAAGCCTGAGATGAGCTTTATTCTTGACAGTAAGCCCATTCAATCTACTGACAATCCAACCACGTAAATTTTCAACAACATTAAGCGGTGAAGCAACTACGCAAGGGGGTTCACTTCAAGGGAGATATCTACCCGTCCCGTTCTCGGCATGGTTTTCAAGACATGCCATGCATCATTTATGTCTCAGTCGTTTCGGGCGAAAAAGAACCATTCCTGCCAGTGAACACCTGTGCCCCTGTTCGGCGTTCTGCTGGTCGGTCATTTCCTTCGGGAGGGTTGAATTGGGATGTACTTGGCAATTGCACCTTCCCTCTTTGCACAACAACGGAACTGGGTCCGCTTCGGGCCGAACTGCCTCGCTGCCGTGCCTTGCCGCAAGGGGCGAGGCAACAGGGCAATCAGGACAACAACGCAATATACATTTTTCCTCGAATCATCTTTTACCTTTTTCGGCTCAATCGGGCGTTCAAAACTTTTGCTTTGATATCCTTCTAATCACACCTGAATGCTTTTTGTGAGGTGAAGATTGTGACCCTTGTGAAAAATGTTTCAACCGATTGATTCAAATGTGGACCAATGGCACACTGCGAAAGTGATGACGCGGTGGCCGTTGGTGGAGAAAGAATCGTACTAGGATAGGGAGAATTGACGAAACTTGACTGAAAATTTCTGGTCGCCGTTTTCTTGGCATTGAATTCATTTGGCTTAGGCGTAAGTTTGGAAGAGAATTGCCAAAGAATGGCGAGAAGAGATTGGGATATGGCAAGGGCAAGGTATGAAATCCTATGGAATATTTGTCCCAGATGGCTGGAGCATTATCGTACGAGCGCAGGACATGACACACTGATTTGAACGTGCTAGCCTACTGTATCTGTCACTTTTCCGGTTTCCGGGACCCACGATTATGCCAGGATGTGTGGATGATCTCGGATATACTGTGGTAGATATGGTCATTGAATAAAGGAATATGCTTGCACCGTACTTCAATACACAAGTTCAACCAAAGCTAATGAATCGACGGCATCCAAACGATATCACAAGACTACCGTCTTGTGAACCATGGTTCATTCCATATACCCTGGAAAGACCATGGATATTCGAACAAATACAAAGGCTAAGTTAGCTACAGTATTTAGAGCGAATACTCCCAACTAAATGATTTACTAAAATGGGCGAGCTGCGGAACAAACGCTATACGCTTTTGTATAGTACTTCCCGAGACTCGGACAATTGCATCATGAGAAAGACTTGTTGAACAACCAACGCTCGGAACTAATACTCTAGACTTGTCGAACGGGATCTTCAACTCGATTTTTGATACTTCAGGCAGACCCTTCGTATCCAACGGCGTAGTTACGTAGTAGAACGCCACAAGTATTCCTCCAGTTACTTGTACGTAACATGCTCTACCTCCCTGCAGCCTTGATTCTTAAGTCAGCCGGTACTAGTTAACCAAGCATTACGGCCCCTAGACTGAATAAAACCTCTTAGGAAGGAATTGCTATGTCAGATGATTGCTCGTAAACAATTCACATTACATATTCGTCCGTGGTGTCTTGCTAGCATTCTCAAAGCAATGTGGAGCTCAACGAGTACGCTACGGAAGACTCTAGTACAATTGCACTACCGTGAGACCTTGAGACTCTGCACGAACATGTGGGGCTTTGCTGGTATATTCATCTGCTACTTTGCCGCATTGCTACTTTGTTAGTTTTGCCGCAATATCCCTTTGTCACTTTGCCGCTTTGCCGCATTCCTTGGCCTCCCCGTCTCTTAGTACGAGAAAGACATTACTAGCTTTTGGTCGTGCTGTGTGCATAGTGCCCTGTGCAATTAACAAAAGTATTCGTCCCCCCTTTTTGCCTTAGCCCCAAAATGCCCCACTGCCCTCGGGGTATTATTGTTCTTTAGAGACCTTTGTATGTGATATAAGTATATCGTAATAGAGATTGACTGTGGACGGGCCAAGCGGCACGGTCAAAAGAATTGAGGAGAGAGTTTGAGGCTTGTAGAAGCCACTGTATCGAAGAAATAATCTTGCCTATGGGAAATTTTTACAGTGTGTGAATTGAATAGATTGGCATGAAATAGATTGAGGTAATAACCGTGATATAGTGATGTTATAATAGCTCGCTTTAAAATTCTGTACACATTTATGCTAGTTTACGGCCTGAATGAAGAGATTTTTGTCAACAAGAGCCTTCTAAAGCAGGCAAGACTGTATTCTCTGCATTCCAGCGCAGTATATTAGAATCTGGAAGAAAATGGACAAAATCTTCCTGCATGACACTATCATCTTCACCATTTCGGGTAGTTGTCAGCCTGTCGTATTATTGTGGCGCGCACTCTGTTTCTATTAGACATATATGGTTCGGCCGTGGAAATTTTTTGGACTTCACATGTCTTCATCTCTGCACGAGTAATTCAGCAAATAATAAATCTAGAATGATAAAGCAATGTAGACATTAAACGTCCATTCTCTCTGAAGGCCAAAGATTTTTGCTTCTTGGATAACTGCCGTGAAATCTTGCCAGTTGAATATAAGAAAAACATATCAAATCGAGGAATATAAGAAGCTCGAATCAATCTGCGAATCCAGGCTCCGGACCTACATTGCTTATTACCATGTCACCGGGACAATATTATATTAAGATAATTTCTTCTATTGACATTTTATTTTTATTGACCATTTTCCCGCCTTATTTCGAATTTATATATTCTGTACACTGCTTTACGGCCGGCATCGTAAATTCACATCCGCAGAGAAATGCCGTTGACTTGGGCTTCTTGGTTTTATTAGAGTATTTTCGGACAAAAAAGAGTGCTGGAAAGGCCAATTTTGCAATCCTACGATTCTAGCCGTCGAAAGGCTCTGGCACCGGACTGAATAACGGTCCTAAGGGAACATATTGACCAGTTGTAAATTGCCCAAACCACCGCCTCGACACTGACAGATGGTAGGCAAAAATATATCGGCAAGGCTCAAAGGTGAGACTCAAGAGTATGCGCCGGTCCGCGATTGTTCCGCGCGAGGGAAGAAGGATCCCGGAAGTCCACTTATTTGCGTAGCTCACAGCCGTCGTCGTTGAACTCTGGACTATGGAGTAAATGCTGCGTATGTCATTAGCCAGAAATAGAGAGATATCATGACACTCTCCGCCAAGGATCAGGAGAATAAATCAATCCAAGTTTGAAATATTGGCTGCCGGGCTTTCAGTCGCCGACGAGAAGCCCCAACATCATCAACGTCGGGGGTAAATCTCGAATGGTAGGACTGGATGGGAATATCTGTTTCGGAATCCAAATATCAGCAAAACGAAATTAGACAAGGAAACGCTGCATGGAGTTTTGGGCTCTAAATACTTTTTGGAATGTTGTTAGGCACCCGTCGCGAAGCTGCCCAACTTTTCCGCATGTTTATTGCTCAACATCCACACCACTGGCTGAAGAGAAAATTGGCCGGACGAACTGAATCCACTGCACTCCAGCTGAAGGGAGTCGCCGCGGACTCGAAATTTTTTTTTGTTATTGAATCATGTTCTGTCGGGTGAGACCATATTCATCTCGAGCGTGCAAGCGGAATAAGCGCAGTGAGCGCCGTGTATGCGATATGAAGGGCGTTTGGGGAGAATTGGGAAACTTGGTCGACAAAAGTCGTGCGTTCCCTAAGCGGGCGGTTCGTGTTCAGCCGCCTGTAGCGGACGCAGTTGGCGCCTGTGTTGTAGCTGTATAGGTAAAGCATTCGGCTGCCCTTTGGCGCCGCGAAGCGCTGAGCGCCAGCGCTGTTTGCCTTCCCTCTCGACAGAACCCCTTTCACAACAAAACGTGAATTACCTGCCTTATATTCTTCTCAAATCATTTATTGAAAAATTATTCATTCGACAATCAAAAATATAGAGCCATCAGGTATGGCGAGGGCGAACATCGAAAACACTACTGTGTGGCTGCCGTTAGGATGACTCGCTGCCGGTCAAAGCTTAGGACCTCCCTGAGCATTTTCTGTCAACCAGGCTGACCTGCACAAATCAGGCTTTAGTGATTTATTTAACATCTAGAAATGTGAGTAGATCTTCTGCTCTTTAGTGCTTTTCACAATGCTAACGAGCTTTTTTCTTGTTAGAATCAGTCATGGTCCTTGCGGACGGCTGCGAGTCCGATTGACAATAAGCCTCGAAGATTTCCAACTTCATCAAGAACGCCGGTCAGCATTGACACACTTTTTCAGAGATCAAATCAGGCGGTCTGATAGAACACGTCCTTTGTGAAGCGGGATGGAGTCCATTCCAAGTTCATGATCGAATGTGGATGCCTTGACGATTTTCCTGCTCTACGCCATGTTGTCCAAGTCCTACAAAAGAATCTCTACGCATAGATACCTTGTGCACTCTCCCTCGAAAAGAGCCCCTCGATCGACAAGATAATACTACTGAAAAACTTTGGCTTGGTGGTAAAAGACCTATCAGTACAATTCCGACGGCCTGTCAAATATTGTACCAGGGACAGTCTATTTGGACTGTACTCTGTATATCCGGAAGTTAGCCCGTTACAAATATCCGGACGCCCAAAACCCCTCAATAAACCTTCAAAAAGACGGGGGAAAAATTTATAGAAGTTTCTTATTTCTTATTTTTGAAGGGGCTTTGGTTTGGAACGCGGACACTTGAGTTCTATATGCAAAGCGGTGCTCGCTCGCACACATACCTTCCCCGGCTCAGAAAAATCACTATTGTTATCACGTTTTCCTGAGATGTCTCCTCCGGAGCCTGGCCAAATGCCAATAACACAATGATCATACCTCCGTACTGAAGCATGTAAAGGTCTAGAGAAGGAGATAATATTGAAACTGTCCATAGCGCGGCGTAGTTTCTAGATAGCCCTCTTATACAGCTGATTTTGCTACCAAGGCCCACATTATAAACATTACATTCACTTAAAACAAACACTTGAGCATTGCGAATTTGGACTGTATTGAGTTTCTGTTTCCACGGAAATACGTTTTACTAGTATTAAAATATTATACATAGAAATGATTCTTATCTAAACGGATTCATCTTTCCCCAAAGGTAGAAATGTGCGACGGCTAGGGCAGACTGGTTTCACTCTTGCTCTTATTACCCAGGTCTTCCAGAGCCACATTGGGATCTTCAGCAAGACGTCCTTCAGTTGTAGCGTCTGACAGAGGTGTCCCGTTACTATGCTCAGGATTCACATCTGATTGCACCGTAATCAATGGAGTGTCGGAATCATGACTCCCATCCACATGACCATCTTCATTCCGTGCACCATGCTCTGCATCCTCAAACGCATCCATCAAGCTCTTTCGATCTACGACCTTGCCTAGACCTTCAAGCGTCCAATTATCTACTTCCCACCCTTCCTGCTCCATTCGCTTCATTGCACTCACGACACCCTCAACGTCCTGCATCTGAGCGTACCCATTCACGAGCGAATTCCAAGTAACTTGATTCGCACACACTCCACGCTTGCTCATCATGCTAAGAACTTTTTCAGCAGCCGCGGGTTGACCGTGGCGGTGAAAGGCGTAGAGGAGAATGGACCAAGTCTGAACTGTAGGCTCCGCCCTGTGTCCAGTGCCAACTGGAGAGCCATGGTGTGAAGAAGACTGGGAAGAGTCCGTAGGCGGTCCAAGCATTTGCTCGATTACCATTGGACAGAGGTGAAGAGTTTCGGAGAACCTGCCAAGACCTTTGAGAAAACAATTTGCCGTGTGATCTGTCTCGGCGAGCTGTGAGATGAGAGGATGACCCTGATCGATAAGCTCACGGTACCGAGTAAAAAGTTGGGAAATAAGTTTGTGAGAGGGACAGCGCTCGAGAAAAGCTGTCAACATGATAGTGAGAGATTGAGGAGAAGCTTGCATTGGAGAGAAGCCTGCATCCTTTTGGGCTCCTGTCTCATAAATAGGTTCAATCTTTTCAGTGGCACTGTCGACGCTTTCTGGAGTTGAGCTTGGCTGAGAAGTTACAGGAGCGAGGCCGAGATCCACGAGAGGCTGAATATCAAAAAATGCTTTGAATGCAGAGAGAAGCGCCTGGAAAGCATCAGCCCGCGTGCGCTTTCGCTTTTTGTGAAAGGCATAAATGGCGCCAAGGAGTTCCGTGATGACATGTGGATTATTGAATAAAACACCGTCATTTCTCGCATTCGTGGCGATGCGGTTGATGACTTCGATATTGGCGCTGGCCTTGGCTTCCTTCATGAGAATAGAATATGTGAATTTGTCTGGTTTGACAGCATTCTTGAGTAGCAGGTCATGGACACGCCAGCCAGTCGCAGAGTCGCCAGCCTCAAACGCATTGAGCATGATGACATTGTAAACAACGAGATTGGGGCGCAGGCCAATTTCAAGAAGCTCTGCGAGGATCCGCGAACTTAGACTGTAACCATTGCCTTGCTCCGCACTCTTGCGTAGTAATGTGACAGAAACGCTGAGGACCTTATCCGACGACAAATCCGCTTCCTGCTGAGCGAGCAATTGAAGTGCTCGAGTAGCCCGCCCAAAGTGTGCCGTTCGTGAAAAGAAGGCGGCGAATTGTAGAAGAGTATTTTCATGTAGGGGTACTTTGGCTGTATTTAATGCGTCATATAGTGTGATTGCCTGCTTTTCCGTGCAACGTTGCAGAAGCCGATATATTGTCTGCTGATGCAGATCAGGCACAGGCGACGGGCCTCGATTTAAAAGCAAGCAAATGGCTCGGATGAGTTCATCAATAACTTTCTCTTCAATGGCATCCTTGCCTTGAAAATAATAGCTAATGATGTGATCAAGACTGTCGGCGACCGCATAGCCTGGCGGAAAAGGGGCCATATGCGTTGCTTCCAAGAAAACAAGGGCATACTCTGGAGAATGCTGCAATGACCATAGCATGATATGAGGCCAGCGTTGCCTGCGTGCAGAATCGCTCAATTCCCTCCACTCCTCTGACATGCCTTTTCGGTCAAATCCGCTGGCCAGTATGCCTTCCACCCAATGCTCCTTATTTCGGTGAAATTTCACCGGTCGGCGGAGTGCAGACGAAACATTGTGATGATCGTATTCGGAATTGATGGCCGAGAATGCACGAGTCCATTCCGTAGAAAGAGATTCGAGGATAGGCGGGTTGCTGAAATCTGACGTGGTGTACGTCGGCTTCAACGAAACATATCTTGGAGGTGTCTCAAATCTAGGGAGAGAAACGTAGTCCCGGCCTCGAAATGAAGCAGGCGGGTGTTCCTGTTCCCCGTCGGCACCCAGAAAGCCGTTATTTGGAAGTTGCGATCCAATCGGAGGCTCTTCAGAAAACGCCGCAACTGAAGAAGCCTCCACAGCGTTTCTCGACGCTGAAGTAGCCAAAGACCGTCTCGCCCCCCTCCATTGGCTATGGCTTCGCTCTAAAGGCTCGTGGCTTCGAAGAGAGGGTTCATTCTCCCTGATGCGGACTCGAGATCCATTGTTGCGTCGATGTGTAGCGAAATTGCGATACGATTCCTGATCAAGGTGCAATTGTCTGGCAAACCTAGGCGCTAGGAAAGGAAGAACCGGGAGATCAGCGCCAGAAAGGCGCCGAATACTACCAAAAGCACGGGATGGCATTAAGGCATATCTTTTTGAGTAAACTGGCGCCTCGAAATGATACCGGCGAAAAGTTGACCGAGATGTTTGAGGCGAGCGAGATGCGCGCGGCTGCGGCGAGGTGGTAGACTGGAAGCGCGGATACGCTACCAATTTAGGAAACTAGCCACAATATTCTTGCATCGCCAAACAAACTAAAGCCCCTCGGACCCATCCAAATCGAAGCGGTCACCTGCAAACCTCAGCTTGCTAGTCGCAATCCCCTTGCGAATCTTCTGCTGCTTCTAATCTTACCTGTTTCTTCACCACAAGAATCTCGCCATGTCCAGCCAGTCGTCATTAGATGCCGCCGCGAACGAGCGGAAGGCTCGTTTGGCCCAGTTGAAAACCCTCAAGAGGAAACAGGAAGACATACAAGAAGACAAGACGGAGCCAGCTGATTTGGCGGTCGAGGGAAAGCCAGCGGATGTTACAACAAAGTTTCTGTCGGGGCGTAATTATGACGCTGAAATGCGCGCCCCGAAACTAGGCTTTGAAATGGGCCCCAACGATAATCAAATCACTCTCGAAGACCAAGCCCGGGACATTGCTGAAGAAACTGCGAAAAAAGCCGAAGAGGAAGAGAAGGCGGATAAGCCAATCGATTTGTTCAGATTACAACCAAAAAAACCCAACTGGGATCTCAAGAGAGACCTAGACAGGAAGCTTGAGATTCTCAATGTCCGGACAGATAATGCTATTGCTCGATTGGTTCGGGAACGGATCCAGGGAGTCCAACCGACAGCCAATGGCCAGGGCGAAAAGAATGGAAATCATGGGCTGGAGGGAACCTCACTGGTCGAAGGAGTGCGTGTACGAGAAAGGGAGGAAGAAGAGGACCGGCGGTTAATGGAAGAGGAGGATCTAGCATAAAATAAGATCGGAGGGAAGTACGCATATTAGGAATTTGACATACGGACCGGGCAAATTAAGGCGTCTTGGTTACATAGGCGACGGGCCTGAGATGAACAATATCTTGGGTTCATTCATCTTTTGAAATTGCAAAGAGAAGTGGGCTGTGACAAGATACATTCACAAGCGGTGGTACGCTCCATGGAAAGCAACAAAAAAAATTCGAACCTCCGCACCAAACTCCAAGCAGAACACGGAGATGAAATCCAACCGCACATGCCGAACCATCCAAACAACAAAAAAAAACCCCCTATAACCTTAGCGGCCCATGTTCATGGCCTGAGTCAATGCTAAACGTCTGCTGTACGGGCTTAAGCTTCTCTCTCTAGGAGCAGGAGGGGGTTCCGGGCCACGTCTGTCCTGCGAAGAGAAGTCACCATCCCGATAGCTCCTGCCGTATCGATCGTGATTGCTCGAGTACCTCCGCTGCGCCCTTCGTCGAGATCTTTGCTCGCGCTCTCCTTCGGTGTCATATTCTTCCGGTGTCATGGTTCGCCGCGTGCGAGCGATCTTGCTGCGATCCATACTTCGGCTTCTGCTTCGCTTGTGATCAAAGTTGGCGGTGGGGCCCGATCGACTCCTTTGCCGTCCGCGCACAACAGGGCTTGTGGAGCTTCGGCGTCTTCTTGTGTTTCGACCACGGGCTTGGGCTGAGTCCCCTTTCTCAATAGAAGAGCCAGAGCGATATGAACCAGAGGACAATGATCTCCGTCTCTTATGACTGGCTTTCGTGCGAACGGGACTCACCGGCGACCTGCGACGACGGGAGCTGTGTCGGCCGTGATGATGTCTACTACTTTTCGGAGGGCTGGGCGAGCGGGATAGGGAGCGATTGGTAGATATAGTAGAAACGGAACTGGATGAGAAGGAAGATGCTGATCTCGAACGGCCTCGTCGGGAGTCAATGCTTTCTTCCCTTGCGCGTTTTCGACCTCTTTCTTCCTCCCGCTTCGCTAGCAGTTCATCGGCAACACCCTTCCTATATGGAAATTATGATTAGCCCCTGTATAAATTAATTTTTTTGTATAAAATGTTGCGTACTTTCTTAATAAATCATTCGGCACGTCACTTGTCAATTTCGGAAGCAGCTTTGGGTCTCGCAGCTGTTGTGTTCGAGAAGGCCGACTCAAGTATGGCCGTTCTTGGGATGGAGTTTTACACTCATAGCTGTAGTGTCGTGCTGTCTTTGTCAGTGAGGAGCGTGCCTAACGGTAAAGCTAGCACTTATCTCGTTGAAGACATTTTTGGCATAGAGTTGATGCCGTTGCTTTGGACGGATTGCCAAGTGTAGGCCCGCGATACCGGTTCATAGAGTCGATGCTTGGACCGAGCGCTGTAGAGTCTTTGATTTATTGCCAAAACAGCCTCCACGTGCAAAGGGGTGAACAGTGGCCCTTTCTGTACAGCCAAAATTTTAAGGTAAACGCGAAGACAGTCGCAATGGGCAAGCAAGTAAGCGTCGTCAGTTGTTTGGGAAACAGCAAGGGCTTGAGGTCACTCGCGCGGCTGAGATTCGACTTGATTCGATAATTTTGGATTAAGCGCTGGCGCGCACAATGACGGCCCTGCCCTTTGTACCAGTACAGTCGCTAGCCTAGTAAATTTGTATGTATTATAGGGTAACGGAACTACAACCACTCTCATCATAGCCGACACACTTTACATTTCAGCCTTTTCGTCGATGTTGGCCTAACGCTGCCACGCTCGACTTTGTCCGTCGGGACATTTTCGATTCTCCACCCTGCCACCGTTCCCTTTTGGCACAGCCTCTAGACGGCTCGTCACACGGACGATCCGGGGAATTGTCTTTTTATTCTCCAGAGGTTTTTATTCTTACCTCCGCTCCCTTCCGCGATTCCTCGCTGATTTCGCGTGCGACTGAGCGGACTGTCTACAGCCCGATTCTCTGCAACGACGATCCTCTTCGCATTGATTGTCGTCCAAGATCCAGCTCCTCGATTTCCTTCACCCGTTGCGGAGTCTTACTGTCCCTCTCCAACCATGCCGCAAGCTTCTTTTTCAATCCTTTTCGTTTGGTCTGAAACATCCGCTGTTTGACTTGGATTTGCGATTTACCTCCGTCCTTACATTCTTTCGTGGACATTCCCTTTAGCTCAGGGCACTTGGATTTTCGACTCGTCTACTGTACTCGTTAAACAAGCTGGACTTTGTGAAACCGAATAGCAAAATGGCTAGCTTGACAGATAATGCAAGCGGTGCGAAGCTGTCATTTGCACAGGTAAGAACTACTTGGATCTTCGCAAGATCCTTTCCACAATGTACTGACCTTACAACTCCAGATTACAGCTACCACTTCTGCAAATTCTTCGCCGCCTGATGTCAGCAAAAGCATGCCTGTCCCACCACATTCTCTGGCCCCCATGAATAGGCCCGCGGAGGTCTCGATACAGGCGAATCCTGATCGCTCCAAGAGGGTAAATCCGGATGATCTCGAGGGCGTCACCGAAGACCTTAATGCCGTTCAAATTAAGAGCCAATTTGATAGTGCGCATCCGAGAAATATCGAGAAGCCACATACTCCCATTGTATCCTCAGTCCAAGAGGACGATCAAATACATACTTCTGCGTCGGATGTCTCGACTAAGGCACCCAGTCTCGATGGCAAGAGCGTAGCTTCTGTGACGACGTTTGCTATGGACGAAAGAGAGTCACTTCGTCCGGACGACAGTGCCAGCGTGAAAGCCGCTGAAGATGACGAAACATATTCCGGCCTTGGCTCCGGTGCCAATGGTTCAAGGTTGGGTTCAGATAACGGTGGTCGGCCTTTCCGAGACCAATTTCATGAGATCTCCGAGCGCATGGGTCCCTCTCCCCATCGAGGAATAATTGCAGCCCGCTTCAATCTTCCCAACTTCCCGCCTGCAGGACCCCAGGCTCTAGCGACTCCTCCTTCCTCTAAGAGTGCTGCGGAGGGACAGTCTTTGCCCGGCCATGTGCCTCTGGAAGGCCCAGGTGCTGCTTACTTCTCAAAACAGGCCCCAGACGAGAAATTGCTGGAAGCTCTGGAATCACCAAAGGATCGTTTATTTCTTCTTCGTTTGGAGCAGGATGTCATATCCTTCGTAAAAGACTCAAAGTAAGCACCTCTCCGAGTAATATGGGCGGAGCAAATCGCTAATTAGAGAACTCGCGCCAGAGAACCCACGCTCGATTTACCCCCGTGCAATTCCTTCTACCGTCTTCTATCCCATAAACTTGCCGATTATTATTTCCTCACACATTTTGTGGATAATACGATTAGCGCTGTTCGGCTTTACAGAACGCCATTCTGTAGACTGTGAGCGAGTCTATTTATCCTTTATTTGTGGAAAGAAGCCAAGCTGACCTGAGTTGGAAGTCCTCCACCTTTGACTGGAATTTCTAACCCTCCAACTTCGACAAATACACCACCACCTAATACGCCACCCGTCAAAATAATGCGACGAGGGGAGGAAGACCCGAATAAGCTCAACTCTGCGGGAGACTCTGTGCAGAGCTCCAAAGACGCCTCAAAAGCTGTCTCGGAAGCTGGAGGCGCAAGTGGAACTGAAGGTTCCCCTGAAGGAACCAAGTCACCGGGTGGATCGATTCCCGCCAAAGATAAAGCATCAATGTCTCGTGAAGAGCGAGAAGCAAAATACAAAGAGGCACGGGATCGAATTTTCAAAGGCTTCGAAGGCTCTGAGAGCGGCGAAACGAGCAATGGCAGGGACGACTCAAAAGGTGTCTCTCGATCGAGTTCTGCAGCAGGTAAAAGAAAACCCAGGAAAGCAAGAGAGGCCGCGGACGATGGATTTGAGGCCAGATCGCAGTACAATGTGTATTATCCTTCCCCATATGGCATGTCGCCGTACCCTGGAAGCAACTCTCGAGGATCCTTTCAGCCACCCTTTGCGGTCTCTTCCCAGGCTCCCGTCAACCCAGCACAGGGAATAATGAGCCCCGCGTATGGTCAAACAACTCCCTCTGATGTTCAGTATCAAAACGCGAACCAGCAATCCTTTTCAGGACTGCCGGCCGCATCCTTCAATCAGAGTCTTCACCAGACACCTCCGATGGGCTATTCTCAACCGGTTGGTTCTCAGCGGCCACTTCTACCCCAAGCCTCGAACCCACAACAGTACCCAACGTTCAGTCCGCCATCAATCAACGCATTTCCATCAGGGGACCGGCCGCCATCCCACCACGGCCCACAACCATGGGGTCAATCATACTACCCCAGCGGATTTCAAGCGCAGTCACCTCAATTTTCGCCCCAAAGGCTACCCCACGAAACACCTCCTTTCCCGTCCGGCGCTCCTTCCGGTCCTTGGGGATTTGGACGCTATAATCCTGGACCATATGGTTCTGGATCTCAGCAAAACCCACAACAACCTCCGCTGCCGCACCATCCTATGCCTGGTAGCTACAACCGCGCGTCCTTTAATCCGCAGACACAGTCCTTCATTCCTGGAAACTCTTTTGCTCCAGGATCACCTGCTGGTATGGACGCTCGTCCATTTCCTGGGAACCCCAATTTCTCTCCCATGAACGTTTTGAGCAACCGCCAGGACGCAATGGGGAACGAGAGACCCAGCTATAATCAGTTCACTGGGCCTAGGTACGGCCCTCAAACTCCGCTTCAAGGTATCAATGGAATTCCTACGGGGCCCATACAGCATTTTGGCTCCCCTGGAAGCCAGGCGAGGTTCATCAAGCCGCAACAACCTCCCAATTCGATCTCAAAATGGGGCTCGCCCTCTCATCTTCCATCCAAGCCACCTGTGTCTCAATTCTCAAATTTTATGGACAGTCAGCGCCCGTTTCAAAACCAGCCATACCCTGGCATGGGACGTGGTGGGCCTAGCCCAAGCATGTCTTATAGTGCACCCAAGCCCTACGGTGCCATGCAACCGATCGGTCCTCTCAACGCTGGCGTGAACTTGCCACAACAGCCGGGAGCGTGAAGTAAACATGGGCAAGGACATAGAGGACGCTTCCCTCACGAAAAAAAATCATCTTTGAACGCTTTTTCTAATAAGTCAGTATCAGAGCGCCTTACAAGCGGCTCATCTTGCATGTTGTGGACGGCGCGAACCTTTCCTCATTTTCTGAATTCTTTTGATACTTGCATTACGCCTCTTGTCATGTTGTAAGCCTCAAGCGCTGTTCGACAGCACACTGCGTGTTCTTTTCTCATATTAGATGCAATATGCGGCATTGACCTCGGTGCCTGAGGACTTGAAAATGGGACAGTTACAAGTTATTTGACAATAACCAAAATCAAATATGTTTATATTTTCAGTTGTTAAGACCTGTTGTAATACATGTGACTTTTGATTTTCCCTATAGTCTACCTGATAAATTCGTCAACGGTTGTACACCATTTCCCAGGGTATTCAAGATTCAGGCTGCATTTTAGCAAGGGTTGGTATCAATGCCATTGTGAAATATGTCAAACATATACTTGAGTAGAAATAGATTATGCATATTCGTTATACATTGAGCATGACGTCTCTTATTCAACAATAAATGCAATGCAGTGTAAGCGCATTTTAACTGTCTTCCCCGGTATTGTTTTGAAAATCCCCCCCCTTACAAGATGCACGGCAACAGGGAACTCAAGAAGTTAAGTGAGCTTCTGTTTGATAAAGAAGGCTCGCAGATGAGATAATTGCCACGCGCAGGTAACGCCCAGAACAGCAAGCTGAATCAGTGTCCATCGAACGACTCGCGCATTAGTGGATTCAGATTGGTCACGGAATTCCGCTTCTCGTTCCTGAAACACAAAATCTGTCAGCTCGGACGTCCTCGTAGAGGGTTTCAGAGTATGCTTTTGGGAGGCATTGAAATCACAACGTCAGAGACATAGGCCTGATATTAAACTTACCCTTTGGAACACTTGCTCGCGTCTAATATCCTGGAGGCGACCATTGAGATCCTTCACTTTCTGCACAATGTCATCCATCTTGCCCTTGTCTGTGCTCTCAATAGCGCTCGTAGCACCAATGGCCATATCCAGTGTTAATTTAATTCCTCCATTGGGCGAGCCACCTGTCAGCCAACCCGCTCGCGAGCCAGCGCCAGAAGGAGTGAAACAGATCCTGTGCTCGCCCGAGTCGGCTGCGCTGAAGGTAAAGCGTCCTTTGGCAGAGCTTCGCTGAGAAACTACACGGTGGTCATTGTCAAAGACCTCGTCGACGGAAATGTGTAGGCCGAGATTCGGGTCATCCTCAAAGCGCCGTGATTGATCGTTGTAAGCTTCAGCAGTGAAGTGGCCTGTATTTATAAAGCAATTAGCACGTGCAACAGTACTAAAATTACTGGGATAAAGCCCCCATGAGACAATTGCGACGCACCGACAACGAGGGTATCCTTGGGCAGCTCTTCAAAGAAGCACTTTGGTTGCGTGCCATCAAGATAGAAATACAGCGCGTTGGCGGGCAGGATCAATGACGTGACTGCCAGAGCAGTGAGAGCTGACGCCACCTTTGGCACTTGAAACCGTAACCGCACCATTCTGCTGGTCGAGCGAAACGAACTTGAGCGGAAATAACACGAAAAAAGGACACTCAGCTGGCGGTGATTTAAGGTAAACGCGGCTGTTTAGTTACGCCAGCTTGGGAGTTGCTACTCCAGGGGTCACCCGGCTGCTGTGCACGGACCACTCAGTCCGGGGCAGGTCACGTGGGCCTTCACTTCCGTGATCTGAATTGCGGCGCGTTCGGAGAAGGAAGCAGTCGACATTCATCTTATTCATTCATTACACTTTATCCTTGGAGTCTTTAAGGACAGACTGAAGGAAGTTTGGAGCGACTCTCAGTGGCCCTTTTCGCTGCAATCATCGTGGATTGTCAAGACATACTATCACGATGAGTTCTGCAGACGTTCGTGATATGCTGGACCTCCCAGCCGATGGGGGACTCCCGAGGCCCGCAAAGAAGCAAAAGACTGTAGAGAAGCGACCTGGTACGCGAACAAAATACTCATTAGGTAAATTGTGATGCTGATGGGTATATAGAGGGTATCACTCGAGAACTGTTTGCTTTGCTCGGCGAGCGAGCCCCTCCAGTTGCGATCACAGACCATGTCAAGTTCAAGGACCGGCCGAAGCGATCTCATAGAGCCCAACCTTGGTAGGGACTCTCTGCGTGTATTGCAAAATCTGTGGAATGCTGACTCCATTTATCTCAGGGAGTGGACGCCTTTTACAAATCCTGCTAGAACCGACGGACTCGTGCTGCATCATTGGAGGAAACGAAAAGAATCTCCTGCTCAGCCCACAACCGGAAATGCGACCGCAGATGGAGCCGGAGAAGCGCCACAGGATGAACAGGCTGCGACTGGACCGAAAACTGAGACCGATTACTACTACTCCAAGTTCAATGTTAAAGTCAACGGGCCAGATTACACCGACGAACAATATCACATGTATTTACGGAGCGATGAATGGTCAAAAGAAGAAACCGACTACCTCGTCAATTTATGCATCGAATACGACCTGAGATGGATTGTCATAGCAGATCGATACGACTTCCAGCCTGTTACAAAAGAGGAACAAAAGGACGGCGAGGCAAGCGCGCTGATACCGGCGCCCAAAAAAAGAACAATGGAAGACATGAAATTGCGATATTATGAGGTTGCGGCCAAGATGCTTGCCATTCATCGGCCAATAAATACCATGTCGACAGCCGAATTCGAGCTACATGAGACCATGTCCAAATTCAACGCCGTACAGGAAACGCAGCGGAAACAGCTCGCCAATGCACTTCTCTCTCGCTCGCCGGAAGAGATTAAGGAGGAGGAGATTCTCTTGGGAGAGTTACGGCGCATCGTCAGCAGGGAAGAGAGACTCCTCGCTGAACGTAAGGAGCTCTTTGCTCGTTTGGAATCTCCACAGAGCAACGGCAATACGCAACAGTACCAGTCCAGCCAGGGACTCGGGCAACTTATGCAGACCCTTCTCGCAGCAGACAAAAATAAGAAGCGCAGGACGCTTGTCGGACCCAGCGAAAGCGGCACCAGTCCCGCTACTGGCACGGCGGCGAACACGCCATCTGGCCAAAAAGAAGGCCGCGAAGGAGGTCGCGACTCCGTTAGCGGCACCGCAAGCACAGTCAACAAGAAAGGCGCTGCGGCTGCGGCAGCCGCAGCAGCAGCTGTATCCACGCCACCGGAAAGAAAACCACTCACCAAGCTTGAAGAGATCCGATATGGTGTTTCGCATCATGATCGGCTCACGTCCGGTGTGCAATTCCGACATGACCGCGTCAACAAGCTCGGACAAGCCAAATCAAATGCGCAGGCAGCCAAGATCGCCGGCGCGCTTAACGAGCTTCAGATTCCTCCGAGACTCGTTATGCCCACCGCCGCTGTTTGCGGAGAGTACGAGCGACTCATCCAAAACATCCACACATTGCTTGACGTACGGAAGCTCTCCGAAAAAATTGAAGCAGAAATCAAGGTTGCGAATGCGCAGAAGGAAGAACGAGAACGCAAAGAGCGGGCAGAGCGAGGCGAGCCAGAACCTCCACCGGCCGCCGAAGCTCCTGCTGCTCCTACTGCGGCGTCCGAAAAGAGCGCCGCTCCTCCCTCCTCGGCCAACGAAGCATCAGAACCTGTGCCAAAGACGGAAGACACAGATACTTCTGCAATCGCTGCAGCTCCTGAAGCCCCGGCCAGCGCCACTGAACCCGCTCAAGCACCCGCTCAAGCACCCGCTCCAACGGGAAGCGGTGGTGCCGGTCCCGCTGACCAGGATAAGAAAGCGGACGAGAACCCAGAAGATGCTGGAGGGGCAGGAACAGGCGGGCATAAGCGAAGTGCGAGTGTCATGAGCGCTGGTAGCAACAAAAGTAGTAAGCGCCAGAAAAGGTGATCATTTTCAGGATTGAGGCATAAGTCTAGCAGGAGTTAAGATGACAGGGTTATGGAGTTTGGTATGGGTTACGGCTAATATCATGACCTTTTAATTTGATTGCAGCACAATTTAATGGATATATTTTATACTCAGAATCCAATTCATATATTTTGTTAATACTTGATCAGAGTGCCAACTGTTGAGAACGTGAGAATTTGGACTTTAATTTGTCACCTTAGAGTGTCTACCTTCCTAGCTATTAAGATATTATTTCTGAGCGCGCCCGAGTCTTTCTCCTGAATAAAGAACCAGTCGACGCAATTGAACAAACGTTGAACAGCTCGAGCGTGGGGAGGGATGGTGCTAACTCATATATCAGGGCTGTATATCTCACCGAAGCGCTTTTCGAGCGTCTTCCACATCTTTTTGGCAATCAATAAGGTCTGGATGATCTAGCTTGTGTCTTGACTCTTGATCTACTAGTAGTAGCAAAGCACTGCCTAGAATTCTGGAGGAAGGCAATGCTTCAACAAGTCTTTTTGTACATAGACTATGAACATGGAACTGCTTTGCTGAGCTTCGTAGTTTTAAAACCAAATCTATGTTGGAAATTGGAATTGAGTCATGTCCAATGCATTGATCAAAATTCTGTTGAGTATCAAGTAGCTGTTGGTTCAGCCTGTTGAGCTGATCGAGCTGATTTCGCCCCAGCTGCTGTAGCTGATGGTGCATATCACGGCGATGTTTCTCCAAGGCGTTGATTTCTCTGTCAGCCTTTGCCTTTTAGATATTCAAATCTAAAGCTGTTTTCACAGGCGGGAAATCTCTCGTTGTTGGAATATTCTCCCTATTTAACTTGGTCCAAATGGAGCAAATATCTTGAGATGCAGCAAGCCACGAGCCATGAGCCACGAGCGGACAAAGAGGTGATTTGGGCTAATCCATCCTGTTGAAGTCATCAGGTCCGAACAGAGTAGATCCAGGATGGAGCTACGGAGGAATGTTACAGTGGGTGAGAAGAGAATGTAAAGAACAACTCTGTACTGCGTTTTTCTGGTCCCCTCAGTATTTCATACATGGGCGTGAGATTCCCTAAGAAAATCCGGCATGTCGTCAGGAACGGCGAGAACCCCAGGTTACCACTAAACCACGGGGCCTTTTCCGTTCAGAATGAATGTTGAAAGGGTTATCAAATGGATAATTGTAAACAGTTTAAGAGATGTAGGAGGAAGATGATTCCCAGGAGTTGAGTAAAGTGTTCAATCTTGTACCTTTGGAATGATGGACATAGAAAACGAGCCTCTCGAAGAGCTTAATGTTCTTGTGAATCGAGGCAGCTAATGATAGCAGAATATTGAGCTTGGGAAACAGTATTTTTAAAAGATAACTTGAGTTTGTCTTGCAATTCTTTTGTTTTGTGCATGTCGATATACCTCGACTGTCTTTCCATAATAGTCATTTGGGAGAAAGTAGATTCGAGAGTATAACAAATTGTGATAAAATGATCAGACTGAAGCAGGCCACGCGGCAGGCCCCAGTACAAGCGGAATATCTGGCGTCGTAATACATAAGTCATGATTTGACCGAACGGGGATCCAGCTCCCTGTGCCAGAGCTTCACTAAATCCTCCTCGTTCTCGAACGCTATGATGGGATCGTGTGGATTCTCGCTGTCCGTGACGTGTAGTACCTCCACGGCGCCCCAGGCGGCCCGTAAAACTGGGAGCGTCACAGATAAATCTTATATCAAGCGCAGCTGCTTAGTTCAAATATTCTCTGCTTAGTTGTGGTAAAGAAAAGTTTTAAATGAATCTTTTCTTCAGGTTAGTTGTTTGATAATTGTGATACCAAAGTCTTTTTTCGGGAGAATCAAATACAGCAAGATAGTCTTCAAAGAGGCCCCGTTGAAATTTTGTCTCAAGGGTGAAATAGCTAGATTGGTTGGCGCAAATCAATTGAGGAGAATGATCCGGCATGATGAATTGATGATTGAGTCAGCAAATTTGCAGAGCTTTTGTTGACCAGTCAAAAAGGTCGTAAGTAGACACAGGCTCCCAGATCCTGATCGCAGCTAATGTCACGGCGAACGGCAGAGCAAAGACAGAAAGCCGAGAAGAGTGGCAAGCCGTGAGTGTCCGTCACCTCGCTGGAAGGCTCCGAACATCTTCTGAGTCCACTAGTCTTGGGCATAGCCTTGTTCGAAGAGTCCGGATAGTGCGAGACTGCTTAGCTCTGTATTCATCTGATGTTGGATGAGAATCACTACTTTCTATTTTTCCCTGTCAATTCAGCGGATTCCTCTGAAGCTTGATTGTTTCTATCTTACGCATGGCATGTCGTAATACGTACGTTCCGTATTCCATGTTCCACCGGGTAGAAAGAGCCGCCATTCTTCAGCAGCCGACTGAAATATTTGAGTAACATGACGCCCGGCTGAAAGACGCAGCCAAAACACATACCAGGAGCCAGAGAAAACCTCCGAACACACCGCTCATACCAACCATCGTCCGGCAACTCCTTCAAGTGTACCTCGGAATATAGCCGGTCACCAGCCTTTTCTCTGCTGCAGAGACGTATCTTACTCTGAGCCGTGGAAAACACTTCTAAAAATTTGTGGTACTCGGGGGGTAATTTGGTGGCAGGTTCAATCTCCTCCTTTGGCTTCAAAGCTTCTTCAATATCTCTCATTGAGATCATGAACAGCTCACAATCTTTTCTCTGGGCTAGTCTGGCAAATGGAGCTGATCTGAAGAGATTGACTTGCAACAGGAGGCCTGCAGGTGGTGTCGATGGTGGTGAGGTTATAGGCGTGGGTGGAAGGTATATCCGATTTACCAAAGGTTTATATCAAGCATGTTAAATAATTTAGAGGCTGTCCGGTACTCTTCACACTGTATGGTTCCGTTGATGCTGTTGACAATGTCAAAAAATGGCTCGGAGGTTGGATTATGTATTGATAGTAGTTGGAATTAAGCAACAGTATCGTGATGAACACCCCAGGGGCCCAGCCAAAGGGTCATCCAGACCCCCGGGTTATTGACTAGGGATTCGGTTCGTAGTCGTCGCGTCTGCTGGTAGTTCTGAGGTTTCCGTTATTGTCAAGCATGGGTGACGGGAGTTCGGAAGTATTCCCCATTAGTTCTTCTTGGAAGTGAGAGCAAGGAGAAGAAATTCTTTTCTTTTCATATGAACTCAGGACGATTGGAACTTGGAGATGTTTTAGAACTCAACATTTCTTTGTTATCAAACTCACCACATTGAATGCTATGCTTTTTGATGCTGAGAGGCAAATACCTTGAAAACCTGACAGTCAATTTGTTTATTTACCCATGACTTCATCAAAGTATTGATATCATATAATACCTTCACTGCCCATATTTTGCAAAGATGAGCCATGGACAAAAGGCACGGGTATCTGTCAATCGAGACTGTTATATGTCATTTTTCTCTACCATGGTCCATGGCAGCCACGAAAAGTAGACTTGCCCCCTTGTAAACCTCTAAGATGTATGACAGGCGGTCTTGGAGCACACTAGTACTTTCGAGCCACAGGGCGACAAGCATGGAGCGTGGCTCTTACAAAGAGAGGAGAGCATGCTTGCATTTCCTATACGGGCCTTTTCAAGAGCAGCAAGTTCTGTCTTGTTGTCTTCTTTTCTGTCTCTATAATCCTGGGCATCACTTCCAGGTCTGGATGTGTGACTGCTTTGTTCAAACAGTCTGTACAAGAAAAAGACCTTGGTGTAAAGTAACAGCTCTCTTCTAAGCTTGTCTGCGAGACCATCAGCACTAAGTTACTGCATTGCGTCCGTGCCAATACAGTTGTTCATCTGGATATATTCAATTGGTATTAGGAATGCTTTCAATATTGGACTCAGTAGAAGGTTCCCTTTTGAAATTTTGGCATGAAACCACTGCTCTTAGCGACGTGACGATGCCTTATGGTTTGTGAGAGAGGATGTTGATGTTGGTTTTTGATTTCCAAAGGCCTTCTCCCGGACTTCTTTAATGATTTACTGCGAGATTTGTTGAACTATCTTCTTCCCCCCTTTTCATGGAGTTCGCTGACCGGCAGACAGTTTTCACGGTACCAGTAGAAATAAAGGTCAATCATTCTAAGATGCTTCGTACTATCATCCAGGCAACCGTTGTATTGAGTTGCTGTTTTTCTTTTCTGAATTTTGCGTGGGAGTTCAAATCGTTCGTTGTCCAGGCCTCAGAGTTGCTCTTCCCAATGTATCAAGCCGAAGGGCTCGTGACTGGTGAAAGCTTCTCCTTTTCGAGTCAATATCAAGGTTGATGTGCACACTACCCTCCTGTTATGGCACATCTGGCCAAACGTGGCTGTGTGCGCCGATTCCACAGCGCCTATAAACTGATCAGAAATAATTTCTGGACTAGATTAAAAAGGCATTTCCTTTGTTTCCGCGTTCGTTCTTGTCATCGCTAATTCCTTGATACCTTGATCAAGAACATAGATAGATCAAGATGATTAGGAGGAAATTGGTAAACTCTATCACCGGTGCCCTCTAGTATATATCAGAGACCCTGCCTTGGGTGAATTTTAACTTTTCTATACCAGACAGTAAAAGGGTCGCCAACCACGATTAATGCGAGAGAACAGGACTGGGAAAGAGCACAACGACCATCCCCGTTCATCGACACACGGTCTGTCCGTCGGCTTTTTCAGCCATCCACTGCCGTCTCTGTATTATTTCAGAATATAGCAAAGTGGTCTCTGTCGAATGGAGACTCGTTATGATATCCTCGTTCCGAAACTTGGAAATATCCTCAATTTGCTGCTCCATATGTTTCATATTCAAACTGAAAGCCCAAGGTTTGAAGTCGGGTCAGCTTAAAATGGTCAGTATATTTGGTCCCTATGGGCCGATCAATTACCCTTCGACCTTACAGTTGTTGGCACTAAGCCCAAAACTCAAAGGAGAACAGCTTGCAACTTGTAATCAAATCGTCACCAAGCAACCCAAGCAGGTTGGACCAGCATGAGTGGCCGATTGAAGAATCAGCCACAGAGACGTCTTTGGGAATATTGGCTCCCAGAGAAATTAGTCTATTGTTATTGACTATTGAAAAGCTCAAAACAAAAGGCAAAATAGACGTCTTGAGGCTGGCTCCAGCTGCTACTTCTGCGGTGCTGGGCTGTCCGTGTCAGAGTAATCAATCTCTAGAGCATCTGCATCCTGCTCCAGTTTTATTCTAGTCTTGAGAGACGACAAATCGAAGCTTTAAAATGTTTTTGTAGCCGCGAGATGCAGGGATATCTAGTCCCACATAATTGAAGATAGGTTTCTGTTGCGCTTCAACCCTTGGGCCCCTTTTTCTCTATCGACAACTAATCCCCCCATACCGTTGAGTAAGTGGAATTCAGAAAGTGGACATACTCTGACGAGAGATTTGGCCGTTAAAGCATCAAGCGCCATTCGAATATATTATCGGGTTTAGAAACAATTTTTTTGGGCGTGTCGAGCAAGTTTCTTGATCCAAATTCTGAGAACTAGGATAAGATTCTTGAGAGTCAAAGTTTCCAAATGTTAGTACATCAATCTTGAGTTAGTAAAGACAGAAGGGATTGCGGAGAGCCAATTGGATGAGCATATGAAGCATATCGTGTTGTGGATGGTCATCATTTCGACCAGCAGTGAACCATGCGAAATATCTCTGCTCAGTCGAGCCCGCTTTGCGGGCGGGACTTGCTCTTATTCTTGCCCTTCGTTGGACTCCTCGAGATTTGCTGGCGCATTGTGGTCCTTGTCTTTGTTGTGATTCAGCTTCTCCACTTCGACTGCACAATCAATGAGTCGTTCTTTCGAAATTTGCAGGTTCAATAGCTCTTTGACACTGTCTCGTTCCGTGGCATCTGTAATTTCAGAAAGACTTTCGAGTATTGAAATTGCAGAAAGTCACCACAACACTGGAAGGACAAGGCCCATGAGCCAGAAAATATATATATATATATATATATATGACTTTCTGCAAGTTCAATACTCATCGAATGGACTTTTTTGCCTATAATGACTTTTTTTTTTTGCCAGCCATCCTTCCTATTCGTTTACTTTTCGTACTCGTTACCTCGGCCTCATGGTTCAAGTGCAAAGATGTCAGATCAACTGGGGGGAGGAGAGTGCTGCGTGCACATATACCTCTAGCCGCGACCTAGTATGGGGTATGGAAGGCTGCTCAGAAGATTTGACATAAGCCGGTAGCTGGAGAACACTCTAGATTGAGGTGCCTGGGGCCAAGGCTTGTTATGCAGAAATATCAAGGACTGTAAGAAAATATTGACCAGTAAATATTTGGATAAATCACGTTGTATAAATCGCAAGCAGAGAAGTAAGGTGTTTCAAATTGATTAGACGCTAAGAGCAGCAGATGACCATTCGCGAGATCAGCTACCTCGCAGAGAAGGAGAAGAAAAAAGAGAACGTTCAGGAGTGGGAGGCAGCACGAGTTTAAATAAGATCAGGCTGGAAGGAAAGAAGGAAAGTGACTTTGAGGGGGGAATGAACAACGCTGCCGTAACTGCGAAAGGGAAGGAGAGCTGTGAATTCCTATCACGCAAACAAAGTAAATATGTGGCAAACCTTTCCTTGCAAGTTTTGAGTGACGTGTTGAAAAGATGGACGCAAAATAAGATAGGGAAGGGAACAGGTAGGAATTAATATAGATTGAAAAGTAAATTAGACCACATGAAGCATGAATTTTTGGTAATTGCTGCAGCTAAACAGAAAAATAACGACGACATCAAACTATAGCCGTTCTTGAAGACAAGATGCCGGTTCGAGGAAACAAGAGTTAACCGTCCATGTTAACGTGACTTGAATAGCTTGTGAACGCAGACAAAGGAGCAAATGGAAACTTTTCGGAAACCCGACGACATTCCTCCGAGTTTTCTGCGTGTTCATGATAATTGCAGGGGTCGAAAATTTCCTCCCACTCGAGGTCGCCGTTGTTTTTTACCAAATCCTGTCTTCGAAGTTGAGCTTCAAGAACGTCAAAATAAAAGCATTCGGGGAGACTATCGCGCTTCAAATTCCTCGAGCTCCATAGGCCGTCATAGATGTCATTAACAAATATGTCAGCCAATAGCATCTTCGCTAAAGACCATTTTGACGGATTTCCGCATAATTTTTGGAAAAGCGTCTTTTCGAACGGGAAAAGCTCAGCGTCCATATTGCCCAAGCGATAGCATTCTAAGAAAACATTGATGCAGTGATCTTTCAAATCAAGAATACCGTAGCTGTCAGCAAATAAATAGATGTTTGCAATTGATTCCAAGTCTATGTGGTTGAAATGATATGGTTTTCCATACTCAGGACGGACTTTGGTCCATTCAAAAGATCTTGTGTACAACCAGGTGTTGAAGATCTCAAAGGTATCTGAGCTTATCTCTGGGAGTCTCAACGGCTCAAACATTTGGCTGCTTGCGCTGAGTCTATTCTTGAACGTGTCTTTGAAGAAAGAGGAGACATCACAAAGTAGTCCCTTGTGAATGCCGAATATTCTCCCTTCTTTGCCGACGACTATCCAGAAAATCTTATCAAAAAGATCCCTGGAAGCAATCATCAGCATCAATAACAGATTCGGCTAGACATTCGGATGGAAAGCATGCACATACATAGGTCTGGAGAGCTTTGTTGATTCGGAACGCTCTTCTGAACGTTTTGAAGTAGAAAGATTAGAGACTTCTCCATCCTTAACCGTGTCCATTGTGGAAGATAAAGGGTGATGCTGCTGCTTGAAAGAGCAGAGGTGATGCAAAAGGCGTTCAAACAAGTTCTAATGGCGTTTTGCTAAATGATCCACCAAAGGACTATATGGGATTCAGCTCATCTGTTCTTCAGAAGTCAAGAATTTGGGAAAGATTTAAAAGAAGAAATCTCACATTCCTGGGTAATAGGTTGACTTCGTCCTGCTGAGGTCCTTGTGAGAGTCAAAGTCAGCTGAGGCATAGGCTTTTTTCGAGGATGTGCAAGCAATTTCGCATGTGTCAAAAGTGAAAATGGGGGACAAACCTAAGACGATTTGATATGCTTTGCAAACAGTAATTTGTGTCTCTGAAAATCTTTCACTGACTGTGCATCACAGCTTAGGTAGCAGTGGCTCGCAAGTGAACAATGGAGTGTGTAAGTCAGGCTCAGATATTGCTCACTTTGGCGTTATCTGTCCTAATGACATCAGGTGTCTGCGTAGGCTCTTGTGCAGCTAAAGCTCAGTCATGAAATGAGATGTTGAGATTTAGCTAAATATCGACTTGGGGGACGGGAGAGTCTACTTTAACCGTTGTTGTCAACGCAAACGATTCAGCGTAGCAAGTGTAAGAGCAAATGTGAGAGAAGCAAGCCAGTATGGCCGAGAGACTGCCGTTCTCCTCTTGAAAAAGAATGGCTTAGAAGAGAAAGATGTATTGACAACGGGAGAGAAGAGAACGGTAATGTGAAGAATAAAATAGCGAGGATTGGTTTTGTTAGTACAAGAGTACCTGCACCTGCATCGATCTTTTATTGAGCCTTGTCTATGAAGAAGTCGGTGGAAATGCGAGTCACTTCTGGAAAAGCAAACTCTTCACAGATACCATAAGAACAGAATATACTCAAATGAAACAATTTATCAGGCTCACCAAAGAGTAAAAGGTCAATGAAGATACTTCCTTTCTCAGAGAACAAATCTTTGGTAGATGAAACAAATTGTATGTTCTTTAATCTTCTGCGTAAATCTAGTTGAGCATTCCCCCAGATATTTTAGGCTCTCGGTCACTTAGAGTCCTCCGTACGACAGTTAAACAAATTTCCTCGTAAGATCCCGCATGAAAAGAGGGGCGGATGATCTAGAATTACTCTCGATAGAATGAGAGAAGGCAGTGGAAACAACGGTCAACAGTTTCCGAATCCGCGAGATCAGTCCTTGCACGAGGGCCAGTCGTCTCGGTGTTCATGATAGATACACGGATTCCTTAGAAGATGACAAGACGGGGAGGGCCCAATTGCCTTGGGCCAGAATCTCATTGCCGCCACGACACCGCCGAGAAACGTCTTCGAAAGGCTCGACCTGACATCAGCCATCAGAGCCTTGTCATCGTTATATTCTTTGATGTCGTCCAGCAGCTTATCCATGAGGCTGTACTCGGGAACAGAAGCGAGAATGCGACCTTTAAAGTACCAGGGTGGGGATCGATACTTATGCGCCTTGATCCAGTCTATAACGATGTCGACGCAGATGTCCTTGAGTAGAGGAACCTTGTATTCGTAGGCGATTTGGTAGACTCTCGCCAACGTACGAAAGTCCAGTTTTCCTTCGAAAAAGAGGCCAGAAATGCGTTTCAAGTTGCGACCCTTGAGCCAGAGCTCAAAGATATAGAATCGATAACTCTCTGCGTATGGTAGATGAAGTGTGTTTGCATTCTTGAAGATACTTGCAAAATATGTTGAAGATTTGCAAATCAGACGCTTCTTGAAAGAATACGAGCGTACACTTTCTGGTGGATGTCCCATGAAAATGTTGACGAGTTCATCTCCATCACTATCGTAGGAGCTGAAATTTGGGACCGAATGAGTTGTCTGTTGACGTGCTTGCGTTTCTGAATTCTGAAACACTTACATTGGACGTTTTTCAAGCACTTCTTTCTTTGCAAAAACTTTTTGGGTAGTCTGAAGGGGTGTGAAGGACTTTGCTCTGACACAAGAATGATTGCCCGCCTGTGCCTACACAGGATGTTGTTAGGTGTTGCACAAATGTAAGAAAGACGGCAAGATTCCTCGTACCAGGATCAGCTGCTGATTTCCGTCAATAGAAGTCATGACGCAGAAGCAATCCGAATGGTCAAGGAGAGACTGGGGAATAACAAAAAGGTGACGATGAGAGTGAACATAAGAAGAGGTAATGCAGAACCACGTGAGCAACATATTGATAAATTCAGAGGGCAGTGAATAATTTTCGCTCCGAAAGCCAAAGAGTGTTCAGGCTTCAGAATACAACCTGTGAATGAGGTACTCGGGTATCAGTATGCCAGGTCATAATTGGTGATTGTCCTTCTCAAAGGCACAAAGAAAGATGAACAACAGATAAACCCAGCACGGTAGTATATCCACAATTGGCAAAAGACTCACTGGGCCCATTTGCAAACCCATTGCAAAATCACAAAATAACATGTATATCCCATAAGATGAAGTAAGGTAAAATGAATTGGAACTGAATGCATGACTGTTCAAATCAATTCAGAAGCAGATCTCGTGGATATCATCATAGTCCATCATTCCAGTCCTTCAAGGTTCAGTACCTAGAGACAACATTTGCAACGCCCAGCGATACTAGAAATACACATATCCTCGCAAAAGAAAAGGCCCATCGCTGATCATGAATGGTATATATCTCTTTCTAAATCATACACGTTCCTGCAAATTTGCAGGGTTATCCTCGTTCATGACGTCTCGGCTAGAAATCCATTAGTATCAGCCATGATCCTATTATGTGAGAAGATCGTCTGGAGTCAATAACCTACCAATTCGAAATGCCTGGATTCATATCTAAACGGACGACTTTCGTCCCCCCAAAGCCCCCCTCATCCGGGTCATGGCATCGGACATTCTGTCGCCGATGCTTGAACGTCGTCGAGTAGAGACCCAGGTGCCGCCTCGGTGGCTGCTGAGAGTCATACCCGAAAGAGCTGAATCATCCGAGGCGTTGGATTCGCGGCGCTCGCGATCAGCGAAAGTAGAGTTTGAAGTCTCGCCAGTGTAGGGCTGGAATTCGTAGTGATTCCGACGAAGACGTGCCTTCAAAGGAGGATTGCTCTCAAGATGCCGCTCGCCGGAGGGCAAATAAGACATGTGAGGAGCGCAGGACTGCATTTTGGAATACTTTAATAGTCTCGGTGGGAGTGATATGTGTAAGAGTGTTTAAGGTGACCTTTATATGATCAAAGATGGATTTGCAAGATTCGCCTTGGAACGAGTTGTTGAAGGTAGAGAGTCCTTTGAGCTGGGGTAGTTGTTGGGGGTTTATATATTCTACGATTGGCACTTGAGGGAGGGTAGGTGTAGAAGGGACGCCAGCAGCAGAACAGGGCCGGGCACGGGCACGGGCAGGCTACGGCATCGCTACCTAATTCTAGATACGAGTCAGGAAGGCCTGCACGAGCAACAAATTCGGTATGGAGGCAATCAATGTACGGCCTCTGTAGCATCAAAAGACGGCACATCTTGACGCCAAGAAAGTTCTCCACAGACAGTCTTCCTTTTCTGGGGAAGTCTGGGGTTGCTGTGGGTCTCCACACATGGCGTTCGATGGCGATCTCAACCGGGAGATAAGTTATGATGCCAACGAAAGGGTCGTACGGTTTCACATGATCCCACATGGCTTGCTGTACCGGTTACCAGTGGAAGAGATAGAGCTCTTCACTGTTTCGGCAGTCTTGTGCGAAAACGACTCGAGTAAAAGGAACCAGTTACTTAGCGACCAAGTAACGGTGACAAAAGCCATCGATTGGAATTGATGAAAGCGGCGTTTGGGTTGGGTCGGGGAGATATCCGATAGTGGTAGGGGACGAAGCGATTGATTGCGAGAAAGGAAAGGTTTCAGCAGTCCTTGTGGTCGTGCTCCATGTGGGGGATCAGCCAAAGTGGAGACTCTCGACCGGGTCCCAGCCAGTCATTGCGTGTCCTTGGTAGAAATTCTCTGCTCCTCGTGTCGTTTTGAAGGCGACGGGATGCTGAAGGAAGAGAAAGTGGGTCCGGGTAACCTTGGAAAGTGGGTCTCCTTTGTAAAATCTGGGGGTGGAGAATCACTGATGTGGAGAAACAAGTACGAGTATGGGGAAGAACCTGCAAGATTGAGTATCAGTACGCTAAAAAACTCTAATTGATTGCTGCAGCGAAAGGTGTCTGGTACTCACCAATGCGGCCTTACCATCTAGGTCAGTGGCTTGTTCCAGGTCGGTCCACGTCGGCTCATCATCTCCCCGAATTTCGTTATCCCTTTCAGTGCGCGGTTGCCATAAGTTAGTTATTCTCTTATTGAAGCGTTGCCTTCAGTTCAGGGTTCTTGGTGGATCTTTGGGATCGGCTGCGCGTCGAGCAACTTCAACCCAATAAGCGCTCTCTTAACGCGCACACCTACGTCAATGGGATACGTCGCCCCTGAACGATATACGTCAAGAAGAAATCAGGTGATGTTTGTCCCAAGATCTTCCGTCGATGATCTCCTTGGAAGAAAACAACAAAAAATGGAGCCCATCTTTTATTTCATCACCGCTGATGAAAGCACTTTGTCCTGAACGCGAACGTTGGGAGGAAGATGACTGTCGTGCTTCCCCACGAATCCCCACAGCATAACGAGAGTGGGTCCACTTTCGCTACATCCCGCGCTTCAAGCAAAGTGGATCCTCCGAGAAGTCTTGAAGTATCTCTTGGCTATTAGCTTAGCAAGTGGGATGTCTCAATTCTGTGAATAATATCCCTCAACTAGTGATCTAGCAAATTAAGGTCGATAGACAAGGAGCGATAAGGATTGAAACACCTTTGATAGCGACCATCGAAAGGAGTGCCCTATCATGCAACATCAAACACAAGCCGAATGCGACTAGAATGGTTCAGACTGAATCCAGGCGATAGAGCTAATATTCAACCAGCAATTCTGCCCATTTCACAGATCGAAAGTCAGCAGGAGAGCCATGTCCGCCTTTTCTAGATGCTAAGCAAGTTGAGAGCCCGACGTCTGCCTAGACGTCTCAGCGCTTTCTTCCGATCTGGTATTCTGGCGAATCCATTTGCAGCTCGTCAACTTCTGAAAATTCAGCGCCTCTGAACAAGCTCATCAACGATTCACTTTCCTGACGCTTCCCAGTATGGTGTTGGACTGTCAGTTCGGCTGGCGAATGGTCGTGCTGTTTTATACATTCCTTTCCGCCTTTTATTTTACCGTCAGATAAATGGGGTTGCTTGCACTGTCCTTTCCCAAAATTTCCCGGATTTCCGCTGGAAGCTTTTACGATACCACTTAGCTTCCGATTTGGGTCTTTGGATTTGAGTGCTCCGGTTTGGAGTTGTTCTATGTTATGATCGAGCGAGTCACCTGGCTTTGAATTGCTCGCCTCCTTTTTTGTCTTTTTCGGAGGGGCCGGACTGCCAGCAACATTCATGTCCTTTGATTGCCTTTTGGACGCGTATGGGCGCTTGTGCAATTCTAAATATGTCGCTTCATCATTCACCTGGTGAGCATTACCGGCTTGCTGTGTTGATGTGTCAAGTTGAGTGATATTATTTGCGGTCGCTCGTTGCCCGTTGACGATCGGGCTGTCTCCAAAAGCTCGGATTTCGAAACGCGCGTTCGGCGTGGAATGGTCCATCGGACTGCTCGAGAAAAACTCTACATCGGTATGCTGCGCCAATGGAGATACCCAGTTGGAGAAGTCTGAAGGGCGCCTTGACCTTTCTTCTGGACTTTTTGACACATTTCCCATGATAGTCCCCTGATTAGGTATTGTCTCGGCCTGGATATTCGACATCTCAACATCCTTTGCCGTAGTATGTATATCTGGGTGCTTGCTCTCATGGGAGCTTCTCGTTACCTGCCTGGGCTGCTCCTTATGTCGGAATTCTCCTCTGCCAGTGCGAGATTGCATCCGAAAGCCTGTTTTTCGTTCTGCTTCACCCAGCTCTTTGTGGTGCGTCAGATCTTCTACAGCATTTCGGTCTGACTCTGTTGCCCACATTCGCTCTCTAAAGGCGGTCTTCACCCTTTCCAATGTCTCATGTCCCTTTCTCAAAGTGGACGTTGCTTCATTATCGAAGGAACTTCGTGTGGGTTTAACGGAGTCATGAGATGAAGCAACGCCAGACACGACAGCAGCCCGATGGTCTTTGCTCAAGAACTCTTTGTCTGTTGGACGCGACGGTTTACTGGGTGGACCTGATTTTCCGCTTGCTCTAACTTCAATGATTTGACCTCTTGGAGCTTCGTGAGCAGATTGAATTCCAATCCTCGTGCCGGAACCTAGGGCATCACAGTTAATCACTTTCTAGCTCATTCCGGACGTTTGTGACAGTACTTTTAACATCACTTATGTGTACTTCCTCTAATACGTCCTCTGTATAATCACTTTGCCCTTCAAATGTATATGGAATAGCTGGCAACGGTTTGTTTATGCTTGATTTTTGAACTGTTCCGTGAGAATTTTGGGCGCTGGAGGATTCAGAATCATCTGCTTCATGCTTTGGATTCTCTCCAATATCCGACCAGTCATCGAGAAGCGCATCCGCCAGTTGATCGGTCGTGTCTAAACTCAGCTCAAGCCGTGGATCGACATTCTGGGGTGACGCTTCAGCTTCCATGTGAGATTCTGCGAATTGATCAGTGGCTAAGAAAAAAACTCTGAGAAGGAAAATATATGCTTGCGTTTGGCATAGGTGTTCTCTTCATCACGAAACACTGAGAACGAAGTCAGCAGGCGGTTCTTCTTTTTGCCGTACATGGTCATGCTGAGTAGATATGAGAGCTTTGTAAAGAGTTGAGGTTGGGATTTTTAAGCTTCCAGAAGGTGTAGGAGTGGGGAGATGGTCCCGGTGTCAGAGGAGATATATCTGGCAAAGGATGTTGTCCTGCAGGTCTCTCTACGTTCTTCCTCTAACAAAGGACTCTATACCACGGAAGAGCTCGGCATTTACGCGTTTCAATAGAATAGGCAGAAATTTATGGACAATGACAATGATGTGAAGCCATAATGTGGACATTGCTTGACGCCGTTGAGATAGATCTTAATGACTACACCCTATTGCGACACCGAGACAAAGAAAACCACTTGAGGTGCATAAAAAGCAAACAGTAAGTATATGGCTGGATACCTGAAAGACTAGGTACATTCAATTCATGATTCCTCTTTTACTGTACTGCCATGAAGGTTCACCGGGTAATTAACTCCATTTGACATATCTCCTAGCCCTCGGACAAAGAGAAGTTGCTACTAGGAAGCCCTGCGGGTTTGATATCATTCATATCAGAGCAAGGCAGCGGCGTCACGTGACGGTACACAATTCTCTTCGATGTACAAGCATTTTCCACCTGTGTCTGGAATTTTTGGTGGATATAGTCGTGGAAATACGACGCTAAGGATCAGCGAAGATGCGGAGAAAGGGATTCTCACCGGAGCCAGATGATAGACGAACAAAAGGGGGGAGGTCTATCGTCATGTAGGCAGATAAAAACAGTACACATAACCGCAAAGATAGGACCGGCATGTTGGCAGGAGAAGCCAAGACACGTTGAGAGATGAGATGAAATAGATATTGAAGTCATTAATAAAAAGAGGCCGAGCATGTCAAAAGTATCAAAATCTTGAAAGAGCCATGAGTCCGAAATAGAAAGAGCAGAAAAGCAGGAAAGCAGCATGAAATGAGTATGATCTAATAGGCTTGGAGGCACACAATAACATAGCTGTCATTGCAAGCTACTGTAGATATTCCAACGGTACAAAATATCTGAATTCATCAGAATAAATGGAGTGATGTCAACAGATTAATCATTGTACGGACGATAGATGATCTAGACGAAGAGTCGCTTATCATATCAGCCTCGGTTCCGGCCGGTCATCGGCCCAAACTCTGTCGCTGACAATCTCTAGAGTTTGATTGGCTGTAGATTCCGAGGGATGCCCCGGGCAGGAAAAGCCGACAAAACTGAAATATTGTTTCCCGGCCCGACGACGCCGTCGCTGGTCCCCCCAGAGTCGACTCAGCTCTCGTCCTGACGAGCTTCAATTTCTCTTGCCCCCATCTCCTGCAGGAACCTCATTGTGGAAACGATCCTTACTTGCGTTGCTGGCCGTGCTGTCTCATCCGTTGGGAAGTTCAGGCCCTCCTCAGAACAATTTCACGCTCAAGCCTCCTTAGAATTGGCCTAAGCCAGTCCGCCCTCTTGCACCATCGGCAGTCTTTTGTGCCACCACATCTTTCCTCTCCTTTCATTATCTGTGATTGAATCCCCCCTCTTTGAACAGTTTCTTCGGTCTTTGCAATCTCTTCCAACGTCCAATCCTAATCGTCAAGATGTCTTTTTCTTCCTTGGTCTCCGATCTCACCTACCGCGACAGCGACCGCGACGACCGCCGATCTCAATTATCCCGTGCTCGATCGTATGCCAGCACAGCCGCGACGAGCGTGAGCATCTCCGGCGACATCTCTAGTCAGTTGCACGGCGGTTACTCTCACCCGCTGGCTCGATCATGGCAAGCCGAGCGTCAATTGACCAAGGTACGATTAGTCGTATCTATAACCCAATTAGCCATCTATCAAGTTACTGACACATTACAGTCCATGCTTATTTACCCACTCTTCGTTTCCGATCAGCCTGATGAGGAGGTGTTGATCCCCTCCCTACCGGGCCAGTGCCGCCGCGGTATTAATCGCCTTGTTCCTTTCCTCGAGCCCCTGATCAAGAAGGGCCTTCAATCCGTTATGCTCTTCGGTGTCCCTGTCGCTCCCGGTGTCAAGGACGCCCTCGGCACCGCCGCCGATGATCCCAAGGGACCCGTCATCCAATCCATCAAACTTCTCCGCCGCCGATTCCCCGACCTCTTCATCACCACCGACGTCTGCCTCTGCGAGTACACTTCCCACGGACACTGCGGTATTCTCCGCGAGGACGGCAGCTTGAACAACGAGCTGTCCGTCGACCGTATCAGCGATGTCGCCATGGCCTATGCCTACGCTGGTGCACACTGCGTTGCCCCATCTGACATGAACGACGGCCGCATCCGCGCTATCAAGCTGAAGCTTATTGAGGCGGGCATTTCCCACAAGGTCGTGCTCATGTCCTACGCGGCCAAGTTCTCCGGCTGCTTGTACGGTCCCTTCCGTGACGCCGCGGGCTCCTGCCCTTCATTTGGAGACCGCAAATGCTACCAGCTCCCTCCTGGTGGCCGTGGTCTCGCCCGCCGCGCCATCACTCGTGACATTCAAGAGGGCGCGGACATCATCATGGTCAAGCCGGCAAGTCAATACCTCGACATCATCAGTGACGCCAAGGAAATTGGACGTGATCTTCCCGTCGCGGCGTACCAAGTATCTGGCGAGTTTGCCATGATTCACGCCGGAGCCAAGGCCGGCGTTTTCGATCTCAAGACCATGGCTTTTGAGGCTACCCAGGGCATTCTCCGGGCCGGCGCGACCATTGTCGTCAGCTATTTTACGCCCGACTTCCTCGAGTGGTTGAGCAACTAAAGGGTTAAAACAGTTGATCAACCACTGATGAGCTTCGACAAATGGGTTGGTGTTTAGTGGACCTCGTTGGATTGGTGTCATAGGGTGGCGTTTGCTATTTCTCGCATATATGGTGTCTCCGTCTCGGGACAAATCTATCTCCCCGCTCTCTTTCATTCCTATTTCTCACATTTTTGCATGCGGAAACTCCTTGCTTCATTTTCGATATCCTTTGGGCTCATATTTTTATTCTTATTTTTTTTCCCTTCTTTTCCGGTGCATTATTATCGGACGTTCGTTTCTTTTTCCCCCTCTCTACTTGACCAAAAGCTGGACGCTGGTTGGGTTTGATCTATTGTACATCTAGGCATCCTGATATATTTCTCACGTAATCTTCTCAAGTTCTAGCATCAATACAAAAGCAGGTTCTTTTGGTTTTCTTTTCTTTATTCATTATTTTCGTCCTTGGAGTAATCTACTGTCTGCCAATGAAACAAAATACACCAATTTCTTCCCGCTCCCATTGAAGATAACAATTGTCCAAACGAATGCTTCCAGACTCATGTCTGAAATAGTGTTTTTCTTTTCTCTTCTTTTTCTGAACGAGTGACTATTTTCCTTTCAAACGAGTGTCTTTTTTTGTATGTTTCTCAATAAAACGAGTGTGTTACTCATATCCCACGGGTTGTGGTCCGACCTCTCAAAATCAGAGATAAACTACGAAGGGTAAATCAGATCAAAAGCCCCCTATTCCCCATCCCACAACCAGGCCACCAAGCCCAACCAGCGCGACTGCCGCACCCATGCCGCCACGGCCGAGTCCGACAACCAGGCCAGATGCTGCATTGTGACTTTTCGAGCCGGTGGCAGTGGCGGCGCTGGTCTCCTTTCCGGTGCCAGTGTGCGATGTCGCGGTCGCGGTGCTAGCTGCTGCACCAGCGCGTGATTTGGCCGCGGAGGACAGGGACTTGATTTCGCTGCCAAGGGTCGAGCCGTATTTCGAAGTAAGTGAGGATGCGGCGGCAGCAACTTTGGAAGTCGCGCTCTTCGCGAGATCAGTGAGAGAGGAGAGCTCTGTGTTTTGTTGCGGCAGGGTTAGTGGGGAGATTTGAAAGCGGAAACCCAGGGTAGAGTGAAAGGAATTGATATTTTTGGTAATTGAACATCGTGAAGAAGGAAGAGGAATGAGAAGAAGACGAGAGGATTCAGAGCATTATGGCGTACCAGAGGTCTTCTTTGCGGTCAAAGTTGCGTACACGCTTGCGGCGTTGCAGTTGGCTACGACGTTTTGCTGGGCAGAGAATTTGCCAGAGTCGCCAGGACAGTTGTTGTAGCACCTGGTGCATTGTGGTGTTATTTAATAAAGACCATAATGATTCTGCAAGCGTTCGGGGAGTTCAAGGGTGTCTCGGACATAATTTCGTATGTAACTAATAAGGAGAAAAAGGGCGGGACAAGGAATAGAGTTGAGCGGAATATGACTATTGATCTGGGCAATTGAACTCACGTCAAGACATTGGTGTACTTGTCGCACAGACACTTATAATCATTTGATTGGCATGTTCCCAGTTGCGTATTCTCTGTGGCCAGACATGCATCAAGAATACTGCGATGGTCGTGATATGTCAGTTTTTGTCTCCATTCAAATCCCAGCAACTTTGCAAAGTGAGAATATGTCTAGGAATCGTGTCAGAAACAATAACACGTACTTTTGAGCCGCGCATGACGACGAGGCCGTACTCTGGCCCAACGCCACGCTGGCGGCAGAAATGAAGATGAGTGCGCCCGTAAGATACTGCATTTTGCGTATCGACTATGCCGTGTTAGAGCCTGGGTGCGGGTATGTTATTGGATAAAGATAGATAGGCAACAAGAACTATATCCAGCCGCCGTCCCCGGACTTGTAATCGAAGGTTTCTGTGGTAGTATAATATCAGCACTCCGAATCGGAATTGCAAATGCCCTTTGCCTCGTGCGAATTTATGTTGTTGACAAACCCGAGGAAGGGAAGTGTACTGCAATAGCGAAGAACCAGCGAGGGTGTGGGGAGCGGATGGGATCGTTAGCCCAAAGAAGGAAGGAGCTTTGGAGAAGCCCTTGGAGATCGAAGTTGAAGGGGTGACGAGGAAAAAGAAAAAGGAAAGAAGGAAGAAGAGAGATGTAGAAAAGAGAAGAAACAAAGTTATACATAGTAAAATACGACCCAAGGACAACTCACAACAATGCGGACAAACAAATATCTCGGGAGACAGTCAAGGTAAACAACGTGCCACCTGACACAGGCATCTGCCCCGCGATTGTCCGTTTTTAGATGACCATGATTCGTGCATTTTCAATTCCCATGTGTTCGACTGCTTCTCAGGCCGCGCCCAGCACCAAGAAATGTAAATTAGACAATTCTCCTGGGGTCGTCGAGGATACCAAACATGCCATAGATAAAAGATTCAGACGATAAAGAATTGGATTTGCGTGTATCTGAGCCAAGGAGAAGCATGTGATTTCATGAAAATGACGTTTCAGATGTTGCAGCGGCCAAAGCCGGGGAAATCACTCGAAGCATTCCTGAAATGGGGAAACAAAAACATTGAGCAACGAATCCGCAGGGGCCAACCTCATGGTTTTTGCAGTAAGGGTCACTTAAGCGATTCTTCCAGCGCAACTAACAAAGAGGGGGAAAAGATCATTCTGGAACAGAGCAGCTGTATCATGCCGTCCTGTTTGTGGGAAAACAGGGTCCGTGTTGCCCTTTCCGCAGGTAGCATCCCTTGCATTGCATGGACAGAGGGTCGATTATTGAAGAAGCCGCTGTCCACTAAACGGAACAAGTGACAAATGTGTCATTTTCCCAGAAGGGGAAGCACCGATTGATAGTGGGTTAATGGCTCTGTTCTACACCAGAACAGAGGAACGCCATTGTCGAGCGAGAAGGTCGTGAAGCGTTGGAGGTTGTCGTCCAAGCAACCGAGACGTCATTGAGAATGGGGAGCGAAGAGGAACAAATTCCTTGGTCTGACTAGGTAACCCAAAGAACGCGAGCCTGTACCCGTCAACAAGAGCAAAGAGGTTATTTTTGGGATACCGCGTGATTAATTTTCTACCAACACCTTTTAACTCTGTACAATGATGAACTATTCATGATAAGTATCCTTATTCGAATAGACTAATAACGAAAGACATATGACAACAAGTCTGCTGACAATATCATTTTATTTAGGCTGATTTCCGGTTGCATATTCTCAAGAACTAAATGTAATATTAACATACCACACAGTCAGTGATTCAATTCTATGTCATGATTTATTGGTTTGGTGTACTTCGGTATTATGAGAAGAAATTGACGCCGGAGCCCTAAATGCATGGATGAGTGTAAATAACCCATTGTTTTAGGTTCATAGTACGCCCTTCCTATCATGAGTTAAAATATGCAAGTGCTGTAGAGACACCCATATTCAAAAAGGGCCAAGATATGTTAAATTGAATATTTGGATAAAACAGACATTTACAGGACAGGCAAAAGCTCAAACTTCAAAACACTGAACAACAGAACCACTGGCCGTGATTGCTGCCCAATACAAAACCCATCCTATATATAAAAGTCTGCAATGACCCTCGATCATTGGAATACTCAGTTCCATCAAAGCCCCCCATATTTCCTGTATGTCTTCATCACATATCATTTCCATGGCAAGCTCTCTCGTTTGCTTAACAGCTCCGGAGACTTAACTCTCATTAGCTGTATCTAAAGGTCACGCCGTGCATCTCGTTTAATCACCGGTAACGCCGTCAACCTTAAGGTAGGGTCCATTGCTGATATTCGTGCAGCCGGTACGTCCACCTCCAGAGCCCTCGCCGGAGAGCTGGGTGCAGCCTGAGTCGCAAGCGCTGTTAGGGCAAGCATATACTGGCGGGTTGATGGCGTCGGTGCCAAGCACAACGAAGCCGACTTCAATATCGTAGTCAGACTGTCCAACGGGGACGCACTGGGCAGAGCTGGTCACCTCGTAGATCTGAGAGTCCTGCTCGCCATGGTCGCAGTCGGATCCTTGCGGGTACAGGTAGTATTGGAAGGCTTCCTGAGCGGCGGCCTGGGTAGCAAAGGCAGCAAAGGCCATGCCGAGGACGGCGAGAGCGCGGACCATTTTGACTCTGAACAAGTATCTATCAGCCCTTGCCTTTCTTTTCTTCTTTCATGATTTTCTCCATGTGATGAATTAAAAGGCACAAAGTCCCTAAAAGGGCCAAACATACATTTTTGGATTGAAAATTAAGTAAGGCTCAATTTCAGTGTCGGAGGCAATGACAACTCCCTTTTCCCAAATGGCTTGGTCGATAGATTGCTTTGCGGTGATTTGGAATGGAAAGAGGAATTCAAGAGGAATCAAGTCTTCTTTAAATAATCTTTTCCTGCAATTAGAGCGCAATGGAAGAATTGCCGAACGTCGAGATCTCGTATTATTTCGAACTACATGATCTCGTGAAAGCCACCAAGTTGTTGGCTCCAATTTTATGAAACTTTCCATCTCTCGATAAACCAGGAATCGGACATGATTTGCACTCTCAGGGCTACCAAACCATGAGCTAGCTTCTTGCTAAACCTGCACATGCGCATCAATGTCGAGCGAATGGCTCACTCAAAACGTAACAGGAAAGACGGAATTCGCCTTCGAGGCAGAAGGAGACCGCGAGGGAAGACATGTCGGGTTGTAGCAGTGCCAGAGACAAAGGTGGAGAATCCTTGAGACCTATATTGCACACAAGTCATATTGGCCTATCAAATTCTTCATATCGTGACACGGGACGGCAATAAAGACACCGCTTTTCTTTTCCACGCTCTTATCAGCCTTATGTTGCATCGGTTTTCGTGCCTCTCTACTCCGTAGTGCCAGTGTCACGGCGTGTGGCTGGAAACAAGCATTCGAACTCGGGGTAACCCCTGAAAATGACATCAAGCACCTCGCCATGCGCATAGTAGGCCCATGCAACGGCCTACTGGTAAGGTGGAGATTCTGCCCTAACAGGTCGGGGTTCGGTGTGAAGAGCTGCCGGTGCAAACGGTGTGATATTACGGAGTTATAGATGCCTCCTTTATTTCATAAATCTGCCACGTCCTAAGCGTAGATAATCAACAAGTCAGATGTTTTAATCAACCCGCTACAGACGGGAACTGCGCTTACATTACTGTACCTGGATCCTACAATCTCGTAGTGGGTCTCGCGGGGCGAGCCGTCCAAGGCACGGTGCTGGAGCCGAATTGAAACGTGGTGCTCTAGTTTTTACCACCTTACTGTTATAACGTGGAAAGCATTTGAGCTGTAGGCACTCCAGGCAGCCTTAACCTAGTACTTCGGACAAGCCGAATAGGTCCTTCGGTCTCACGAGCCGCTAGGGCGTTTCCAAAGTCGCCCTCTTATTATTAGTATTGCAAGTCGGGCTTGATCAACGATGGTGCATCTGTTCGTCTCCACAATCTGCTCCTACTCCGGGGTCGAAGAAGATCATATTGCATTGGCATCGGTAATAGTGGTTGTCGACAAGCCTGCTGATGTCAGCTTAATCTTCCTCGCGGGAGAAATTGGGGCACTTGCTCCTCGTAGCCACACTCCATAATGGCATAACCTACCCCACTAACTGAAACCAACGCATACTGACCGCCTGCAAGATTTATCGGAGAAGATTTTAAATCACGCAGGATGTGTACTCGTACATTCCACAAACCTCCAGAGGCGAATATCTCGGTCTTTGGACATCTAGACATGTTGACATGGTCTAGTAATCGCACTAGAGTCGGTAAATTCGGAAGCGTACGCGCAAGCCAGCTGTATGCATCGAACCACTAGCAGATAAGATTTAGTTATAGTTCCTCTGCTACAGTTATTCGATTTAGCTACCGCAGACTGCAGGAAAAGGTAACTGGCGGATATGACCAACTAAATTGCCATGTTAGACGGTAGCTAATAATTCTTTCTGACACCTAATGCTCCAAGTCTGCGTAGCGCCGCTTATTCAACTGCACTGACATAATTTGAACGTACCATTTTCACTAAGATACACTTAATTTGCAACCTTCCTAGTCAAGAAATAGAGTGAGAAATTCATCAATAAAACTGGGGCTCATCACGCATGATCAAAAACCATTTCGGTGATTCCTAGATGTTTCTGCCCTAAGATTAGCCTCCACCATGATTCCCTCTCGACCTCGCTCCCAGTCTCTCTTCCGATAAATCGCCATAAGTAAAACCTTACTGTTGGGTACCATATTACTCTTTCCGGCCCCCAATATCAGAAATCCGATGAGCCACTCGTCCGCCGATCAGAGACGTAAACAGATTATACTAGGCACCCATGCTCACCGTGCACAATACCTTTTCGCCTCCTCTATCATTACACTTACAACACGTCATCTATGTGCTTGTCGTAATGGGCTCATAACAGTTGCTACCAACCAGCTGCAGTTGTCGAGATGTCGTCCTAGGACGCTATTATTATTGATTACGGTTCAGGAACAATCTCAACCTGCGCGAGTCTCATGGTGGACAGACAGTGCTTTCATAGACAAGTGCAAGTGTTAAACATAATATGAAGAATATCGAGTAATGTGTTCGAGTAATATCAAATTCAACTCCAAGTCTGATCATTTCTTGCCGCGTCTACCATTGGCCAGAAACGTTCGTGTGCATATGGCATCATGCTGATATCGATCGTGTGATATATTGTCAGAGGGTAATGTAGAGTAACTGCAGTAAATCAGGCTTACGCTTCAAATATTATCTTAGCATCCATCATGTAGTAATTCTCCTTCGCTTTGAGTTTCATAAATGTGCTTTGAAATGACCAGGTCAAAAGCAGCGTCGGAGTACGCGGGTTTGAAAGAAGGAAAATGAAAGGAAAATATGGGGAGTCTGCACTGGTTTCACCCCTTGAATCAGGAGAGAAACAGCAAATTACAAAGCAAGGGGGAAAGAGAAAGAAAATACACCGAACGACCGTCGGTGACTGTACAATGTAGCGCCAATGAACCCAATAATTCAACTCTCCAGAAAGAGAGACACAACAACGATGAAATAACGGCGGCTGTTCACAGCCTCTATTCCTGTCCGAAACCCACTGTTTCCTCCACGGCAATGCCCAATTTTTGGTTCAAAACTTCAAAGGTCTTGTATGGTGGCAAGTCAAGCCGGTTGAAGCTGAAGGTGACGTCAGCACGATGGAATTGGCATGCCATATACTTGTACTTACCAGGTATGTGATTTTGGAAGTTGCGTAATTTCTCCAGACTTTTCAATCGTAAAGCGTCTCGGGCCATCGCTGCCTTGCAGATCTTTAAAACCATTGACTGGTATACGTGATGTGCCAGTGGCGAACTGTAGCAGACGAGATTTTTGCTCCGCATCCCAGCTTCGGATACACTGAAAATCATTAGACTTTCCAGATCTCCAAGTATCATGAGCACGAGACTTACCTTCCAGAAGTTCTGGATAACTTCATCAGACTCTGTGTACCCTCTGTAATCGGTATGCTTCTTCCAGTCTTCTACATCAATGTCCGCAATACCGCCAATGAGCAGCTCAAGCTCTCTCTCATCGAAAACGTTAATGAGGTCCGGCGGGATCAGCTCATTGAACCCAGTAACGAACGCATTGAACTGTTCCTCAACACGCTTCTGGATCCTCCATTCCGTAATGAGGCTGTACAACAATTAGCATCGGTAAAACGGGGCAATAAAATGGAAACTTACTCTATGTACTCCTTCTTGTTTTCGTTGGTGACGTCGATATTTCGACCATTCGGCTTCAAATCAATCGTGACAGTCTCGCCGAATCGCTCGTCATCAGTAGAGAACGTCAGGTCGAGGATGCCGTCGATGTCATTTTCCCTAAATTCATCAGTAGGGAATTCTGGGCAGAAAAAGGCTGCAAAAGCCATCTTACAATGTCCAAGTGAGGTTACGGTGGAAATCGGCATCAACGCCCTCCATGTCGGCCAGTGTCACCTTCTTCCGCAGGATCATCTTATAGAAGGCACCAATGAAAAAGGCATCCAAGAAACGTCTATGGAAAATGGCCAATCCAACGACACGTCCAATGAATTTGAAGTAGCTGAGATGTTCGGGGTTGATTCCGGAGTGGGGATTGATCTGAAGAGTATAATTGTCATGGGCAGAGTATTCGAAGAGACAGTAAAAGGGGTTGAACATCTCATGAGACAGAAGGAAGAAGAACTCTCTGTAATCGGTGTATTAGCATACACCATTAATCTCTGAAGATTTAGAGCAAGGCTCAAACTCACCGGGAAAGACCACCGTAATCCAGACCGTCCTCGCCGTCAAACTTGATCATCAAGCGCTTCTTCAAATCGGTGGCGCTCTGTCGCATAATCTCACCGTAAGCGTCATCGAAGATATGTGATCTTCGGACCTTAACATGGCACTGGCCTGAAAGAATGCGCAGTGCGGGCTGAGACCGGAAGTAAATGAGCTTTCTTCTGAAGTCTCGCTTGTACTGGGGCACGTTCTGATCCAGTGAGGACGGAAGTCTTGGATCATCCCATGTGGTAGTCTTCGTATTATGGTCGACAAAGTACACTCTGGCAGTGTTGGTAAGCCGCATTTCCCATCCGCTGGGGAGAGGGCCAAGTTGCGATACGGGCTGTTGCTGGATTGTGGTGTTGTTGGCGTTCTGACCATACATCCGGATGTATTGCTGCCGCCGAGGATCAACCCAGGTAGTCGTGCGCGTATTGTGATCCACAAAATACGGTCTCCCTTCCGGGGTATGGCGCTGCTCCCATCCTGGCGGAAGCTCCCCAGTTCCAGCGGTAGTAGCTCCGGTTGCAAGTGCGACGGTACCGGCATGAGGACTGCCACCTTGCTGGGGCTGCGGGGTTTGATCATGACTAGGGGAATTCGCTCCTGTACGGTCCTCTGGCAGCATCCGGTTCTGGTGTCTAGCACGCTCCATTGCCGTATTGGCCTCCATTTGATTTCGTTGGTCGCGCTCATTGTACGTGGTTGACGGTCGTGTCCAGGTCGTTGACCGTGTATTATGGTCTACGTAGTACGTACGGCCAAGATTGTCTTCCCGACGTTCCCAGCCTGCGGGTAGTCTTCCTTGGTTATCCTCGAATGAGCTAAACGTACGAGGTGCCGCTGACTGGCCGGCGCCATTAAGGGATGTCGCAGTTGCAGTCGCAGCCGCAGCTGCAGTTGTGGGCGCTCGAGACGGTGTTGGGCTTGTAGCAGCCGATCGACCTTCCGAGTGTACGCCAGGGCCAAGAAGGTCGGGGTTCACAGGCAACGGGTTCGAGGGCAGTTGGGCAATGGGCCCATTTGCTGTGGAAGCTGCACTCACTGAGGGTCTCGCGGATTGATTTTGTCCCCGAGCCGGAATAGGCTGGCCCAGATGGGTAGAGAGGTTGATTATAAGTTTTCCATGAACGACAAGGTTATCGTTAGACTTCTTCAAGTCTCTAGTGAGCATTTCTAACCCAGTGTCAGCCAGATTTGCGTCCCAGCAGAGATTGGGGGCCTTTTTTACCATCCCCTCCGGCGTCAAGATCCAAGACTGATCCAATGCGCACATTAATGACACCAAGGAAGCCTTGGTCCTTCTTCTTGAACTTCTTTTGGTCAAAGATCTGAATGGCGAGAATGCTATCTTCGTTCGCTCTCCTGTATATCTTCCTGTTAAAGCATGATCTTAATTTCGAAGAGGCTGAACAACATACATGTCAAAACTCTCATTCCAGTATGGGTTGAGGGTTTTTTTAATGACTGATGTCGTTTTGGTCTGCTCTCCACCAATCGTCGCGACAGCGAAGGGATCAGGGAACCCTAGAATATTGTTAATACCTGAAAAAGCCGCGAGCTTTCCCGGAAGTCAGAAAGTGTTTCAACATACGGAATACATCCCGTTTGTAGAGTCCATCAGCGGCAATTACTAGAGCAGTTAGGATCGCTTTTGACAATGTTTCTCAAAGTTCAGGGACATACTGGTAACCCGCAGGTTTGGCTCGCTGAGGCAGTAGATGTCAGTAAATGGAATCGTGACCACAGTATCATCGCGTAATGCGGGGTGAACTTACTCTGGTAGATTCGAATCAGCCATCTCGTCCTGATCGTCGTCGCCAAAGCAATGCCTCGACGATGGATCCACTGGATGTATCTTTACGAGCCGTGAAAGAACAGAAAGGGGGAACGGGCGAGGTCAAGCTAGCCCTCTCAGGGAGCAGGGTGGATATTTGCCGGGAGCTGATGAGGCAGTGCAAACCTCCAGCATCCAGGAGAGGCGAGCGAAAGTATCTCCGCTCTCCTCACAGCACCCAGGCACGAATCGACCTGGCTCTTAAGCTTTGCAAATCGTCACAGTCAGAAAAGTGGTGAGCGCAATGATGTAGAAAAGTGATTGAGGGCGAAGATTCGATGTGGTATGGGTTGCTGCTCCCTGCGGTTTTCTCCGTCTGGTGGTTGAAATGGTTTCACCCGCCAAAGATAGCAGCACTTGGTCCCCTCAGTCCCCCCGCGCTGGGTACTTAAGGGACCAGTTCTCTTCTTAAGGAATCGACCGATGCCGGATCATTTCATTACCTCACTCGACTGGAGAATCACAATATTGTATTTGCTAATCACTTTCAAAAAGGGAGGAAAGGAGGGTGACTTGGTAAAGTTGCCTTCTTCATCACTGCTCTGCCACAGCGCGCCGTTTCGAGTCACTCGCTCATACCCTCACCAAAAAGTCACGACGCCAAGTGGGATGATGTTCGTCATTGTTACGCGGCAATATCTACAACTCCCACATCCAGCAGCTTAACATTCTTCGATTTCACTATGCAGACTCTAGGAACATTTATTTCCATCCTTTGAAGAAATTACTTTTCATTGTTGCAACTGTGTCATTAACTTCATCGCACTCTTTCTGTGTCGAAGCTTGTATTCCCCCTAAAACCAAACCATATAATGTACAATGGAAATCAAGTAATTGGCTACCAAATGCCGATCGTGATAGGAAGCCCTACAACGTAAAATCTGGCCACCAAGGGCATATGATTCTTCCTTCCAGGAGCCTAATCAAAGGAAGTGTCGTTCTCAGTACGGCGCATATCCGCGTCCTCGTCCCCGATAACCGCCACGGTAGCCGCCCCGAGGAGGGCCGCCTCGGAAGCTCCCACGACCACGGAAACCGCCACGACCACGACCGCGGCCGGCCATTCCCGGAACGTTTGTGCGCTTTGGAACAACCTATAGTATGTCAATACCACTTTAATTTCTCTCATAGGGGATATGTCGACGAACCTTGAGGCTTCTGCCACGGAATACACTCTCGTTGAGCACAAGGGCCTGCGCAACCAGGCTAGGCTCGCTGAACTCCACGTACGCATACCTGCATTAGCCCATTAGCCACCCATCTCTTGCCAGGTAATGCGAAGCTCTCTAGAGGAGATGATCATGATGATAATGTCGGGTTACAGAGATTGCGTCGACGAACGTCTTCAGCGTGGAGAGACCAACCCTTTAGGATGACCGGTGAATTTATCCAACAAGATTGTCACTCGATTTATCGATCCGCAGCTCTGAAAGTGTGCTTGAATTTCCTCTGGCGAAGCGCCATAGTCGACATTTCCCACAAAGATACTTCGTGCATCGATATCCTCCTTGTCTTCCCGCAAATCTTTGGTCTGCTCGTCTAATGAGTCTTGCATCTCGCGCAGCTTGGCAGCTTCCGCCTCCATCTCAGCAACTCGCTTCTTCATAACGAGGATCTCTTCCTATATTCTTTAATCAATATCTAAGACAACGCAAGTCGATCGGCAAAGCATGGAAACCGGTGTTTCAGATCAAAGTTGTACATGTTCGAAGCAGGCGGTCTGAAAGTATGCGAGGTTTGAGTTTGGAGATTATGCGTACCTCCTCATTTCCCTCTTCATCGTGAGTATCAAGCTGCTCATCGTCCCGTTTTACGATGTCGTCCGCCATGATTGGTGCAAGTTAAGCCTTCTGGTACCAGTCAGTGAAACAATCCCCACAGAAATGAACCATTCCAAGTTGAATGGAAAAAAAGAGATACATATAAAGTGCGCGTACTTTTATTATCAATAAGAGCAATCGAAAGCAAATCGTGTAATCAAATAAAAAGATTGGAGAAGATCTTGATCGATGGATGAGCTGCCTAAAGACCCACGTCGGAGCTCGCAAATCGCGATTTAGATCTCGCCAAAGTCTGGAGAGGCTCAAGCGACTGACGCGAGATGTTCGGCTAATGTGGTTTGGCTACGGCCTGTGCTGTGCAGCCTGGCAGATATTCCGCGGGCATCTAGCCGGAGTTCCACTCCCAACGACTCATACGATTCACTACGCAGAGTTAATTCCTTGATGCTGCAGACTATACCAGCCAGACGTGCAACGGCGGACGCTCGAACCTTCCACTTGCGCAATTCAAACCTTAGCCCCAAAGCAATCATCTTTGCCTCCCTTGGCTGGTGTAACTCCACAACAATTCCAATAATGTGAACTTCAATAATACTGTCATCTTTGCTCCCCTTGTGGAAGACTATTTGGTGAAGGGAGTTATTGTGTTGTGACTATACTGCCCGTCCCTTTCCTCTCCCTTCCTCCCACTACAATGGGCTATCGGGGAGCATGGAACATTATCCATCAAGGTACATGGATATTCTGTAATGTGAGTTTCGCCAGGAGCTAAACTATCCAACAGGCAAGGTATATCTCTACATTAGTGAAGACGAATATGTTTGTTTTCCAGAGGACGAAGGCGACCTTGTCCGTTGTGTCACTAAATTTCTTCGTGATTTCTCAAAATTTCAAAAACAACAGAATATCAGGCCATTCCCTCTATCTTTACAGATAAATTTCAGTTGCGTGTATACACTTGATCTGGATCATAAAATATTGAAAGCGAAATCATGGGTTGATACAGAAGACAGTTATAAGCTGGACGTTACAGTCTTCCGTATCGCCGACTCAGGAAAAGTGCGTCTACAACGGGTGGCAGGTGAAGAATGCAAGGCCGTCAGATTGAGTCTTCCTTCAACCGTTGGAAATTACACATTGTCTGGACTTCATTCGGAGGGACTTGAGCAGAAACTCAGCGATCTCTTACTTCAATCAAACCCCATACGCCTTTTCCACGAGCAGCTTATTCTGGATATCACATTTCAGTGGCGGTCTTTTTTTGGTGACCCCGATAATTGGAGCACATCCTGGCTTCTACAGAAGACTCTCTGCGATGCAATTCTGCGGGTAGCTGCTTGGGACTTTAGAGTTCATGAACCTGATGCAGTTGGTGAAGATGGCGAGCTACCGGAAGTGCTTTCGATAGCACCTTCTGCGTTCCCCGAATGGTCTCCTTGCACATCTGACATCTTTTGGTTCCACCGCTTCCTTATTGTTGTATGTGAGGATGCTTCGAACGGTGCTCTAGGAGCCTTGGCTCTGGATAGAGCAAGGATCTATCTGAAGGGAGCTTCAGCCACGGTGATAATCCTTTCCCTGACAAGCGTTGTGATTGCAACAATTGATTCGTCTAGCATTCAATGCACATGGCCCGTACCGCTTTTTGGGCCAGACTCGAGATATGCCAGTCAGGGATGCGCTTCCTCCTAGGCCTCTTCACATCACCTGCCTGGCCAGCAAAGAAAATGCTTCTGCATCGAAAGGTACCATATCCGATGGAGCTCTGGCGAATAATCTTTCAAAATCTTGACTCGAACTCGAGGATTCAATTTGCCCAGACCGCACAACCATTTGAAGACATTTACTATTCATGCTTACCGGAATTGGAGATTGCCGGATCATCGAACGTCCTGCTAGCGAATGGAGATTACGCAATAGAATGTGCAGAATCCAAAAGCACGGATCTATGGGGAAATTAGTATTGGCAAGGCATCTCACTTTTCACCCTATTTCCTTTGCGATCTATTTTAAAAACAGATTTCCTGGTCTCTCCTATATCAACACGCTAGGTCATTGAGATCACGAAGCCTTTTTTATTGATACCATTCAATTTCACTTATTTCCGACGTCTCTTCGCACTTCTTCCTGCGGCATACTCTTTGTCTCCGATCTATTATAAACCTCCATCTAGTTCCGCGCTCATCAACGTTCCGGAGGCATCGGCGTAGACGCGAGGTAGCGAAACATGGTATGAATGGCGTTGACGTGGTCAGTGTTTCCTAAATCCCATCGCTGCTGCAATGCAGTAATCGGGATAGGCACCAGGTTGTTGAGATGTTCGAAAGTTGGCTCTTGTTTTTAATTTTTTTAAGGGCAATTTCACGCCTCCTTATTAGGTTTGTGAAGCATTGAGGCGTGTTTTGCGATTCCTCAGCGGCGTTGTCCAACTGTTCAAAAGCGGTATTCCAGTTATCGCTCTATAATTGTATGGTCCCAAAGGATAAGTTCTCCAAAACTCTCAAATGAAATTTGGCTTGTAACTGCCCCGTAGCTGTTCCGGTACAGTTTCTAACAATCAGGGGGGCAGTGGGGAACGGATTTATTGGGGTAATCATTCCTATTCCAACTGACCCTATCTTTACTTCCTCTTAATACTATACACCATTGGACCAACTATCTCTTTTTATTGGTCATTCTGGTAGGTGCAAAGACCCTTTCTCACGTTGAACGGATCGGGCTGGCCTTTGCCCATTTTAAGGCAACTTATGTCCCTCTCTTTAAGAGACCATCAATATATATTTGAAGCATAACATCTTATACCGTTCAATGCTATATATAACGAATCTTCTTTTATAGCAATGATACATTTTGCCAGACTTGATGCTTATGTTTTGTATATGTTTTTAAAACTTGAGTGCAAAATATTTAATACTTAAAAATGGGGTATTTAATTTATTATATTATTATTTCGAAAAAAAAAAAAAAAAAAAAAAAAAAAACCAACAAGGAAATTCAGGATCGTGTTAAGAATAGTATTACCATCTTCATCCTGCATATAAAACAAACCTATCTTACAATCAAACTGGTAAATATAAAGACCGCTTTTTGTAGATACGTTGCAGGAGTAGATTTTTCAAGCAACACAGGACTTCATCCTCGTGGCGTAACAACAACATCCGAAGCGACCAGCCAAACCGCCTCAGCATCTTATCGCAACAAACACAACCTTATCAGCCACGACCCTTTATGCCGCACAGACCAAGCTGCCGTCTCTGTTGTTTCCCAGATCCATCATCTGCTGCCCCCCACTGGGCAGTCACCTCGCTCCCTCTCCCATAACCCAAACACTGTAAAATCTGTGACCTGAACAGCGAGCTCCATTATACTATCCTGTGTCTCTGTAACAAACCGACAAATTTGAAAACCAAAATATTACTTAAAGGCTTATTTCAGACCGTCTGCAAATATACATTTACCTCTCCACCTAATATCCGACGCGAGCTCTTCCAAAAGAGATAAATACAAAAAAAAGAATAAGGATCAAAAACAACCCGACAACGAGGGGAAACCAACCCGGGGATACGAAGGAAAACAACCAGAAAAACACAAAGGAAAATAACCAGAAAATCCCAGAAGGAAAAAACAGCAACAACTACCCACCTAAAAAATAATGAGCAACGATTACACTCAGCCGCTCCTGCGGGAGGATCAACGCGCGCTCGCGCACGCCGCGCACGATCGGATCCACCGCTTTCTGCACGTGGGCGGCAGTAGCAGTAGTAATAATGACAACGATGGAGGAGGAGAGGAAGATGCGACAATATATTCAAAATTACACCGTGGGCGAAGACATCTTCAACGGTTCCTTACGTCCAAGACGGGACACTACTCTGTCCTGCTGCTCGTCGTGCTGGACGTGTCGTGTATCATGGCGGATTTTGTCATCAACCTGTTCATGTGCGAGCGAAAGCATCCGGGGCATGGGTGGGCAATTGCGCTCGAGGCACTGGGCATTACGAGTTTAGTGTTCTCGTGCCTTTTCATGCTGGAATTGATGGCTTCGGTATGCGCGTTTGGGTTTGGGTAAGTTGTATTTTTTTTTTTTTTTTTTTGCCCCCATGTTGTTTGGATTTGGCTTCTGTAGAGCATCATATTTGCTGGTGCAGGGTTTATGTACGAGTCGAGGTTCTCAGGGTGGGCTAGGTAAGGTAGGTAGGGAGGTGGTTAAAACGCTTGGCTTCAGCAGGGGGCAATGAGTCTTGGCAGCTTGGCACTCGTCTCGTCTTTACGGTACTTCTGCTTGTACTTTGTCTAATTTGGCTGATGTGGAGAGTCACATACCGTGCACGGTATCCTCAGCTAAGGGTTTTGCTAATTGCTTCGGAACTCTAGGTATTTCAATTCATGGTTTCATTGCTTCGATGCTACAGTTATTGTGGCTGGCTTTGTCATTGATGTGCTCTTGCGGGGTGTGGTTGAAGAGGTTGCTTCTCTCGTCATTGTACTGCGACTCTGGCGTGTCTTCAAAATCATGGAAGAGCTCAGCGTGGGCGCCCAAGAGCAAATGGAAGAACTCGTGGAGAGACTGGAAAAGCTGGAGCAAGAGAACCGTGAGTTGAGAAAGGAGATCAACGCCATGAAGAGCGATGCCGCACGCGGTTCGAATGACCGTGGATGAGGTTGAAATTCGTCCATGATTGTATAAATGCTAGTGAGCGCTCGGCCACGGTCATCTTATCACAAATCTTTAGTTCGTTGGTGCTTCCAAAATCACCTGTATGTTAAAGCAGCATCTAAGCGCCAGCTGTATATGCCCTCATCTGTTCAAGCTCAATAGGGCCTCAATATATTTCCGCGTATCAATGCCTATGCCCTCGGCAAGTTTACCTGGGCCCCAACCTCCTCTGCCCGCCGCTATGCCGCTATCGCGTGCAAATCGGCCGCTTGATCTGCTCGCAGGTGCAACATAGTCGCTAGCTTTCCGGACTAGGTAGGCTTCTCGGTAATCGCTCATGGGGGAATTGTTCTTCATATCAAACGGCACAGTTCTGGGGTGCGGCAGTCGCATCCAAACAACCCACCAGCCACGGCTGGTCTTGCACGTTCGCTCAACTTCAGATGTATTCCGCCGAGTCGAGCTAAATGTATTGAGAATCTGAGTATGAACATTCAGTGCTTCGATTCTCGTCCAAGGTAGACTTCCTCCGGTTAGAGTTGGCTCAAAAACACTGGCAAGTTCGGGTATATTTGGTATGGAAGTATGCACGGTCATGTTGGGCGGATCGTAGACGAGGTCATAGATGGGTTCCTTGTTTGTCGTTGAGGTTGTGCTTTTTGGTATTAGTGCTTTGTCCACGCGCTCCAGTACCTTGTCAGGTGAAGTCGAAGATAATAGGGATCGATAAAGTGGTCCAAGCGAGCGATGTAGCAGACGATAAAACGACGCCATTGCTAACGACCCTGCTTGGGCATCGAAAATAAAAGTGAAGATGAACGGTTGGCGCTGAGAAGAAATGAGCAATTTGACACCAAAAGGAATAGAAGAGAGCAGACACTTACAACGTAGACTACGACCCTAGCACGCTTCGTCTCCAAAATTCGCTGTCGCTGGGAAGCCCCCTCCTTCTCAGCGATAGAATGTGGTCCTTCGGTCGAAGAATGACCCCCAGAGTCGCTGCCAACCTTAGTTGAAGAGCCTGGTTTGTTCTCCGTCTTGTCAAGCAAAGCGACATGCAATGACCGCAGCAATATTCGGCTTTCTTCATCATCATCATTATTTTCTTCTTCTTGACTATCCTCGTCAAGGCTCCCTTTCAGGCCAATCATAAAATGGCCAGTGTGACGATCCCGTCGCGCCTGAGAAGTAATTCTCGTATCAAGAGATGCAGCACTTTGTTCTTGTGCTTCAGTAGATCGAGTTGCCTCTCGATTCTCATCTTGGTCCTTTACATGCGGACTTGGGTCGCGACTGACCGAAGAGTTGGGTGATTGCATCCTTTTTCTGAACGACCCACCCCAGCTTGAGCCGTAGCCTAAGGTAAAGTATTTCATCAACGTGTCTGAGATTGTCGACCCAGCTTCGGAAGGAGTTCGAGAGCCTTCGGCGTCCGCAGAGTCAATCGAGGCGGAAACTCTGTCGAGGGATTCGTTGGCTGCCGTCACAATTGGTGGAGGAATTCCGACCGGTAAATCTGTTCCTGGAGAAGCTATAGTCCTGTTCAATCTCAAAGGTACCCTCTGATCAGCCCTCATCGCGGCCGACGGAGTACGACTGGCGCTAGCTCTATCTCGTCGCCGTCGGCGTGTCGAAGTTGGATTATCTTTGACTCCATAGGCATCCTCGCCATACGTGTAGAGCAACTCCATCCAATCGGTAACCGATTTCAACGAGGAGCGCGAGATTGCGCCCAGACCAGAGAAGATGATCCCGTCAGCCTGGTTAGGTGACACGCCGGCGTAGGGCCATTGTTGCCCGGATTCTGGGTCATCATTCTCTGCTGATGAAGGCTGATTGATGGATGACTCGGCGGTATTAGCAGGTGGTTCGCCAAATCTTGATACAACAAGATCAATCAAGCCTTCTGTGCCATCAACCAAGCCTTCCAGAACCTCCCGCTCGCCACTTCCCCAGTCTTCTTCACCAACACCGATCCCCAGCTCGCCCCCGGCAGCAAGCTTCAAGCCACCGAAGATATCCGCTGCCGGGTTTCCATTCAGAAGCACGTCCCATTCCTTGGCGAAAAATGACCAGAAACGATCCAAGATACTGCAGAACCTGGATTTGCTTAAGCGCATGTAGATTTCATTTAATGACGGACCATGATGTAGTAGGAAGATGCCATGGGCTCTGATGAGTTGCTGAATCAGAAGGGCTGGCGGAGACACCTCTCTTGAAGAGAATTCTACTTCGGGAGCGGGGGGCGTCGAAGTCCCACTTGTTGCAGATTTTCCGTGGCCGATGGCGGGAAGTCTGGTTAAATCGATTGACTAGGTACTGTTAGGGAGGAAGCCACGAGAATCAATATGGGTTACATACAGCAAGTATCCACCAGTCACGTTCCAGCTCGTATAGTACTATACGTGACTTTTCTGTCTCGATGGAATCGACTGGCTCTCCTCCAGAGAAGCCCCTGGAAATCTTTTCAGCAACTCCGTTCCGAAAGAGATACGGTACATCGCATTCAGGCACGCAACCTTGCAAACTCAACCATGCCTTGGGCTAGTCCAACTTGGCGCATTCTCTCATTTTCTTCCTCATTGTCGACATTTCCCGGTCCTTGGGTGGCCGCAGCTCTCCGCCGAGCCTTGCTGGCGGAGGAGTAATAGAAAATTATTTGATCTTTGAGCGTTTCATCCTTGAGGCTGATGGAAGGATTGTATATTGTAAGGAACGCTAATTTTGCAGGGACTATCTTCCCTGTAAAGACAGGTGGTTCAGACATGGCATTGTTTCGATAATGTCCTGTCTCAACCAGAAGATTGGAAAGATGAGGTTGGATGTCAACAGTGACGTCTTAGAAGTTATTAATAACCTTCCAATTGTGAACAGGTTACGCGACTGTTCTAAAGTGTGTGGATCGGCACGTTCCGTGCACGCGATCCGGAGCCCCAGACGAGCGGAATTCGAGACAGCGACTCCGCAGCTTCCACGGTAGAGCTCACCGTAATTCAATGTCACAAAAACAGATTCTCCACCCATGAAGCTATTACTTAGGGGGCCTGGGGTTTTGCGCCCGGCCCTAGTCCCGCATTATGTAAATTGTATTTCGAAATTCCCCCCACAGCGAAGACTTCTTGCATCAAAAGCTTGCGACCCTTTAAGAATCCTTTTCTGTGGCTCCGAAGATTTCAGCATCGCGTCGTTACGTGCTCTTCACAAAGAACATCTTGAGGGGAAAAGCGGCATTGCATCGATTGATGTGGTTTGTCGGCCAGGAAAATGGGGAGGGAGAGGAAATAAGTTATTTCGCGAAGGTGAGTCTGTCCAAGGTGATGAACCTCAGTGTTGTCCACGCTGACTTTATGCATTGCTTGCCCAGTGCCCATCAAAGCTGTCGCGGGACAGCTGGGACTCAGAGTTCATGAGATAGATACGTTCACAGGGTGGAATGTAAGACCTATCAACCTAATTGAAGATCTATACGACAGGCGAACTGAGATAAATGAAAGCCGCCTACACCACACGGACAACCTGTGAACCTTGTAATTGCCGTGTCGTTCGGACTATTCGTTCCACCGCGTATACTCAGAGGAGCGAAGTATGGCGGTCTCAACGTCCACCCGTCCTTTCTGCCAGAGTAAGTCTTGCTTATAGAAATCACAGCCCATTGCATCTTGGATCAGAGGTAATAGAATATTGTAGATTCCGAGGCGCTGCGCCTATCCACCACACTCTCCTTGCCGGTTGCAATACGACAGGTGTGACTTTGCAGACTTTGGACTTTGGAAAATTTGACCATGGCAAGATTCTTGCTCAGACACCCTACCCTGGCATCGATATCCCAAACCCTGAAACGTGTAAAGTGCAGCAGCTTATGGAAATTGTGGCGCCGAAAGGCGCTGAGATGCTAGTCCAGGGCATTCGCGACCGAGTGTTCGTGCCGCCTATAGAAGAAGCTGGCTGGAATCACTCAGGCGCGGAAGGAGGCCCATTCAAAATGGCACCGAAGATTACGCCGGCGGATAGACATATTGATTGGGCGTCTTGGTCAGCGAAAGAGATTATGCGGCGAGCGCACGTCATTGGACCCCTGTGGAGCAAAGCCGCTATTTTATCAGGCAATAACACAACCTGGAAAAGACTCATTTTTGAGGATATCCGAGAATGTTCAGAACTCGAACCTAGGCCTGAGTCTCCCGGTCTACCATTCCTTGGTGGCCCCGAGCCGGGGTCGAGGTTACTCGTGGGGACATGTGATGGCAAACTTCTTAGCATTGGAAAAGTCAAGATGGAAGGTACAGTCTTGATGGATGGTGTCGCTGCCGTAACCCGTGCAGGGCTGCTGGACATTTCTGCACACGCCGACGGCTCAGAAGAGCTGGCAAGCTTCCGTACTCCGCTCGTTTGATCGGATTTTACGCTGTTGATAGAATGTCATTGTTCTGGGTAAGAAAAGAAGACCAGCTGAACCATTTCATATAAGAGTACCGTCATTGACAGGCAGCATTGACCGCATTTTTGAACACACATTGTCAAGTTTTGTTTTATGGTAATAGAGTCCCAGATTAAATCATAATTGTTGAAAGAAAATCCGAAATACAAGTGTTGGCCAGATCAACACCCAGTATTGCATAGCCAGTTTCATGCGAGCTCTGTTAGCCGATGGTCGGCACTACGGCTCACGACTGCAGGAATGACAATGATATGGCTAAGGAAACGCCGTCCACCTGCAGCGCCGTAAGAATCCAATGTCAAACATTCTTCGCCTCGTGCTCCTCTTCGATACTACCCCCACTAGAGCTTGCACCACTCTCCTCTTTTTCGAGGTCGGCTACGTCCTCGGGTCTGGCTCCGTGGAGTTCCTCCTCAAATACAGGCTCTTGATCGACAGTCTCAAATTTAGTCTTGAAGTCTTTGAGGGTGTGGGCGTGAGAATTGCTATTGGACCGACGACGTGGATTGTTCATATTGTATGCATAGTCTTCAACCTCTTCGCCATCGCGACCCCTATCGCATGATTGTCAGCATATGTGTTGAAATTGAGGACAAAATATGCCATACCAGTTGCCCTTCCCGCCACCATCTTTCTTGGTCTTCTTTGGATCAGTGTCAACAAAGCCAGACTTGGCAAAGTACCGAGGAAGACGCTCCTCGGGTGCAGCGGACCCATCCGCCAGAGCGGCGTGGTCTCTATCGTTGAGTTTGTGGGAACGCGTCACTATGAAAACATGATTGTTAGTTGGCTGTAATGAGGGAGTGCCAATGTCGTCATTCCCGTGGTACCCATCGCGATGGCGAAGGGGCAAAGAAAGGGAGGTGAGGAGAGATTAATCAGAGATTGAAGCGACTCACTATTTGTGTTTTGGTGATGAAAATGGTTATGAGGAAAGCGTGGATTTGATTGCTCTTATAGTTGTGGAGGATGTAGCTGAGAGGAGGTTAGCAAGGAATCAAGTCAGCTCATTGCTCGTGTGACCTCAGTGGTGGAGCTGCAAAAGAGGGATGCTGTCAAGCGACAATCCGGGCCACTTGAGTTTCAGGGACTTCCCATGGGCAGGCAATACGCAATCTGTTCAAAGCAATCGTCTCACGTAACACTATAGCAGAGGTGTTTCAATTACCTTTGACAATTGACTTATCTACAGCCTGGGCTCGATGGGACCAAGAAGTGGATTCTCATTAGGAGAGCAGAAGGTTTAAGGGGAGATAGATCTGGACGGCGAGGGACCAGATGTTCGTCCCGCTCCCATTCAGGGTGGGGTAGGCCAGGACATCAAAGGCCTGAACCGAAACTCAATTCATCATTGAGCACGTTTCCCCGTGTTTCTTTACAATGCCTTCGGTAGCTGTTTGACACCCATATTCAATGTTTGACTCACTTGGCATCAATTGGTTCAAATTGCATTGAACAAATACCGACACACTCAAAGCATCCCGTAATAGCCATAAGGTGTTGATTAGAGATGAAGTCCAGGCTCTTCTGTAGCTATCTCCGGGTGTCTGTGGCCAAGCCCCACATCATAAACGGTTATCCCCCACAATACCTTAGTGAGTGGTCTGGCGATACAGAGGACCTGCATGTACCCACACTGTTTAGCCCGCAACTGTGCGGTTTGTACAGTACCCACACTTGGCCGCGGCAGAGAATGGGCACGTGAGCTGCCATCTTCACCGCTCGAGACAAAAACCTCCATTGCTCTTCTGCCATCGGCCATGGGAAGATTGAACGGGCTAAATGTTATCTATACTTCGTATGTCCGGTGAAAAGCAAAGGGATGTATCTGTCTAATCTTTTGCGCGTCCGTGGTGTGACGTAGCCTGATCACGTTGAAAAGGAGACTTAGGAGACTTCCGATATACCTTCAGTGTTTGCTTGATTAGCTAAGCATTGGGTTTTTCCCCGGAGTTGCAGATGGAAGTTTTTCCGTCGTGCTCCGCTAAGCCCATTTGGGCTCTCCAGTTTTTATCGGCACTCGCCAACTCGTGATTCGTCAACCAATCGATGTCTGCTTATCAATTCGACACCGACAGCGGCGCTCCTTCCAAGTTGTTCGCTCCGGAGGGGTTCAGCAAATTTCGATCATTATACATTATTGGTTTCTCCAACTCCCATCGACTTTCTCCCAAACATCACATATCATTGCTCCTGGTTAGAAATAGTCTGAATTACATCCCAATAGCATTTCGACAGATTTTTACAAAGGATGGCACCCTCTGTCATGCTGGACACCTCGGACGACTTCAAGCCCTGGGCCAGCTCTCAGCGCACCCTGTTGCTTTGCCCTCCCTCGCTCTCATCCCACCCGGAGGCACTGAACAATGTTCTCGAGTCTCACGATCGTTCCGTTACCGACATACAGATGCTGGACCGCCTCTCGCTTGGTCTTGTGGCTCTTCCCGAATCGACATACGACGTCATCCTGATTCTCTCGGATGCCGACGGCTCACGAGGTGAGAGCCAAAGACTGCTAGGCCGAGATGTCTTGAGTAAGGTTGTTCGAGCTTTGAAGCCAAATGGCAAACTTCACAGTCAGGATGGTGGCTTTGCTGCAAATGAGGGACAGGAGAGAACTGAGGCCATTCTGGCCGGTCTACTTGTTGACCCTAGCGGCAGTTTGGTGAAACCTGGATACAGCAACAACGAGGCCGTTCCTTTAAGGTTTGGAAAGAAGAAGACGAGCACCCCGGCTCAGGCTCCCTTGTCACCCAACAGCAAACGCAAGGCTGAGTCACAGCAGCCTAGCAAGCTGGCTGGCGTCGGCTTCGTGGATTTCAGCGATGATTTTGACAAACCTGTTATCGAGGGCGAGGACGACTATGATGATGAGTTGATTGACGAGGATACTCTTTTGGATGAAGAAGACCTTGCTAGGCCCATTGTTCAACGTGAGTCCACATTGTATTCACCCGGCGCTTTGCATTCAGATTAACTTATACGACATAATAGCCCCCGAATGTCGACCCCGAGCTGGTAAGCGCCGCCGAGCCTGCAAAGACTGCACTTGCGGTCTGAAGGATAAGCTAGACGCCGAAGACGCGGCGAAGCGTTCGCAGGCAGACACGGCGTTGAACACCATGAAGTTGGATACGGATGATTTGGCTGAAGTGGACTTCACTGTCCAGGGCAAGGTTGGTAGCTGTGGTAATTGTGCCCTTGGAGACGCCTTCCGCTGCGACGGATGTCCGTACATTGGGCTACCTGCCTTCAAGCCTGGTGAGGAAGTCCGCTTGGTGAACAACGAGGTGCAATTATAATGGACTGCATGGGTTGGCGTTGAGGGGTTGGTTTCAATTATACCTGAGATTCGGTCTTCGCTCGGGTTCCATTTTATTTGCATGGCGATGCAATTGTTGAATGCCCTGGTGGCTATGGAAACTTTCTGCTTGAGTGATGCTTGATGACGTACATTGAAACTCACGATATGCGCATTTCAATAGATGAATGGTAACAAAAGTCTCACATCGTAATGCTCTACGACAAAGTCATCTTTTGAAGACCAATGAAAAATATGGCATTTTCTCATTAGAAAGCTCGATCTGTAACATGTTGTATTTTTTGTCCATGCCAAAATCTAATTCTATGAGGACGTTTTGGGGACTTTAGTGGAACGTCTCGTCGGGCTAAAGCGAGGCGTCGCGAAACGGGACGTTACCGAAGTCCATCACGTTCGTTGGTTCCCTCTTTCGCTAGCTAGAGCTTCGACAAAATCAACAAACGGCTCTCTTTTTGGCCTCCTCATCCATTGGGATATCGTTTGTCAGATGACCCGACAGTTCGCATTTCTCTATAACTTTTGCGAAGTGCGCTTTTGAAGCGCCTCAACTCTCATCATGTTCTCCCCAGAGGCTTCATTTCATGCGTCTAGTATCCCGACGCGCAATCCCCGGAGGCGTCAGAGAACTCATTCCGAAGAACCTGGAAGCGCCTCACAACGCAGTAAGAAACGACAACGGAGTGCGCTTGCGCAAGAATCTTTCATTCCTCCGCCAGATTTGGATATCGACGGAAATGAAAACGAGGAGGAGACCGTGTTCAACGGCGATTCCATCTACTCTGAAGTAGACTCAGGGTTCCAAGGGCTTGCTCTCAAGGATAAATCAAAGTCAAGTAAGAGGAAAGGAAAAGGAGACGGTAGTATTGTTCTTGTATGCTTTCCTACCTACAAAATTCATTCCAAAAAAGAGTCATTGATGTACATGCTAACGCAATCCTTTTGCTAGTCAAAAAACGACACCTACGTTGTTAGTCAACTTCCCAGTTTACCAGATTCTATACGATCGAACAAAAAGGGTATGGTATAGCCTTTCAGATACGCACAAATCTCACGCTCACCTTTTTCTAGAACGTTTCCATGGCGGGATATCCAGCCTCGCCGGCTTTGCCCTCGCATTTACACACACCCACGCCTTGGTCTGGTCGTATAACTCAACTCAGCCAATTCCCAACAAGTCATTTTCATTCAAACTCCAAGAACAACCCGTACACTCGTCTGACCCGCTGCCAATTGGATGCCTTACTCCACGCACTACTTCTTCCGCAGAACCGGGCTTGTTGGTAGTGCTGCCATCAACAGGCAGAATCACTTACTGGGCCTCACTCTCTGATGCGGCGACGGTCGATGTTATGCGCCAGCGACACCTTGGTGTCGCTGGGTCTGTTGGCAGCATGCTATCTGGGGAATTCGCCGTGAACATAGTGGATGCTGAACCCTCAGGGTTTTTGCTAACATTTAGTTCCGGACGTTTTGCTCATCTACGTGTAAGGGATCCTCAGGGGCGGCCTGGCATATTTGTACAGTTTCTTCGCCACAGCGGTGGCAGCGGTGGCTTTTTGGGAGGTTTGAAAAACGTCTTTGGCGGCGGGGCTTGGCGAAAAAATATCGCCGGAGTCAAAGCGGGCAAGTCTCATGTGCGGGGCCAACGTGATATCATTGTCGGCGCTTCAAATGGCTCATTCCAGATCTGGGATACCAATTGGTCCGGACGTGACACGCTACGTCAAGATTTCGATGCCAAACCTGAGATTGCGGCAGGGATAGCAGGAACTGGGGCTATCACGCAAGTGGAGGGCGAGACTTCACTTGAAGTTCTCGACTTTCATCTTCTTTCCAGCGAAGATACCAGCATGGACAGCAACACTCAAGACGCAGATATCGAGCTTAGGCTTCTCGCCTTGGTGGCATTTGTTTCGGGTGGATCTTGGAGCTACGCGTTGGTTGAGCTCACTCTGGAGGAAGAGGCGCCTGTCGTTAGAGGTGTGCAGCATATTAGGTACTACAAGGCGCCGGCCAAGCAGCGAGGTTATCAGACAAATGCGCGCCTTCATTTACCAGCCCCAGGTCATGTCGCCTTCATTGTCTTCGATGACGCTGTGGTGATTGCCTCTGTGAGAAAATTGGAGGAAAGTCCTTCAACGCAGCTTCTCGCGGACACGCAAGGCATTCAAGATCCGTTCGAAGACGTCATTGAGTTCCGTAAAGGCACAGAATTTCAAGTGGTTGGAACTGGAGTTGAAGATGCCCAGGATAAATCCAAAGCGACATCTGACCCTGGTCGACCCCTCTTGAAGCACCCGGGATGTCTTCTACTCGTTAGAGGCTTTGGCGTCGTCAGGGTGTCTGTTTTTGAGAATAACGATCAGACAGCTGCCATTGACTCTTCGAGATTGACGGTAAAGAGCAAGATCGAGCAAGCAGTATTCTACGGAACAGTTTCAAATAACTTACTCAACTTCTCTGCACGACGGGAAATCCAGTTCACTGCCGAAGAGGTTGAGCAAGCAGCATTGCAAATCAGCAACGAGATTTTAACATCCACCTCCGAATTTATTCCTTTATTGACACCCTCTCTCGACCATCAACTGAAAGTCCGAGCAAGTGCGCTGAAGCATCTTGCAATCCATCTTAAAGAAAATTATCCTCCAATCAGTCGAGTTGGAAGATGGCAGATGATGTGGGATGCGGAGAAGTTGATGGCTGCGAGGGCAGTCTGGCGATCATATGACGCGGTTCTGCGAGGAGAGTGGGCAAAAGAGAAACATTTGATTCCGGAACTTGTCATCATGCTTTCGGAAAAGTTCAAGACGGAACCTGTTCCCGAGCTCGGGGAATTAGATGCTGTGAGGCAATGGTTTATCCGAGATGTTTCACGAATGGAGTTCTTTGTGCCGTGGGCTTGCCAGACTGTGCTTGAACTTTACAAGGAAGGCGTTCAAGACCCTCGAGTTGTCACCCGACTTGCTAGTGAAGCTAATGATATCTCTCTCGGGGCATTAGAGACAGCATTTAGATTTAGGTCCGAAAATATGTCTCTCTACGGCCTTGAACATGAGAATTTGGAAAATGGCATTCTGCGAAACGGCTACGAGAACCTTCCTGAGTTCTGGACATCGACCCAGCCGGTATCCAAGAGTACGAAGGATCTAACTGACTTATCTCGGCAAATGGCGACGGACCACTGGAAGAAGCCTTCTCAGCCCGGTGATCCCGACCCGAGAATCATCAAGAAGTTGGCAGATGACAATCCTCGTCAGGTTCAAATTTCCTGCCAGACTTATCAAGAGTATTATCGGTGGTTATTTTCCCGGGGTGATGAATACCATGTCAACGGAGCAGAGCACGTACGGGAAGCTCATTTGAGAGTCCGAAGGGTTCAGATGACTTCGCTATTAGACATTGACAAGGTGCACGAAGCTCTTGCGCTGGCTGAGAAGTATCGCGATATGATTGCGCTTGTTGAAATCGTAGCCAAGGAAGTCAACCATTTGGGAATCGAGACCCAGAGACCTGAACTCAGTGCGGAGAGGCGTGCTGAGGCGCAGGAGCGACTGGAAGCTTTACAGGACCGTATCGAATCCTACTTTAGAGATTTTGGTGACGAGTGGGCACATGCTCTATACTCCCGTCATATTGAACAGGGGAGGCTTTTTGGACTGCTCGATGACAATGCTGATTATCAGCCGTATCTGACGAGATTCCTCCGGTCGAATCCTCAATATGCGAAGCTGAGCTGGATTAATGATGTATGCGGCGAAAATTCGTATTTGCACGCTGCGAACACTCTACTTGCGCTTGGCCAGCATCAAGAGACCAATGTTTGGAGCAAGAAGGTTGAGCTGAGTCTCGGAAAGCTCGCAGTTGCAGCTGTCCGAGAGCAGCGGCGTCAACCAACCACGAGGAGAAGCGAAGGCGAACTGGTTACGGTGCACAGTGAGTTGGCCATGATTGATATTCAGGAGAAGCTCTTCCGGCACCTGGCTTCTAGCATCAAAGATTCCCTGGATGAAAAAGCGGCGGTCCAATTGGCGATGGAAAAGTATGGCCAAGAAGTAACGAAGGACAATCCCGCAATGCACCAAATGCTCGAAATGGGTTTAGAGGCCCTCATCGAGCGCGAGTCAATGAGCCCTGATCAGCTCATTGATACTCTGACTCTGATCGACTCGAAATTCGACAGCGATAATCAAGATGATCTCAATGGCTCGCAATTTTATCTGGCTTTGCGAGTCCTTGATCTCTGTGGACTTGAGTATGGGAGGACTCGGCGAGATCTCACGGAAAAAATCATCTGGAGACGATGCTTCGTGAGGGACAATTGGAACGAGTTGAATGACACGAGCCTGAAGGGAGACCAAGCTGTTGAGGATGCTACGCATGCTACGGCACTGTTTAAAACACTGAAGGAGGGCTTCCGGAACGGTATGGTCCCTCATTGTGTGCGAAGCGGTTTACTGATAACTAACTTTTGATCTACGTGAAACAGACCTCTGGAATGCTTCTTCTAGCATGCGCATTCTTTCTCCCCAGCAAGTCAAAGGTGCAGGTTGCTCCCCAAATGAGCTCAGTCACCGATTTGGTACGAATTCGGAAGACCTTCGAGAACCCGTGGCCAAGGGCATGCAGATTGAGGACGAGTTGCTAGAAAAGTACGTATCCAAAGGCCGGCTCGATCACTGGTTCGAGGGTATCAAGGACGCCGCCAAGAAGAGCCTCGAAGACGATCGTGACACTGCGGCTGAATCAACTCAACTCTGGGACGAGATCTCGTCGAAGATCGAGGCGGGGATACCACCTGAGGAGGACGAGCAGATGGATATGGATGAGGACGCCGAAATGGACGATGAAGGCGACGTGTCCATGGGATGAATAGAGGGACTAAAAAAAAAGGGGCACTGACGGCCGCCCAGCGCCACGTTCGATAACGCCTGCAACGATTTTACCTTGCACATTCTTTAATACATTCAGCATCTCAATTTTGACGGCGTTGACGGCTGTTTGCTTTGCCTGCGACTAGGCATTTCTTTTTTCGACTACCGATATTGATTTGGGCGCTCCCAATGTACCTGTATCATACAAAACAGTAAAACCGAATCTACCTGAGCACTTAGAATCTAATTACGATCTCTATCTACTACTAAATATGGGTTAGACAACGAATGGATTTCACGACTGAAAAGAAAAATTAGACAATCTGCCCAATGGACATGCAGTATTTGAGACTACTATTGTGAAATGATATCCAACAGGGATAGAGTTGGCGCCACGTCGCACAAGCAGGGGCATGCATGCATTTATAGCAGTTGATGTTAAGTTACTGATATCTCTAGCGGATGATCCGGTGGCTTGTTTGGCTGTCTGTTGATGATACAAATCCCAGGGGCATGCATTGTGCATTTTCGCCTCCGATGCAGCTGGTGCAGATACAGTGGAGATTCCCTGGTCAAATTTCTATCCAGAAGCGAAATCCAGTAGTTTTGGATAGAGTAGAACGGTTGGGTAGGTACAGCTGGCTGAAAAGTGATACCTCGGATGCGGAGCTTATCTGATGATAGGCGTTGACGTGTAAAATACGTGCATAAGGATGCTATAACTACCAGTTGGCAGACCTACGATGGATGAGTGCTTTCAGAATACGTACTACTGTCTCAACGGTCTTTTCTCGCTTCAACCGTTTCAGGTACGAGTACAGCACGAGTAAGTTACGTAGAGCATTTATCAGCAGCATATCAGCGCCATTCGATGAAGAACGTGTCCGATAACGGGATGCAGTTCACTATTCGAATTTCTCCACTGAGTTGACGGGTTACTGTAGGATGATGATCGTCCTATCAACTTAGACCGCCGCAGTAAGCGTGCATGTGTAAATTCAATACTTGCATACATGGGAATGCTTAGCATTATTGAATGATTATCGGAGAAAAACAGCCCAAGAATAGTAAGAAGGAAAAAATAAATTCAATCATAAATTAAAAATAAAATTAATCAAATACAAAAAAAAGAATCGTCAAATCAACGCCGTATATTTTGGCATTTGCATGTCCAATAGTATTCCGTAGTCAATTGCTTTACACCGCCACGACACAGTGGAGATTCCAGACAACCAGCCGGCCAGCGCTTCGGGGGCGATTGGCGTTCTGGACCAGCAACAGCCGAATGGATCATGGCGAGCCGCTTCGGCGGGGAGCGATAACGCAAAACCTCTGAGCAAATGAGAAGCGGCAGAAGTAAAAAGAAGAATGAAAATTGAGCAACGAGAAAAGATCTGACGATAGTAGTCAATCAATGTGAGGTCGAGATTCTCCGAGCGCGCGTGATGCCGCCACTACCACCTCAGTCGGCCACCCCCTCCCCTTGATTTTGAGGGATCTTGCCTGACCGCCTTGTCCTACCATCTCCAAGAAGGTCAAAGAGTCCCATAGACCAAAAGCATTTTCATAGGCGGAACATGTAGAGCTAGGGTCCCAAACCCCCCGTTCTTCACTGCTAGCCCTGCTCAGGGTCTGACGCCTTGTCCGACACTGTCTTTCGCCGGGTGGCACCGTTGGGCGTCTACTTGAAGAAGCGTATTATCTTTTGGCGTCGCACAGAGAAACTTTTGGTCAGAAGCCCCTTGGGGCCGTCAGGTACCCGCTACAATCAAATCAAAGGGCTTTCCCCTTTCCCCGTGGCTACTTGTGCGGTAGTTTTCAAAGTACCGGGGAAGAAGAGCCCCTGCGCCATGCAGTTGTAGCTCACAGTAGCTTCACCGCCGCCTCCCGCACCTGGCTTGTGTACCTGTACCGTCCCTTGCACTCTTTTTTGGTTGACCCTGGCGGTACCTGAATCTTTTCCACATCTCCTTCTTCTACGCCAAATGCCTCCGAGCAAGAACGTACGGAGTAGTCAAAATACACAGCAGACTTAGTCAAATTCCTCCGATGGAACTTCCAGCACAGCATTCCTACGATCATTGGGATCTCGATTGGTATCGCTTACCATGCCTTTGGGACGAGAAGCCATACTGTCTTTTCGAACATTTTCATATTTTCATATTTTCATATTTTGTTTTCCTATGTGGTTAGACACTTTTTGAAGCTCGGGCCTTGGGCTCGTATCCCGGTCAGGCGTCTGCCCTTTCTCACCCTCTTTTGGAACACATTTACTATGCCATACCCGATTGAAGATAGAAGTGATGAGCTTTCTCAATGAGAGAGCCATTCGCCTACTGAGCATAGCATACCGGATGCTCCAGCGACCAAGAGGAATTTGAAGCGTGAGGGCTCTCATCGACAAATCTCCATCTTCCTCCTCCTCACCTCTAAGTAAATGCTCGCTGCCTATTTCTTGCCGCCTTCCTTTTTCTACTCGATGTTTTCTCCCGGTGACTGTCCCTCCGGATCACAAAATACCAATGGCTGCCTCATGTTGACTCTAGCTATACGGCCCCATGACAAAAGGGCTCTTGAACCATGTTTGTGAAGATTACTGTGGCGACACCAGAGTCACAGATGCCTTGGGAGGGCGGGGAAGTATAGGAGATTTCTCCGAGACTTTACACCAGTAGAAGACGAAGAGGCGGCCAGTTTTCAGATCCAGGTGATTCATGTCTGATTTGGCTCGAGCCACTGGCGGCCGCCACCGCGCGGATCGCAGAATTGGCTTGGCCGGGGATCCTCGACCAGCTATCTCCTACGAAGTTCATGTGTTACCAATCTCAAAGAATATCAATAGTATGAGAAGCGGTGTTTCGAGCTCAGACGCGATACCCCTTCATGAGCATTGCGATTTGGCAGACGCATTCATTATTAGGGGACTCGAACTACATTTTGAAATTAAGTTTTATCTAGTGTATTTGATGCCTTTCTATGTTTGGATCTCTTAAAGGAATTCCACAAGACAAGATCGACATTGATCATCGGTTTTGGTTCATTGCTGATGTCCACAATTCGTGCCTCATACTGTACCCCGTACCAATATGCCGTGGCTGTTCTTCGCAACTTCCCTTTTCGTTCCTGTCTCGGTCGCATCCTCCCGTCGGTCCATTCCAGTTTGGGAAATTTAGTCGGGGGGCTACGGGAGACGTTACAAACTCTCCCTTGACGCTCCAGAAAAAGTTACCGGCTATGAGTTACTTGACCGTCAACCTAGACCTCTCTGGGGTTGCATCTAACTATAGAGAAAAAGAAGCGTTGATTTTTTAGCTGAAATGTTTACCCCCTACTTTGAGAGATCCAAACAGAAATCTCCTTCAGAATATCCTGTATTTTTCATTCTTCTTGCTGAATTTATATGCTTCGACCTGGGCTATGTTTATTTGTCTAGTTTTCTTGAGCAGATCGACATCGAACGAAGGGGAGATGTTCCTCTTCGCTTAAAGGGGAAAAAGTTGGTTTTAGTGGGTGCGCTGTCGCGGCCAAACCCACTTGATTCCCCCCCAAGTTGACATGGTCGCCCCTTCCCTTTTTCCCTTCTTGCAACGGGTCCCATAGAGTTATTCCTGCCTAGTCGTCCCTGTCTACCGCCCCCCCGATCGCCCACAGGAGAGAAGAGGGAGCGAGCGAAAGGGAAAAAAGGCCACCGCCATCCAGCGAAACACAATCTCTCCCTCCGACCCAGTAGTACTCCGTAACTCCCACCCACACCCACCTTCTCCCCCCCCCCCCAAACCTCTTTCAGTTCGCGTTACCAGTACTACTCTAATCCTACTCTCCACCACTAATTACTCGTTTCCTCCTTTGCTCTTTCCCTCCCATCTCTTTACATCCCATCCTCTTGCCAAGTCTCCATCTTATTCCGGTTCATCGCTGCACGACGAGGCGTTGACACGAAAGAGTCGATCCGACTCGACGCCTGCCATCGACTTGCCATCCGGTCGGTTGACAGCCTCGGTCCCAGGGACCAGTTTTTGTAATCGAGAAAAGTAGTGAATCCCATGAACTGATTCTCGACCGACTCATCGATACCTGTCGCTCGTCCTTTCCAAATATCAAACTTTCCTCGCCAGTTCCGTTGTCCTGTCGACCACTCATTCACTCACGACGCTGCTGTCATCCGAACTTCATTGTTGCCATCCTCTTCTGTGAAGGGACGTCTGTCAACATCCATACACTCTTAGACGCAGCCTAATTTCTCCTCTCTGTCATCCTCTTCGACATCAATTCGTGTCTTGTTTGTGATACAACGATCGGACAAGCCAACAAGATATTGTTGACATCACGCTCGTCACGACGAGCTTTCCCTTCCAATGGCTTCCTCGTCGTCCAATGTTGTCGGTGTGCACTATCGTGTAGGAAAGAAAATTGGCGAGGGTTCATTTGGTGTCATCTTTGAAGGCACCAACCTTCTCAACAATCAGCAGGTGGCCATCAAGTTCGTACGTCTAATCGATGATAACACGCCTTTTCATTTCCCGACACAGTACTAACTAGCCGTAGGAACCTCGAAAGAGTGATGCGCCTCAGCTTCGAGATGAATACAGAACCTACAAGATCCTTGTCGGATGCCGTAAGTCTCTTCTGTACCATGAAGCCACTTTCTGGGATCCCACGCTGACGCCTTCTCGCTTTAGCCGGCATTCCCAATGTCTACTACTTCGGCCAAGAGGGTCTCCACAATATCCTAGTCATTGATCTTCTCGGCCCCAGCCTCGAAGATTTGTTCGACAGCTGCAACCGCAAGTTCTCGACAAAGACTGTTGTCATGGTCGCGAAGCAAATGGTATGTTTTGCCCTGTGTACAATAAGCACAAATATCCTAGCAGTCCCAATCCTGACACCCCCTGCAGCTCTCCCGCGTTCAAACGATTCACGAGAAGAACCTCATTTATCGCGACATCAAACCCGACAACTTCCTCATCGGCCGCCCTGGCACCAAGGCCGCCAATGTGATTCACGTTGTTGACTTTGGCATGGCCAAGCAATACCGTGACCCCAAGACCAAGCAGCACATTCCGTACCGCGAGCGCAAGTCGCTATCTGGAACGGCCAGATATATGAGTATCAACACCCACTTGGGCCGTGAACAATCGCGACGAGATGATCTCGAGGCCCTTGGTCACGTCTTTATGTATTTCTTGCGAGGTGGTCTGCCCTGGCAGGGTCTCAAGGCCGCCACCAACAAGCAAAAGTATGAGAAGATTGGCGAGAAGAAGCAGTCCACCCCGATCAAGGACCTTTGTGATGGATTCCCTGGTACGTTCTTTGGATATGGTGCGCACTCAGTGACATGCGGCTGACCTATACAACAGAGGAGTTCAACAAGTACCTTAGCTATGTCCGCAACTTGGGCTTTGAGGATACCCCAGACTACGACTACCTTCGCGATCTCTTCACTCAGGCATTGAAGAACAGAGGCGAGGCTGAAGACGGCGAATACGACTGGATGAAGACCCCGAATGGCCGCGGCCTGGCATCAAAGCCTCACCCAACTCACTATGGCGCCCAGGCTCCCCCAAACTCGTCGGCCAAGGAGCTCCGGGGCCGAGCGATTCCCCCGGGCCGTTTAAACGCCGAGACGCCCTCCCTACCGTCCGCAGCGAAGCCGGGAGTGTCACCGAAACCGGGCGTGGGCAACCCGGACCGTCGAAGCGTGCCCGGCGGACCGCAAGCCAAGCGTCAGAGCGGGGTGTTGGGGGGATTATCCGACTCGCCCACCCCGGCGGCGTCGACTCAGGCTCAGTTCCAGAATAGCAGTCAGAATTTGCGCATGAACTCGACCCAGCCGAACATGTCACAGCAGGCGCCTGCACCCCGGCAGAACCAAGAGCCTCAGCCATCGGCGATGCAAAAGATTATGAAGGTCTTGTGTTGCGGTAGATGATAGAAGACGTGTGTGTGTGTGTCTTTGTGTTTGAAGCATTGGTGGGTGCCTATTTTCTATCCTCCACGCAATCTCTTCCGCTTCTTGACTTTTCCATGACTTTTTTTGCGTGGCCAAGCTGCTGACTTGCCATACTTTTTTTTTTTTTTAGACGATAGACTCCATTCACAGCATTGTTCTGGGTAAACCAGTTGATATGTTGACGATTCTTCAAGCCTGTTTATTTGCCTGCGCGCATGTGTGCATACGGTTGCGTTCCCAGAGAAGCGAAGAAAAGGAGAGGGCTCAATATAGAGAGGCTCGGGAAATAACTATGCGCGCACAAAACACTTTTTAAAAAATCATTGGGGGAGCTTTTTACTCGCGCGCGCAACAATGGGCGGTTCGTGGTTTAATCACAAAAGGGTTGTCATAATTTGCATGGGACTGAGGAATGCCTTGGCCTCTTTTTTTTTTTTTTCCTTTTCCCCTTTTTTTCCTTTGCTTTTTACATTACTGATTCCTCATCACGGCCAGTGTCTCTTTTGTCTTCTTTTTTTCTTTTTTCTTTTTTCTCCTTTTTCCGCTATTGAGCATGTTTATCATCAGCCTGTCAGCCTCGTCTGCTGTGGTTCATAATCCTTGCAGTCCCTTTTGAGATAAAGAGTTTGTTTGCGATTCCAGATGTCGTGTTTTTTTAGTGGCACGTGCGGGCGGGGAGCATAGGGCGTTGTTCAGCCGTCTGCCTCTTGATTTCCATTGCAATTCATTACATTACCTCTTGTCTTAATCTCGTCATTTGGTCATGACCCAACTGTCCTTGAAAGCCTTTTTCCCTTTGTTTCTTTCCTTCCTTTCTTTCCTCTTTTCTTTTCTTTTCCTTTCTTTCTTCTAAGCTCCTTTTTTCTCTTTTCTTCTTCTCAATTCTGATTCTACCATTTTGGTTTCGTGGTGGTACCTAGTTTTAATATCCATAATTCGTCCTTTTGTCTTCTTTCATGCTTGTTTTTTCTATTCCGGCCATAGCTTCATGCAATCATGAATATAACAAATGTCATACAATTCAAAAGTAATCTTTACATGTAGAGGATATGCAAATGGTCAGTTCGTGTGGTATGTCTTGTAGTCGTGTTCTTTCAACTTGTGAATTTGTAATTGGGTAGTTTGTACTATTTCTTACCATGGATGGATCTAGGTATATGACATATGTGACATATGTCTACTGTCTACAATGACATGTAGACACGTCGAGACATTCAAATTATTTAGTGTCCCTTATCCCTATATCCCTTATCCCTATATCCCTTATCCCTATATCCCTTATCCCTATATCCCTTATCCCTATATCCCTTATCCCCTTATCCCTTTACAAAAGCATGGATAGACAAAGATAAGACAACAGGGCTATAGGTCACTACTCGTTCACTTGGGTATATATTAAATTTTCCACATGCAAATCATTTGAACAAAAATAAAAGTGCCATTTTATTTATTTTCCCATTTGATATAGACAAGTGGAGATAAAATAGACAAATTGAGGGTGTAGTAAAAAGAATGTAAAAGAAAGTAAGAAGCAAGAAAGGAGCTAACACCAGCTTTATTGTGTATAACATTTTTTATTTTCCCAGGTGGTCGTAATGTCGTAGCCATAAGAAGCGAGGGGGAGGGGTAAAAAGGAGTGTGTGTGTGTGGTAGTCCGTGAATCATCATCAAATGGTGCAGATAGAAAACAAAAAAAGGAACAAAACACATATATGTCCAAGCTTTTTGAAGATGTTGGAGGGGGGGAATTGCGACACAAGGGAAACCGACCTTGCGGTTTGCGAGACGACCTTGCTGCCATGGTGACTGTTGTCCTTTTAACTTTTTGATTTTGACTTTTATCTTTTTCTGCCTGTCGGCGACAAGCCTCAATTGTAGGATCTCACAGAGATACGACTACATGGAGACTGTGTCCGCAAAGAGGACGAGAAAGAAAGAAAAGGGAAAGAAAAGGAACAGAAGAGAGCCATGACGTAATCACCGGGATTACATCGCAATTGGAAAAGACAAAGTAAAATGTGTTTTGTTGTCACCAAATGATTGAAGATTTAGTCAAAGTGCCAGGTGATCTGGACACGGCCCTCGTCAAGGGTGGCGAGCTGCTGGAAGACGGAGGTGGTGGTGTCGACCGAGTACTTGCTGCAGCCGGGGCACTTGTCGACGACGGTGGCCTGGACGCTCTTGCCGCCGCGGCTGAGGGTGACCTTCTTGCCGCAGTACTGGTTGCCGTTGGAGACGGTGCCCATCAAGTCCGAGGACAGGGCAACGATGGAGTCAGAATCCGAGTTGGTCTCACCGCAGGCACCGAGGCCGGGGGTGTAGTAGGTCAGGTCACCGGAGTTGTCGCTGCCGCTGCCGGACGAAGAGCTGGACGAGGGAGCAGCGGAGCTGGAGGTGGAGCTGGGGGCCACGGAAGAAGACGACGAGGCAGCCGAAGAGGTGGGCGAAGGAGAAGGAGCAGAGCTAGAGCTGGCGCTGGAGCTGCTGGAGGTGGTTGGCGCAGGAGCAGCAGCAGCGGCCTCGGAGGAGACGCTCGAGACGGTAACGGTCGAAGAGGTAAGAGCGGGAGCAGAGCTGGCAGCAACCTTTTGAGGGGCCGAGCTGGCGCTGGGCTTGGTGCTCTCGCTCTCGGACACGGTGTGGCCGCCCTGGTCGACAACAATGGTCTCCATGGGAGCAGTCTCGGTGGCAGCAGGACCGGTGATGGTCAGGGTCGTGCTGATGGTGTGGACAACCTCCGAGGTGGCCGTCACGTAGACCAGGTCACGCTCACGGAGCGGCATGGCCGCGGCCAAGGCGGACAAAAGGAAGGTGGTGAGAATGGTGTTGGCGGTCTTCATCTTGAAAAATTTGTCGTAGAGACACAAAAAAAAAAGGCTCGAGATTGGAAGTTATGTAGTTGGGTACGTTGTGTGTACAAGGGACTGGACTGAGAATCGACTGGCGATTTCGTAGGTAGGAAGGATAGCTGATAGCTGGTAGCTGGTAGGTTCTGCGTTGAAAAAGGAGTGATCAACAGCAGTGAGGTGAAAAGCAAAAAGACGTCGAGCCTTTTTTTGGAAGGAAGGAAGGTTGATGAAGACTGAAAGGATTGTCGTGATGAAGAAGAGGAAAAAAAAAAAAAGAGGGATTGAAACGGGGGGATCAGAGGGGTTCAAGTAGTCGCGAGGGATGTGCGGACAGGGGCGGGAAGGGAAGAGGTTTGTGAGCGGGTCTCCCTTTGGTGCAGATTTGGGTGTGTGCGTGTGCGTGTGCAGGGGCCGCACATGGGGAAGGACACCACCACCATCATCGCGACCCATCCACATCAGTTTTCCCGCATGTAAAAAAGGTTAGAGTAAAGTGTGGAGATTTTTTTTTGATTAATTCACAATGTTGCGTCCACATCATCCACCATCATCCTCATTCGTAAGAGAACGCATCTCTTCTGCCTTGTCGTCTTTGCCGTGATGGATGGCACACTTGTTCGGCCATGCCCCGGCCAATATTCGTGCAACCATTGCAGGATGGGGTATGGTTATTTCAGCCAGGCGTTCAACCTTTTTTTATTATCTATCATGTTCACAGGAAGGTTTCTTCCTCTAGAAGACAATGGAATTGATCAAAGATCTAGTTGTCGCTTTCTCTCAAGTGATCCGGCACTAAAGAGGATCGAGTCAAGACCTTTCAACAACGTGCCGCGTGGTTAGGTGATGGATTGATGGTGTAGTCACTGAAGTGTGTTGGCTCATTAGGTTTTGGTTCCTGAATTGGTGGCTGAGCGCTAAAGCCCTTGAAGCCTCCGATTGGTTGGTGCCTGAAGTACCTCGTGTACTCCTTGTACCCTCGTCACTCTTCATCCGAGACAGGTACTTGGTTTCCCATGGAGAAAGGCGTGCAAACACATGTACTTCACTGCCACCTCCCGTAATTTCTCTGCCTCACACGCTACCTTTCTACAGGTCCATCCCAAGGATCCCAAGGGCAAGTTACGACTGATTTCTGGTGACGAATAGGGAGGATGAAACCAAGAAGTTCCAGTTGTGAGATGAGATGAGTTGGCCAGTGCAGGTGGAACGAGGAAGGGAAATCCATGGATGGGTTCCTTGGATCGACTTGTTCGTCTTCCAATCCCCAGGCAAAATCTACCACGGGCACATGGATCGTCAAACACCCCCGCTCAACCGCCCTCTATTCTTCTCTTCGCCTCGTTCCTTCTTTTTCTTTTCCCCTCGCGCTTGCAGGGATATGAGCGACGATCGACAGGCACCAACAACGGTCCGGTACGAGGTCAAGTCCGCACAGAAAGTGCCATGACTACGTAGAATGTGGTAAGCCGTACATACAAGGAATCACTCTGACTGGTCGTCAGAATTTTATCCCAGTTCTTTTTACTCTTCTTTTTTTCTCCCTTTCACCCCTCACTTTTCTTTATCCCGATGACCAAGTAATGACTGTGAAAGAAAGGTCTCGACTTCTACTGGGATTCGCCTCTGGTTACACCATCACTACCGACCAACCAAAACCCACGTCTGTTTTTCTTTTTCTTTTGCCTTTACCCCTCCATCAGTCCATTACACAATCACCGGCATGCAGTGCGAATTTCGTGACATTTCATTGTACCTCTGCGTACTGCTTTGCGCTCAACAAAAACCAACATTCTCGACCGCCTTGAAATCCCTCATGTAGACCTAGAACCACGTAGAAATGCAAAGGCGGTTGCCGTGGCAAAATCTGTTGGGTAAAGTCCAGACAACCGGTATCACAGGCAAGAAGCTGAAAAGGTTCGGAAAATGAATCGGATTCCGTCATGTTCAGCCCAGTTTCTGATTCCGCGTCGTGCGATAGACAGCGGCATTCCGGGAAAATCCTCCGTAACATTTCAATCTGACTTTGGCAGAAGACTTTGCTAGAGAAGAGAGGGTGTGCTTGTCCAAAAAGTCAGTCGCACGTGTTGCTAGGGACATGGAAACGTGCTAACGAGGCAGAACTGGAATGAGGATCAAGAGCCAGTGCCCTGTAGTGCTGGCGCACTTGTCCAGTCAAAGAATGGGAAAGGAGGCTAGATAACAATTGGGCCTGGCCCAAAGGCACATCTTCGGCTTTTGTTCTCTTTCCTGATTGTTCACCTTTGCTCGTTTCGCTTTGGGCTCAATATTGTTCTGCCGTTGCTTCACAATGAAGTGGTGGTGCTCGACGGGTAGCAAGAAGGGAGAACGGGCGGTACGAGGCGTTCGATCCAAAGGCGAAGGTGCCCAAAGTGGAAATTCTCCACTTCGTCCAAGAGACGGAAGAGAAGAATGGGGTGTGGCCACGCAATTGCCAGAGTCAACCGTGGTTCGCTGTGTGCCCTACCGAGGCTCTTAGCCCCCACCCTACGGAGCCCAATCCCCCAGTAAAAAACTGTTAACTTAACCACAACTCTTGTCCAGCTTTTTCTCTTCGGTCCGACAATTGAGCCCTCTGGGGTTAAGTGATGCGCTTTACCACAGTTAAGGAATCCGTGCCTTCCGCCAGACCCGCTGGCAAGTGCCGGAGCTTACTCTCCTCGTGTCAAGTCTACTACGTAGTAACCTTTCAGAGTTTCTCTCTTCTGCCTTTTGGGCAACGTGCCTCTCCGGCGCTCCGGTCATCGGGCTTCTACTCTCTTTGATGAACCATCCCGATCGACCGCCATCGACCAGTGTCATGGACCGTTCTACGGTAACGGTACTACCAAGTGCCACTGTGTTTTTAGCGCCTTTATCCTCATTGTTCACATCAGCCTTTGATAAGGACAATGCTTCTTTGTTCCATATAGCGCTGCCTTGGCTGCCTTTGAACCCTTTGAAGACACCTCGCGTGTGTATATTAATTTGTGCAACCATTTCCTACCTATCCACTTTAGTCTCTCCACTCCTCGTTCGATAAGGATGCGTCTCCGTAGGGAAAAGCCAAGGCAAGGCGTGACGAGCCCAAGTCTACCACGGAATATATCTTTTTCGTACTCAGAGCCGTACCACTATACCGAAAAGACATGACTCGCGTTCCGGGCAACATGATGATGCGGCGGGAGATCGACTTGGCAACCGCAGCCGTTCCGTAGTACAACTTGTAGTCGTTTTTGCTGTCTTGTTGGTCCATCCATCCTTTTGGCCCATCGCCATCTCATCTCATCCTTCCTACCTGCATCTCTCCCACCGCTTTCCTCTGACTGTGCGCGTCTGAGGGTGTGCGTCTCCCTTCTCTTCCGCACCTCCATCCCAAATCGTTCATGGATGCCTGCTGCTATACAAGGGAGGCTGAGAGATAGAAAACAGAAAAGGTCTAGAACCCCTATAGAAGCTATTCCTTTCCAGGTCACTGTAATTACAACAGCAAGACTTCATTTCAAGCCAACTTCCTCATTTCTCCGTAATCATCAGAATTCATTGTAGACTTAGCCAGAAAGGAAAAAGAGTTTTCCTCCCAAATCACGTACAGCGTCACATATCCCGACAAGGGAACGTCAGAAAGTCTCACGCCCCACAAGGCTTCATCTGGAGGAAAGAAGTCGGGATATTCCGAGCCATACTGGGAGGCGATACAGGTTATAATTCCCGACTTTTTGTATTTTTTGTGTCTATGGTTACTGCCTTATTCGTTTCCCAGCGGAAAAGAAGTGTGGGGAATTGTAAGTATCCAAAGTACTGTGTTGCGCCACGGACCCGCAAATTCCAAGTTGAGCAAACCGCTCCGCTTAGGGAGAGATGAGGTTGGGGGTGGCTTATGCGTAAAGGACTCAGTCATTTTACGCTGTTTGGCTCGTTTGCTCTCTGCCTTGCCTTCCGTTCTCATTGGATCATTGTCCGGATATGGTTGTATGTCCGCGGCGTGTAGAGTGCAGTGACCATCTGTGGCGAGAAATGTGTGGTTCTTGCTTCTTATACCGTTGTATGGTAACTTGGAGTCCATCTTAGATTAGGAGACATCCCTCAACTAAAACTGCTCTTTATGCTGCAGAGTCAGATGCCTTGTTTTGCATAGAGCCAGAAAAAGTATTAATATTAGTGAACAGAAAGGAAGAAATAATAAAAGAAAAAAAGAAAAACCAGCGTATTGAAATTAGTTATCCCCAGCGTAAACAAGGCAAGAAAAATAATTAGAGGTCACTGTAGTACACAGATCAAGATGAACATGAGGAAAATGGAAGCGAAATGGAAGGAGGGTCACGTACGTATCGCCACTGAACAGGATTCTAGGTTTCACGTTGGACCCTCTTCACTTCTCCGCTTCCCCCCGAATCACTCCAGTTTCCTGCTGCTGTTGTGATTGTGGTTGTTGTCCGCTCCATCCCATGGTACCACTGACATTGTGGCTTCCTCCAAGCACTCCTCCCGAGGATGGCATCCACGGTGTTGCATCTCGATCATGTCCATAACCGCCACCAACGCCACGGCCACCAGAGGGAAAGGAATAACCATGGGGAAGCCCAGTCCGCAACGACCCAAACTCAGATGCCTCCCCACGGGGTGGTCCCTGATGCGGAATCACCTCCGGGTTTACGCTACTTCCCGCTCTCCCCATCTTCGCCGTATTGGCCATGGTTGCCACGTCACCAAAGCCTCCTGTTCTCTCCATCTCTCTCATCAGCCTTCTCCTGCTGCGTTCCTCTTCACGCTTCTGATCCCTCAGCCATCTGTCGTCTCCCCTTCTCACCTCTTTCCTCGCTCTCTTTTCCTCCCTCCTTTCCGCCTTTTTGGCACGCTTATCCTCCCTCTTCGCATGTTGATATGCCTTCTTATTCTCCCTTTTCATCTCCTTGCGGCCCTTACGTCGTTCTTTGACCTCAGCTTTTCTATCTTTTCGAGCTGCTTTATGCGCCGCTTTGAGTGCCTTGTATTGCGCTTTGCGCTCGGCCTTACCTAGATGGAATGTGTTTTCCAGAATTGACTTTTGTCTGTACAAGTCTGCTTGCAGAGCGCGGTATGCATCTCGCGATTCCTTGCGCTGTCTTGCGGTTGTTGAGGAGTCAGAGTCAGAGTCGGAATCAGAATCAGACGATGACGAGGACCACGAGGAGAAGGAGGACAGCGAGGAGACAGAGGAGTCAGAATGGCGTCGCCCGGACGGAGAAGGTCTCAGTAGGTGTCCCTGTTGTACTGATTCCGGTTGTAGAGGACGAGATGCGCCTTGGGGAGGGTAAATGGGGGAGGGAGCATAATAGGCCCGCACCTCCGGTGTTTGAGTTTGAGAATTGGATGGATGTCGGATGAATTTCGAGTCTGCCACAGCAGACTGAGAGGAATAGCTAGGCGCAGGCCCCTTTTCTCTGGAGTATCCAGGATATCCAGGAGCGGAAACAGGACCAGGAGCGTCGTAGTCGTTGAAAGATTGCTGGTGGTTGTCATAATCGTGTGATGGAGCCGGTGGCCGAGATTGATGATTATAATTGCCGTGATCCGAATTGTCAATATGGAAATGCTCACGAGACCGTTCATCCACCGCCCTTGCCGAATCATTGGAAGAGAGTGGCGGAGGGCTCACACTCGCGGTCGGAGTATATGCTGGAGGAGCATCCATGGGGATTTGCACCTCGGTATCAGTATCTGACCGTTCTCCATCAACATCTGGCTTCCGTCCCATTGTGCAGACAATACGAAAGCAATTTAAATGGGAAAGCGTTGATTATAATGCAAACGGAAGTGATAGGGCTGACAAGCAGGAATAGAGACTAAAGGGATAAAAGCCAATGACGAAATCCACTGCTGCACTCTTAACCTGAGGAAAATTGAAAGCCTTGAAATGATGAGGTAGATGCGGGGAAATAATATGAGTAGCAAAGTTCAGTAAGAATTAGGTCAATTTTTATATCTCAAACGCAGCAGATAAAACATTTAGGGCAGGATCATTCTCTTCCTAGGGACGTTGAAAAAACCATCAGCTGAATACATGAACCAGAGGGAATTGGAAGAATATATATATCGCAAAGAATTCAGATGGTTCAAACATGCAATCGATGGTGCAATTGAAGAAATATGGCTGCCTGGCATCTAACAAGAATTGTGGCTGAGGCCGCGTCGTCAAGCATCTCACATGGTCCATCAAACCACTACTGTGAGTACTTTGCCTAAATCGGCATGTCGGGGATCGGGGATCCCAGAGAGATGATTCCCCGGGCGGGCCCGGCGGTAGTGGGTATTGTGACGACATTTCCAACTCCACAGAGAGCTCACCTACCGCTTGGAATTGAGTGTCAAAGATGATAATTGTGCATTTCAGCTTCAAAATAAGAAATGTACGTAGTATATCCTCAGAGCAATGACGAATTCAGAAATCGACATGGTTATTGGAAGCCCTACGCACTTTTTTCGTTTCGGCGTTTCACGGCGACAGGTTCTTCCACTCTTGAAGGTGAAGACAGAATGTTGTCATTGCATTATGACAGAGGGAAATATGGCAACTAAGGTATCTAGAATAAAATTTCGAATTGATCTTGATATGCTTAATGTTCTGCATGTTTAAGAAGGCAGTTCAGAGAATGCTGCATATTACACATTCTGGGCATAGAGGAAGTGTTTACGCAGATAATGAATTTGAATTCAAGTTAGTTAAAACTAAGGACAAGTTGGACGGCTATGCGAGCCAAACAAACTGTCACCGTGAAGCTCTAGAATTGATAGTGTCATTGTCAAACACATGAATGTCGAACAAACAGAAAGAATTGACTAGGATCTAAACATGACAGAATGCCAATGAAGCATTGCAGAGCTATCAGTTGTCACTCTGAAGCTCATCTGGTACAGTAACTGGACCGTCACTGCTTTCCTCGTCTTCATCAAGTTCAACAACCCTCTGGCCAACGTCCATGTCAATGTTGAACTGCTGGCTGTGCATTTCAACATCATCAAGAAATCCATTCAGAACATCGTCCATTTGATGAAAGTTGACAGGGAAGAATTCCATCGTAACCTGGACTCCCGCCACAGCTTCAGCATCCGCTTCGATGGCTGACGAATTCAACTCGTTCTTTTTACGCTCCTGCTCTTCGATGGATTCCATGATTTGCTTATAGTCATCACAGTTCGTAAAAATGAACCAAGCAAATTTGTGACGCTGGATACTTCCGTCCAGCCTTTCGAGCTCTGCAACTTCTGCGCCAATCCGAGAAAACCGCAGCCCAGAGTCCTTGATAAATCTACGGACACCGTACAAAATGGCACGCTCCCAACGGAGATGGGCGCGGATCATGCGTTCGACGTGGGCGTGATAGCGAACAGGAAGATTTTCATAGAGCTTCTTCACCCGAACTCTGAGGAAATACTCCGGCTGCCTGCGGCGAATTTGCTCCACCACGTCAAGACCAATAGCTTCGGTAGATCCCTCGCCCTGGCGATGACCAATGAGCTGAGCACGATCCCCCGAGGAGGGAGATTCCGGCTGGCTCTTCTCAGCAGTGGAGTTCGTCATCTCTCCTTTGGGTGCCTCAAGCTCAGAATCAGACTGAACGCTGGACAATCCGGCTTCAGTAGCGGGGGTGGCAACCTGGTCCTGGGCTTGGGTGGTTCCGATACTTTCTTGGGCTTCGGCAGCCTGAGCTCTAGCAGCACGGGCTCGGGCTCTGCGACGACGTTCATTGCGAGTCACCATTATTGCAAGTGAGACTGTTGACAAGTGAAGCAGAGAACGTCAGATTCTAAAGCTGTCAGTCATGAAGAAATATTGGAAAAAGTTTTATTAACGAATTACTCACTTGAATGTTCTTTAAGATAAGTATTCTTGGTTGAAGCACCATGAGCTGCGTTACTTCGTGATCAAGTATTGTCGGTCGAGAGAAGTGGGGGTGGGAGAGGATGTGGACCACGCGTGTTCAACTTCAACTGCAGTAGCTAGTGTGAGAAGTTGACACTTCAGTTTTTGCAAAACTGCAATGCTCGAAATGCTATAATGAGGATAAACCTGACAGAGAATTTAGCTGGCAATTAGAATCCAGCAGATGAGGGGAGAAAGAGATGTCGGCTGATGGAGAAGGGTGAGGTTTGGAATGAGAGAATGGTTGAAGCCTGCTTCAGTCAGACAAGCAAGTGAAAACAAACAATCGCAGACCCAGAATCTTTCCATAACCGAAGCCTATGGCCGAGGCTGTACGTTGAGCCAGCCTAGTTAGTAACATTCAATCGAGTGAATGCTGCTCTGGCAGAAAACGAAAAAGGCACCATATTGGATGTAGCGCGCACAACACTCCGGATGTCAAACATGGCAATGCTGCACAATGAGTCTTCTGAAACAACAAATTGCGCACAAATTAAATAAACAACTTCATACAATCAAGATTGAAGATCCCATATGATTACAAATTGCAGAAAGACAAGCAAACGGCATACTTTCAACATTTACCCGATATAGATCCAGATCACGCTGATGACGACATCCATGCCCTTCTCTTCACCTGTCTCATATTTAAAGCTCCACATGCCATCCTTTTCATTGTTCCAATACGCGCCAGTAGCGGAGTGCATGCCCCGACGGCCGACAGAGGGAGCATTAGCCGATGAGGATACCGATGGGCGCTCATCGCCCACTCCGCCAGCTACAGGATGGGTGTCATCGCGTGCGGAAGCTTCGTTGGCTCCCACTTGAGTTGAGGTAGAAGTAGAAGCCCCAGTGGGCTGCTTGCGGGAAGAGGAAAGATGCTGAATGATGGTGCTGTTGACAGCGTACTTGTACGAGGGCGACTGGGAGCCTGACGAGGACTCGGCAATGAGGGACCGAAGAATCGTGTTCTGGGAATGTCAGACAAGTAGATTTGGGGCGCAATGGAGCTCTGGGAATTGCGTACAATGATATTTGTGTTCCATGACTCCGTCTTGGAGTGCTCATATTCGTGGGCGCTGCCTAGCGTGCTGTTACACGCCTGTAGCTCAGTCAGCACTAAATTTCAGCCCCGGTTCCCTCTTATAATCTTATTCACCTCAGTAGCAATTTCGCGGAGACGCGCATGCGACACGGGCTAGCAATCACGGTGGTTAGCCAGGCGGAGAGCTTCAACGTGGAATGTTCAGTTTACTTACTGGGATCATGGTGGAAGCCATTGAGAAGTCCAAAAATTATATATAGTCTATAAAGAGGATAATTAGTGCACAGAGAGAGATGAGGGAGAGATTGAGTGAACTAACTCACCGCCCAGAGGCAGTATATTCAACATCCAGGGTCTGTTTCGTCGTGTTTCCCGAGATACTGTTGGCATGTTGGGTTTAATTGGCATAAACAGGCCGGCCGTATATATCTGCACAGTATGCCTTAATGAAAAGCCATACTTATCCATCATATCATATCGTATCAGATCAAGTGAGATCCTCATCAGCAACACTTCTCAGCCAATCAATCCTATCACGTTCTGATTTTCACAAGAAGTGGTGCTGCCTCAAGTCCACATTCGGCAAGGCTCACCGGGGGCTTGCAGGGAGCTTCACCCAACTATAACGAAACAAAAGGCTTTTGGCCCCGCGCACATGGTCGAGATTTTTACGACCAAGAATACGAAACTTCAAGCAATTTTTCTACATTCCTCGCTTTGTTATACGTTTCATCTGACGACCTCCCTACTTCAATTGCGGTTGTACAGAGCTTCGCTATGTCTACTCAGCCGTTACTCCAGACCGCACCCGGTAAGTATTCTTCTCGACCCTGTTCCGTACCTTTGTACGAGGCGGCGAAGGACATTGCAGGATGTAGTACCAATCAATTAACATCATTTAGGCAAGCGCATTGCCCTTCCAACTCGTGTCGAACCTAAGGTCTTCTTCGCAAATGAGCGTACCTTCTTATCATGGCTCAACTTCACGGTCATTCTCGGCGGTCTCGCCGTCGGCCTTCTCAACTTCGGCGATAGCGTTGGCCGTATCAGCGCCGGTCTATTCACAATCGTCGCCATGGCGGCCATGATCTACGCTCTCATCACATACCACTGGCGAGCAAAGAGTATTCGAATGCGGGGCCAGGGTGGTTTCGACGATCGGTTCGGTCCGACGATTTTGGCTATCGCCCTGCTGGCTGCGGTTGTGGTCAACTTCGTTCTGAGAATAACAAGAGTCGAGAAGAATTAATTGTTCCCACGGGTTGATCGACGACCATTCAACATTATTGGAGAGAATGGGTGGACATGGAGAAAGGCCATTTATACCTCCAAGGATTTACCGAGCGATCATTTTAGGTGTATCATTTTAGGTGTATAAATTGCTTGCTCTGTTGGCTATTATCTTGATATCATAAATGTACATTATTTTACGCATTTTCTGCCGAATCTTTTGAGCCGTTCTTGTACTGGCACTCAGCGTATCAGAAAACCAGTTGCTTTCTGTAATGGAAGAATTTAATGCAACTAGTAGTTCCTAGACCAAACTAGGTGATGCGAATATTGAAGCATACCAAATGCATGTTCTGCTTAGGATGAAAGGAATATGTCAAGTTTCAGCAGAGACGTGGTTGCTCCCTGAAGAATAATTAGCCACGATAGAGTGGGAACGGCAAGGATTCGAGGGGATGCCTTACCCGTATTTTTCCTTCAAATGCTTGATAGTTGAATTCGAAAGATATATGGTCAGCACTGGTATTTGCCGCGCCTTTTTCTGCCCTCCGTTGCTGGGCAAAGCCAATGCAAACCCCTCCTGGGATTCTATAGTCTGAGTTGATTCAACTTCTTCGCCCTCCCTGGCCGTTCGATCTACTTCTTCATTTTTCTGCCCTTGCCGCGTTTGTTGTTGCTTCTTTTGCAGCATCTCCTCTTTCGATATTGATCCTAGACTGGAATATTGAAAGACTCTAACTCCCTTGTTCTTGGCATTGCGTTTGGCGATCTCGACAATCGAAATCAATTTTCCGGTAACCGCTCCCTGACCAGTAAGGATCACCAGTGGGGCTTTGGTCTTAGGCTTCGCCTCAGTCAAGTCGATATCCAAAACTTTGATCACCTTTAAGACGTTCTCTTGGATAGACGATGCGGAGATGATATTGATTGCTGTGACATCATAGGAAGATTCGAAACCCTCTATGCATGCTGGGAGAGAGGAGGAGGAGGAGAAGGAGGATGCAGGTGCCGGTTTCTGGTCACCTGACCTGGGTGGAACGGCAGATACATCCCTTGAAGGCGACTGGGTGACTTTTCCGGGATTCTCAAAGGGTTCTCCAGTATCGATTCTGGCGCGCTTTGCCGGGCGTGGACTGTCTGTCTGTTCTTGACCAGGCAGGCTACTCTGAATTGTAGGATTTGTTGCTGAGTGCGGTACAGCTGGTGGATTCTGCGGCCTTTCCTGTGCTCTTTCTGCTGCCATGACCCTTCGGCGCACAGAACCAGGCTTACTTTTCTTTTTGTGAGACATCTTATGATTTGTAAGTGCGATTAAAGCACTGGAGCTGTCAATTTATCATCGAGGCTCTTGGCAGAAATTTTCTGGCGTAATGGATACACAGAACGTGGTAGGCCAGAAAAGATAATGCTATTGATATTAAATTCAATCTCAATCTCAGATGCCTGCGAATCAACTTCTGAATGTATATTTTTTCCCGATATCGTGTGACTGATGAGGTTGTGGATACTATTCATAAATTGTTCTCACGCTGCCAAGCCTGATAAAATATCACCCTCAATTTATACGCCGTTACCGCTTATAGCAACGGTGCGCTCCGGTCAAGCACGGACCACATCGTGGGGTCGCGCTCCAGTCAACCACGTTAGCCCATTGCTAGAGGTCTACACCTTGAACACTTCAGTGTCAGGCTTCTCTTATTCTAAATGCTACAGTTTACAGTTCAACGGAGCAGAGAAAACTCTACGAAGTTTAGCAACTTTATGGAAGTAACATTAAGGAGGCCGAACAGAAGGCTCTTGCTCAAAGCCCCTCCAGTTGAGACTTGCTCAGCTGAGCACCTGAGACCCCAAACAGTCCCTTTCTGTGGACAAGAATCTAGCAAATAGATATCGCTGTCTCGGCCGACATTGTTGATGCCTTCAATTTGTTGTCTCGTAGGTAGCAATACCATTGATCCCAAGCAATTCATTTGATAGTTTGTATGCCCGCCTACCAGTCCTATCTTGACTCGTTGTTACCATTTTTTTTTTCCTATTCCCCTTATTGACGGCAGCATGGGAGGAGTTATTAGAGGCACGTCATCGCTGATGGGTGTGGTAGAAGAGTACGCGTATTCAAAGCACATGCACAACCTCGATCGGCAGCCACGATTCTCATAATGTACCGCGGGCGGTACTTTAGGGGTCTTGACACATCACTAACCACTGCCAGCGCATGGTCGACATGTACTTGGATTGTACCAAGTCTCCTGGTGTTATGGGCTCGAGAAGCATATGAAAAGAATATAAGCGACCTCGATTTTCTTAGTCATACTTGTTTTGAAGCTTACTACCTACGTAGTAGATGCATCGTACGTTACTTGATAACTGTTTCAAGTCGCTGTGCAGATTCTCATGCAAGGTTGTCTGAAAAAAGGCGGCTGCATCCCGCTCACTAAGGGAAGAGCGAACCAGTCGAGCCTAATCCTAATACAGAACGATACTTGGCAGAGAAAGACAGAAATGGAGAGAAGAGTGACACAGGTACGTTGGTACCGTCTCCCCCCTTTGCAGGATCCTTGCAACAAACGCTCCTTCCCCAAACCACCAACCCAACTAAAAACTGTTCCGAGCGGAACTAAACTCACTAACCGGATTATTGAAGTTGTACGCGAATAATCTCTCTGCCGCCCATTCCCCCCCCCGTTGCAACTATTGCGTCTTTGTCTCGCTGTCGCCTAAATCCGAAGTCGCCTTCCCAATGCGCCTTACACATCACTCGCCTTGCTCAGTGACTTCCACATTCTACCATCTTCCCTTTCCTGCCGAAAGCTTCTGACTTTTGCCTCAAACCTCTCTCCGGTCGCTGCTCTCTTTTGACGCGACCACCAACCCGCACTGGCAGACCACTCTCACCGTCGCCACGCGACCAATATTTCCTGACTTTGCTGCAGCGAAGTTCTACGGATTCCGAAGCTACTACCACCTCGAGCCAATAAAGCGCGCTTTAGCGACGTGATCACGACATCGCCTTCGTCTTCGCGCGTCTGTCGCCTTGGCTTGGTCCTCACCGTTAATTTCACGATTTACGGCCTGATCGAATTCATTTGCGCTCGCATTTACGTCGCTTGTTACGGCCCTCTTCAATTCACTACGCTCTTTCACCGACTTTACAATTATAGATTTTTTTGCCCCTTTAATACCCGATTCTTCCAAACTTGTCCGCTACGTTTGCGACTCGAACAACTTGCTTTGACAAGATTGCGCGACGATACTGGCGCGTTGAAATAATCCTACACATCTTTCTCGAGTATTAAAGACGTCACCATTGTGGCATTGGCGAGTCAAGCTGGCGGCCCCGTTCCCGCCGCCTTCCATGTTCCGACTTCCTTGGATCTCCGGGGGCGATAAAGTGGACCCGGTTGTAGAGCCAGTTTCGATACCAACAGCTCAGCGCAAACCTGTGGTGGAGATACCGGTCCTGAAGAAGTTCAAGCGAAAGAGGTCGGAGAGCCCAGAAACGCAAAAGGCTCAGTTGCTGCAAAGTCCGACAAAGAGGCGTCAAGCGTCAGATCTCGATTCAGCGACAAGTCAACGATGCGACAATTGTCCGCGGAGGACAAATGGTGTGAAGCGTGAAAATGGAGGTGAACCGAACGGTCTGGCATCATCCGAGCCAGGAGAGAAGGGTCATTTTGGCTCTGAACCGTTAGTGACAAAAGGTTTGTCAAGCTTGAGAATGACCATGCCTAATACTGAGCTGACTGAGGTCCTCCAAGACCCTCTTTCTGTGACGCAGTTGCAGCAAGCTATAGAAGCGGAGTTCAGCCTAGAAATTCTTCTCAAACATAACGAACTTCGATTGATCGACCAAGAACTCGCAAAGTGTCAGGTCGCCCTTGAGCAACTGCGAAGATGCCGAATAATACCGTACCCAACCTTTTCCACCAACACGAATGCGAAAGCTGTTAGCGACGGTGTCGGACCTGCCCTTACGCCGTCGCCTTACGACCTAACTCCGCAGTATCCGCCACCCTGGGGCGTCGCCGACGGGCCATACACTAGACATTACGCAAAATGGCTTATACCGGATCCTGCATTTGGCGACTATACCAATGAATTCCCATTCCCTGGCTCCACTCTTCCAAGTCAAACCGCTCTGGACAGCCGAATTACCCGTGGCAGTTTCAACGAGGGCAATGTGGGTGGAAAGTCTTCTCGATCTCAACGTGGTTCTGCTGGGGCGAAGCTCCAGGCTTTGTCTAATGCTACTGTTCAACCTCGTGAGAAGGCTGGACCGCTAGTGGTGAAACGTGCTTCTGATGGAAAGCATGTTAAACTTGTTTGCTTAGACTGCGAGCGAGCCGACTTTTCCAGTGCCCAAGGGTTCATCAATCACTGCCGAATTGCCCATCATCGAGGTTTTGAGAGTCACGATGCGGCAGCTGTTGCCTGTGGGCAGGTCGTAGACATTGATGACGCTGGCGTTATTGTTGGAGGATCCGAGCCTTCGAAAGGCGGAGGTGGAAGCTTAGTGCACCCCTTGATAAAGACAGCGCCAGCAACGAAATTGTCAGCCAAGGAAGCTCAGGCATTATCACGAGTTTCAGGACGTAACGGACTGAACCGCACCGCTGTGAAGGCTGCCGATGAGAGAGCGAATGGCAGCACACAAGCAGGCGATTCTTCGACCACGCCAGCGAAAACCCAAAAGAAACGCTATGCTCATACGCCTACGCCAAACCGTTCAAATTCAGATTCGCCGTTTGTGCCTTCCCCTCAAACTCCACATCTCTCGGCGCTTATGCAACAGAAGGGCTTTGGTGGCGATCTCGGCGAGATGGTTGGTCAAGCCAAAACACAGGTTGATTTTAACGTGTATACTATGAGCGATGAGGAAGAAAACGAACCTCCTTCGAATGAACGAACTCCGAACAAGTCTCAACGCAGACAATTCTACGGAGGTTTTGATGGAGTTTGTGATGAGGATGACGACTCTTCCGTACCAAATGGAACCCGTGTTCCCGCCAGAGCTGGCATGTCACCAGCAACATATGGTCGCCCCGCTAGTCACAAAGGCCCCGACAAGCCCACTCGTAAACCAGAGTCTCTCAGCTGCATCTCTCCGCGCCAAACGTATGCCGCTCCTCTCAATCTTCGTGACAGCGCCAATCCTGCCGAGTCTTCCTCTCATGTTATCAAAAATGGCGAGCATGAGAGCATGATCATGTTCGATGGGCCGCCGCCTATGAATGTGAGTCCGCATACTGTCGAGTCCAATCATGCTCCTAGTCTTGTCAGTGATGACGGGGAATACGAGGCTCACAGCGAATCTGAGAGTCCGAGTTCTGCGGAAGCAGATGACGAGGACGGCTTTCTCGACGTACTTGACCAAGAGGACGGAGCCTGTGGAAGTGAGACGACCGCTACGGACCCCGAACTAGCTACTGGATCCAAGGCCATGCCGCCGCGTCGAACGAGCAATCTTCGAGATCGGGTTCCAAGAGGTAATGCCGATGAAAGGCACGTCACCTTCCTGAGCCCTTCTCGCGACGTGAAAAAGCGGAGCAGCAGAAACGCTGGCTCCAAATCTTAGTGGCCGCTTTTGGAAACCGTAGCACCCGTTCTTTCGAGTTTGCGATTCTGGACTTTGATCGACCGGAAGAGTGGCTTGCCAGCGCTTTCCCCTTCACTCTCTCTTCAGATTATATACCTAAACTGTAGCCGAAAGACTTTCACTCCGGTAACGAGTATTCAAAAAAGAACGGCTTTCTATTTTGTTTCTTCCCCACTACCTCTGGGTTGTACTGTATACGATCTTGGCTGGGGTATTGAATGTATGATAGTTTTTGTCCGGAATTGGCTGTCCCTCAACCAAGATCCAGCCGCTCACGATATTCTGTATATTACACTCTTTACTTTTGGTTTCGACTAGACTATTTAATCATACTGAGGCTCATGTCTCGCTTAACCCTTTCATCTTGTTTTCTTTCTACCTCTACGTGTTTGGCGCAGATAAGACACCTGTAAGATATTACCGAATGACAGTGTAGATTCATGATGAAGGTCTGTGGCATCACGGCTACTCGCATATTATATGTCAGTCAAGGATATAGTGTTGATGAGTAAATCCGCTTTTTATGCATTATGATGGAAAGGATTTTTTTGAAGGCTGCGGCAAGGACAATTCTAACCCGCGGCAAAAGCGGACCCAGCCCGCTTCTTATGATGCTTTCGTTGTACTCTCGTTCTTCTCCACTAGATCACCGACACCTAAGCTGCGGCCAACCTTGACCTTCATCATCTTCTCTTTCTTCTTCTCGCTCTCACCGTCACCCTGTTTTCCAGCCGAGCCAACTTCGTCGCCCTCGTCCTGAGCCTCGCCGTCATCATCAGATTCCGGTGCCTTCTCTCGAAGGAACGCCAAGTCCATCTTCATGCTGTACGCATCCTCGCCATCCGCATAATATTTAGACTCGACTTTCTCGACCTCGAAGCCAAGGGTGTCGCGGTACAACCGCAGTGCGGCGACATTGGACACACGGACATGGAGGGAAACATAACGCGCGCCGAATGTCTCAACCATTGCCCGTTCTGAAAGATAACAAGATCAGTATGAGATATCAAATAACACATCCATTCGCCAACTCGTGAGAACCATAGGAACCCGGAGAAGGAAATGAAGAGGAATTAAAACATACGGCTCTGTCTCATAAGTTTCTCCGCTAATCCTAGCCGTCTGTGCGTCCGCATAACACTCAAGCTAGTAATATGTCCGTGGGGCACTCCGTCAGCGGGTTCCTCCTCCATCTTCGCCAACACGTAGCCAACTATCCGGGGCGGGTCATAAGGGGTCTTCGGCGGCCGGGAGACGTCTACAGCAACATAGGAGAGCTGCGGCCATGAGAGTGCATGATAGAGGTAGTATTTGCAGAAGTAGTTTTCGGGGAGATTGGTGATATTGGCCGTTTGGACATGCGGAATGTCTGAGGAACGTAGTACTCGAATATCCATTTTCGTGTAGACTTTGTAACTCGCACAGCGAGTTCCCGGGGAAAACAGTCAAGCTATGGAGATCGCGGCGTCAATATTGTCGTCGCAGAGGCCAATTGCGCAGCTTCTGCGTACGGAGCGGGTCTGGATTTGGCTTTTCCTTGCGGAGTGGGATTCTGTTATAAGATTTACACCCGCTGTTCGGTGCCTTTTGGCTGTTTGGCTCTGGCATAGGCAATTGGTGGTTGGCTGACTAAGAATCTGCGATTGCCGTATCGGCCGTTCATCCCACCGTCCCTTCCCTTTTCGGAAAACTGCTACTTCCGCAAGGTGGGAAGTCCCTGGCGCATTCTGTTCACCATTTCTGTTTCCAAACAAACTCACAACGTGCACTCGTCTCTTACTTTTCTCTTTACGTTGTTTTGGCTTCCAAGTATGCGGCTTTTATAAGACCAATTGCCTCACCCGCTGTGCGAGCTCCCGCAGCTTCTTTGCTTTCGTGCTCTCGCATATTCTTGCTCCCCAGCGAAAACAATCGTCCCTCACGGTTTCTAGCTTCCGCTCAAGATGTCGTCGCCTGCCGTACTATACAGCGATGAGCTGGCGCAGCTAGAGAAGGCTCCAATAGCGCAAAGACAACCTTCAGGATGGCTACGAGGGCCGCCTTCTGCGAATCTCAAAGCGGCGTCAGAACATGAAAGGAACCGTCAGACACAATTAGCTATGGCCTACTCAATATTCTATACGCGCACCAAGGGAGCAATTGCTTTCAGAAGCATTGAACAGCTGGACGACTGGCTGGATGCAGTTGAGCACATTCCATCAACCGTTTCACAAGATCCCGAAACGACAGCAACGCTTCCATTCGCATCAATGATCAGTAACCTTTTGCGCCGAAAGAAACCGCGTCGTCTTCCACTCAATCACCTTTCACCCTCGCAGCCAAAGGCCTTAGAGCCCATTCTGACATACTCGGATAATCACGAACAGGAGAGCCGCAATTCTAGCGTCTCTCTTGATTCCGAAAACGTTCCTTTGTCTACCAATTCCAAGAGGCGCAGAGATTCGCAAGGCTGGCGGGACACATTTTTCAAATATTTGAAGCGCGATGAAAGACCAAGTTCTCGAATAGAAAGGTCAAGCCTTTTTGATTCAACAAACAGCTCCCGCGCATCGGTTCAGAACAACAACGACCGTATCAAAGCATTTCCCTCTAAGCTTCGTGGGCTCGAGGATCGAATCAAGGGCGCGACTGAAGCGCTCAGCGCCGAAACAAGCAAAATTCAGAAAGTGGACACTGGCGATCAAGTGCTGCGGCGTTCGAAAGCAGTGCGCGATCAAGTGCGCATGGAGATTGAACAGGAACAACGATCAGTCCTGGAGCGTCAAGCGCTTGACGAAGCTGTCCAGTCACTGCGAGTAGAGCTTAGAGAGGAGATGGAAGGGAAAGTGCTAGGAGAACTTCGAACGGAACTACGTGATGAAGTACACGAGTCATTGCGGAGCGAACTAAAAGAAGAAGTCAAGCAAGAACTAGCAAATGAAATGAGCGCTTCCGTCTACGGGGCTTTGGTGAATCAGTTCAAGCCGAACGTATACCAGGAATTACGAGAGCAACTGTATCCAGCTGTAGCAGAAGAAGTTCGCGCCGAGCTCCGCCAGACTTTGGCCTCCTCAATCCAAGAGCGGCTGTACAGAGAGTTACGGCCTGTTATAGAGCAGCAAGTACGATCAGAGGTCGAGGCGCATGTTCGCGAAGAAATGCTGGCAACCCTCAGGTATGTCAATTTTACATCTCTTCCTCTCGGAGACCCACGCCATTCAAGTGCTAATCTTCTCTTATAGCCAGTCCACTCATACGTCCCAGAATATTGACCCGCATCTCCAAGGCGCCCAGGAGGACAATGATATGGTAGCTTCCTCTCCCCAAAAGACACAAAAGGCCAATGGTATGCATGAGAATGATTATGGCGATCACAATGTACCGTACACACACTACCACGAACGTAATGGGGACCAAATGCGATCAGTTGAACTCGGCGGGTTGCAAGAAACTCCTCAGCACGGCGAATCTGTACCTCCTCATTATCAATCGCATTCACAACCCAGCGAAACTGAAAGCGTTGAGCCACCTGCTCCTTCTGAACCCGCACAACAGCACCAATACAACTCAATCAACGAGGTCAACGTAAGTCACAGTCTCTTGCAGCATTCTTCCGTTCAAAACAATATGTTCAATTCACGCCTTGGAGCACCACGGATCATATACAATGAACATCAGTCTCACCAGTTCCAGGGCACCCAATTTCAGCCACAATCCCGCGATGAACCCTCTTCACTGTCCGAGGATCTATCAAGCGAGTCCGACGTGTCCGACGAAGACATGGATGATGAAGACACGGAGCTCGAGCCGTACAAACTCTCATACCAATACGAAGGCGACGGCGATGGTCAGCCCCAAGGCGAACGTGATGCTGAAGTCGATGAAAACGGAGACGATAATAACGATGAGGAGGAGGAGGAGGAGGAGAACGACGAAGAACATGGAGATCACCCAGATGAAGAAATCGAGGATGAGGCAGAACTCGATGAGCTCGAGCATTTTGATGACGACGAAGAAGCGGATGAAGGTACTAATGGCCTTTTTGACGAAGATGGCCGAGGCGACATGAGCGACGAGCTAGAAGAGGACGAAGAGGATGAGGAAGATGAAGAGGATGAAGAGGAAGTCTATGACGAGGATGAAGATGAGGAGGACGAAGGTGACGGTGATGGTGACGATGATGACGACGACCAGAACGCCGCGACGGCGGATACAAAAGGAGGAACAAAAGAAGATGCCATTGATCTTTGCGATTCGGATTAAGAGTTCCTATCATTCGGGCGCCTGTCACGATGATTTGACGACTTTTCCTATTCTACCTTTTGTCGTCGTTGTTACTTTAATCTCCGCCCTTCTTGTCACGTCCCTCGCCAGATCTTTCACTCCCTCTTTCACTTTCTAGAGAGCGTTATTTTTTTTACCATCCCTCCCGCCCCTTTTGTATTTTTTTTTGGGCCCGGGGTGGGGTTGGGGGGGAGAGGGGAGAGAGGAAATGCAGGGAAACGGATTTACTTGGCTCCTGTCGTCGTTGGTCGTTGATCTGGAGCTTGTGATTCCCGGTCTTCTTTTCCTTTACCTTTTTTTTTTCCTTCCCCCCCTTTTTTGCTTTTCCTTTTCCTTTCCACACACACCTTTTTATTTTGATTTTAATCATTCCTTTTCCCTCTTCCAAAAACGGTGGAGTGGGGGGAAGGGAACGAGAGAGGAGAGAGAAAATAATTGATTTGGACATGGGGCGCGTAAGCATGGATACCGGACTTGGCGCATGCGGATTCAAAGAAACTGGACGGGACCCGAGGGCGTTTATCGAGTACCGAGTGGAAACCATGTCGGAATTGTTTGTTACTTGTTGGCTGTTGTCTGTTGGTTGTTGGTTGTTTTGTCTTTTTGTCTTTTTCTCGTCGTCATGCCTAACGTAGTGCATGTCATCCATCAGCACGTTAGCTGATGGATGAGATTTTTTATTTTATAGGAGTGGTTGGCAGACTATCACAGTAGCTATTCAGAATGGCAGAGCTATGACATGACTAACTTTATGTAAATTGGGAAGAGTGTGTCTAAAATGTGCAGACTGTAAAGTGGGAAAATTGTGGGACATGAGAAGACTGTAAAATGGGAAAGTAAATTTTGATTGGTTTGTCCATATTCGTTCCCACGCACCCAAAAAATGAAAGTGTCTACAGGCAAGAACGTCATCTACCATCCAGGACCGGGAAGAACGCCAGGCAATATAAGGACAGTAGTATAAGATATACATGACTAGATATGTGACGAGAATAGAAGAGAAGTGAAGAGGAGAGAAGAGAAGAAACGGGAGGAAAGGAAAAGAAAAAGAAAACGGAAAGTGAATCGGAAGAGCAGATTATATTCCAGAAACCACAAGGTATGTACTTTGATTTCCCTTCTTTAAAACATATGTACCGAGGTCGAAAAAATGTCCCGTACTTGATTCGCCCTGAAGCGAAGAGAAAGAAAGGAGTATTTTCAAGAAAAGGGAGGGCAACAGGAGGAGGCGGCAAGAGAATGAGAGTAACAAAGATTGAAGGGGAAAAGAAAAAGCGTAAGAGGTAAGGAATCTATCTTTATACTTCATCAGAGAAGTGTCTTTCATAGAGCACATCGGAAGCAAAAGTCAACTCTCAACGCGGTGAGCTGATGACCGGTTGTATTTCTACTCCTTCTTTGACCCGAGCCCGGGTCTTTGGCGCTTGCGGGGTCCATTCTCCTGCTGCTTTTCCTCGTCTCCAGCAGCAGCAGCAGCGGCGCCGGCGCCGGCGCCAGGATCTGTAGTAGCACCATTACCACCGAGGTAAGCCTTGCGACTGCCTCGTTTGCGGCCGGTGCGCACGTCCCGTCTACTGGCGCAGCAGCAGCACATGCCGGCCTGGAAGAGCCAGGCGATGACTGCAGTGCCGGTGGCGATCCACATAAAAGCAAACATACGTGGGCCTAGCGTGGCAATGATATTGATATCCGTGGCGGACATGAAGACGTTCTGAAACACCTTGAACATGACGGTGGCAATGACCGTCGCGACAGTCGTAAGGAGGGCGGCGATAAAAGTGAAGAGACCAATGCCCAGGGCGGCCCATCGCGAGAACACAGAGAAGGGAGCCAGGAAAATGCTCAGGAAGCAAAGCACCGTACCAGAGATGAAGAAGCCGAACATGACGTGCGAGGCAGTTTTCGCGAGGTTCAATGCTGTTTGGATGTTGGCGGGTAGGGCAACTATATCAATTGTTAGCGATTGTTTTGAGAAGAGAAAATGGGTAAGAGATGAGGCAAAAACCATACTTGTTGCGCCAGATAATAACTCATTCAAAAGAATGTCTACGGGATTGAACCAGTACAGAGACTCTGGGTCCGAACACGACGTGACACCCTCGTCATTGTATCCTTCGCAAAAGTTCCATAATCCAGCTTGGTAAAAGTCGTGCAGGCCCAACGTTCGGGCAATACTGTTGATAAGTACCGCATTGGGCACACTTTGCGGAATTATGTTGCTGAGGTCCAGCTTGAGGAAATATGTGTCCTTGAGCACAGGCTTGATTGACACATTGCCGATACACACGAGGATGAGAAAGACAAAGGAGATGAGGAAGAGCAAAGAAGAGAGAAGGCAGAAGATTAGTCGTGTTCGTGTCGCTCGTTTGACTTGTGCCTTGGTCCGACTGCCGTCGGGAGAGTCATAGGTGAGTGTCCTGTCGGTGTCACTGGAGGATTCCTTGGACGCGGAGCTCTGTGGATTGCCGCCGTTGCCATTGGAGTTTGTCGCTGTATTTGTTTTGGAAGAACCCCAACCTTTGTTCCGCTGCTGTCGGCGTACAGAGTTGAATTTGGGCAGTATGGTCATGACTGCGGGCCGGCAGTGGGCAGGCACTCGGCCTACCACGCTTTGAGGGGATTCTCGACTCTGTCGTATCGCCGACGGGGAATTTCTTCCTTGCACAGAATAATCTATCTGGACAATGCAGACGTCGGTATCACAGTACAATACTGGGGTACTGGCGTATTTGCTCGTGTAAAGTGGGACAGCGAGAATATGTATGGTGTTTAGGATGTATGGGGGATTTGGCTGGAGTATACCTCCGTAGTTGGTGACGTATAAGGTTTAGGTGATCTTCTGGCTTTCCAAGGTTGGTTGCCGGAAGATCCTCACGATAAGTTTGGGGAGGACGGAGGTGACGGGGAACGGAGAAAGGTGGAACTACAATTCCTGTACCCCCTCCCCTTTAATCCCAAGGAGCCCGAACGGGTATTTGTGTGTAGGTATACTGTCCTGACTGTATCCCCTTTCCCCTTGGACTCATAACTAACGAGCGCGCCAGAGCAGAAAACTTTCGCACAATTCAGCGTCCAAGCATGGCTCTAGCCCACTAGATCATACCTAACTCTCTTCGCTTATCTTAAAGGGGTTAATGATAAACTGGCAGGGTTACGACGCTTTCAGTGAACCCAACTCCGCCTTGCAAAGGGGCTGTAGTAGAAGCACGACATGTGCTGACTAGATATATCATTGAACTTGAATATAAAGGGTGGGAAGTACGACCGATGATTTCTAATTCTGCTTGACGGAACATCTGTATACCATGATGAGGAGCGCAATTGTTGACGAAAAGATGGGGCCTTGCTTGGAGCTATTCGTTCTCCTGCTGCAACACAGAAAAGTCAGTTGGTCACCATATTCGTTGATCCAGAAACAAGTAATTCAATCTCAAAATCCAGAAGACGCAACTCATGCTCTGGGCTCATCAGGGATAAGTAGTCGGTTTGCTAATCCTTTAAAGATGGTACCCTGTGTGGATCCTCAACCCGTTCCTCTTTGCTAATCGATCTGATAAAACTCTTGGCGTTCTTGTATGAAAAATATTGTTTCGTAACGAGAAATGACCTGTTGACTCTGTTTGAATGAAGAGTTTGCAGATCTTCTTGCAATCAGGTTCTAGAAAACTAATTCTTGAGCCGCGTTGACTTGGCGCTTTTTGGATATTGCTGAATGAAAAACCAGTATTATAAAAACGTGGAGTATTAAGTATCAGAACCACATGTCACTCGGAAAGTTTCGTTACAGTGTCTCAGAGCTGAAATCTCCAGAAGATGAGGCTAAAAAGGTTAAATCACATATTCCTGTAGTTATTGGGTCTTAGAGAAATAATACGTAGTAGATATCGGATACACAACGGATGAGACTCCCATGTTTGTGGCTGCCCGGTTGCTTGCCATTCAACGTACATTACTGCGTGATGAGGTAATGAGATGATTAGTTAAAAGATGTGGTGTGTTTGTCAACTTCCCAGCTTGGCCAGTGCTAAAGCCATCTCACAAAAGGGCCAATCAGCTTTTTGTTCGTGATTTGACTGCTGGGACGCGCGTATACCTCATGCATATGGGGAGCCGAGCGAGTCAAGGATGAACAAGCCGAATGGGCCGACGCTCGGAAATACCGACAGACGGCAGGCACGGGCGGGAGGCGCAGAAGAATCGTGCCCACATTAAAGATTCGGCGGATTGCTTCGGGAAAGCATTCGATCCCTGTCAGTAAAGGCTGGGTGGCTGATGCACTTCGTATATGAGTGAAAACTACTCCGTAAAATCACCTAGAAAAGGTAATCCAATGCTTCATTAGCGACCAGCAAATGATCGAATTGTTTTCTGATAGTCTTCCAGTGTGCTTGGGGAAATTGTGTCATTCCCTTCCTCGCTCACATGGATTTGAATTTATCCCAGTCAACGTAATGTACTATTTGAAGAGCATGCAGATCGCTGGGGCAGATCTCAACGTGCTTGCGCGTGCCACCCATTCTATACAAGTTTCACGTCGATCAAGGGTTCTCTTTGAAAGCGTTTGAAAAATGTCCAAGCGGTGATTCTGTGATCGACGTACACGATCAAGCTGTTGAATTTCTTCTGAAATGATCTGGTTATTAGGGTTCCATTCCTGCTGGTGAAGTGGACCCGTGGAAAGAGACGAGATACAATATTTGGTATAAGTGGGACGCCTAAATGGCCAAGGCTTACTCCGTAGTTATAAGGTAGTTGGCTAGTATGGTTAAGGAGAAAGGCCCAAAAGGGGACGAGGGGTGAACTGGGCCTGTGGGTAACCCGTCAGCCATGATCGACCGGCGTCGGCCAAGCGGCTTCGTCTAGTAAGCTCCAGGAGAACTGATCATCTTACCTGTCTGTCTGTTCCCTTTTGCACCCACGGGTTGTGAGTTGTTTCCTGCGCCCTTTTTCCCACCTTCCCCAATGGACAATATTTGACTCTCGATGATTTATGTGACCGGCTAGGGTATTTGATCGCTTCTCGGATCTCTTAGCCGCTGCCGTTTTCAGCAATTCCGGATTGTATCACTGTACAGAGGTAGTGCTGTAAAACTGTCTACTTGCCGACGTCATGCTCCGACTTTGAGTCTATTTTTTTCTCTTTCTCTCTAAAAGCCCAGAATGGGACGCTATTTCTTTAGTCTGACGGTGTTTAGTTGTCCCCCCATCTCTTTCCCCCCCCAATTCCCACTTGAAATTAGGATTAGTGTACATATTAGATTCTCATAATTCTTGTGCATGTGGAATAGTGCCTTACATCGTCCCACATCTTCTCCATCATCCTCTCCACTCCTCCGTCTTCCCGTGTTGATGTCGTTGATCTGACTACCTACTGGACTGAACATCATCGGCTTTGTCGAGCCTGCATAGGCTCTTTTCCCTCCTGTTCATACCGCTGTGCTGCTCATCTGGCTTCTTGTGCATAGCTGAAGAGTGATTGTAGCTGAGGTGCCATTGCATCTCTACAGCTTGAGATCCCAGTTGTATTGTCAGTCTGTTATTCCGTCTTGTTGTTCCTAGATCCCAGCCGAACCCTGTCAGTCAGGTTCAAGAGCCTGGAAATTTTAATCCTGTCGTCCGTTACCAAACGCCATGCTTTCGCTCGCTCGCCTTGGGTTCCTTGCGCTTCTTGCTTCATCAGCAGTGGTCAAAGTAGCCGCCGACGATGATAGCACGACCTCTCAGCATTCCTCGGCCTCCAGAACAGGCTCTCGCTCGATAGAGACCTTGACAATTACGGGAACGAACTCTCCGACAAATATTGGCCCAGATGGACTCCCAACGGGCTCAGGCGTCAGCTACATCTCTTACGCAACCACCGTCACTGTTCCCACCAGCACCTCGACCTCGACCGGTACTTCAACTTTTGGGACATTGACCGGGTCAGGCAATTCGAGCACGTCGACAGTAGTCACAGCCACATCGCAATCCGTAACGCTCCTGGTAGGCGGGAAGCTGACAACTACGGCGGTGCTAAATGGCACATTATCATCCAATGCGACAGCCACAATGACGGGCAATTCCACGAGCACTTCGACTTCAGCAGCACCCACCAATACTCAACCTTGCAATGGCTGGCCCGAGTTTTGTGAACGCAAGTATAGCAACATCACTCAGGTCGCCGCCCATAATTCCATGTTCGACCGACCTGGAAATGCTGCAAGCAATCAGGCATTGGACGTCCTGACTCAACTTGATGACGGAATCCGAATGTGTATGTTTCACATAAATAAAATGTCAAGGGCCACTGCTAACCCATTGTCCTTCCATTAAAGTGCAAGGCCAAGCACATCTCGTCAATGGTACCATGTATTTTTGCCATACCAATTGCGATATCCTCAACGCAGGACCGGTCGAAGCATACCTCCGCAAAGTAAATGAATGGGTGCTAACGCATCCGTACGATGTCGTCACTATACTGCTTGGAAACGGAGACTATGTGGACGTTGGCAACTTCTCGACAGCTTTTGAAAATTCTGGCATTGCCAAATTCGCATACCAGCCGCCCAAAATTCCCATGGGAATTGACGACTGGCCAACCCTTACAAGCATGATCCTCACCGGCAAGCGGGTTGTCGTTTTCATGGACTACCAGGCAAACCAGACAAAAGTGCCCTACATTCTCGATGAATTCAGTCAGATGTGGGAGACTCCCTTTTCTCCAACGGACCGCGATTTTCCATGCGACCTGCAGCGTCCGCCCAAGCTCAGCCCAGACGATGCCAAGAAGCGCATGTACATGGCCAACCACAATCTCAATACCGAAATCAACATTGCCACTCTCGGCGTCAACATGCTTGTCCCTAGTAACGTTCTGCTCAACGTAACCAACAATGTTACAGGATATGGCAGTCTGGGTCTGATGGCCAACAGTTGCGAGAGTAAGTCTTTTGCTTCCCCATCTTAACAAGATATTTTTACCTTTCAAGAATGGACAAAATACTAAAGTGTCGTAATATAGCTCAATGGGGACGCGCACCAAATTTCCTTCTTGTCGACTATTACAACGTTGATAATGGTACCGTCTTTGAGGTCGCCGCCAAGCATAACAATGTTACTTACAGCGGTCCATGCTGCGGTCTTGCTCGCTCTGCCGCTTTCCGTCTCGAAGGTTCGATTTTCATCGCCACGGTCGTAGCTGCTACGGCCATTTTAGCTCTCATTTTGCCGTAAAGCGATTCGTGGGGTATCCGAAAGATCCTACTTGCTCCTTTCTCGTTCTTTGTGATTATTTTGAGCTGCCTTTGGGCCGCTTTTTGTTTAAAGATGCTCTCCTCCAGTTCTTGCCATTCTTCCTAGGGAAGTCCTTCACCGATATCTTCAATCTCCATTCTCTCTCCCCCTGCTTCACGCATTGCATCGCGTATTAGGAGTTTGGGACTATTCTTCTTCTTGTGTTTCTTTCATCGGATGCATTTTTGGACAGAAATGAAATTTGGTATTTGTCTGATTCCGTTTGATGCTGCTTGATGGAAATGGAAAATAGATTTTGGAGCTTTTCTTCGATTGCATCGCTCCTCTCTTTGTCTTACATTCCTGTTAAGACTGGTTTGCTTCTGGGAATTTTGTATAGGCTGTATAGGGTATACCGGATAATGTACATTCAGGTATGAACATTTTGTACAGCACATTGTTCTGGACTGTCATATAGCTGCTTGTGTATAGTTACTAGAGTGTTCTGTTTGAAAATACACTGTTTGGATCTAATAATATTCTTTTCCATTTCTTTGACCTCAAGGCCCGAGGTGTTCATAACATTAATATGTGTAAGTCTATGGAATCAATCGACATTGGTTGAGCGCCGTGGCTGATGCTAAACAGTAAAGATATTGGACTTTTTAGGAGTCTAGGGAAGAACCCCTGTGCATTATCAATGTTTCTATGAAACATTCTAGCTCCGGAGATTTTCAAGCCACACTACTATCTATCAGATCTATCAATGCATATCTCCTTCCATCGCAGGGCGGCCCCATTTCTCCATCCACTCAGACGCAACCGCTGCACCCGCTGTGATACGCTCAGATGGCTCATATGTCAGCATTGCTCTCAGGAGTTTCTCAAGACACATAATTTCGTCCGGGACTAAACTCGCACGTCGCAGGATCCTCTCCTCGTCCCATGATGCGCAGCCGCTCAGTCAGTGGTCGAGGATACGGTGCATGGACACGATGTGTGTCCGTCTTCCATGACCCGTCCTCGAGAAAAAGGTCTGTCTTATGCTCCCATCGATCCCACCAGCGCTCTGGCAGAGGTCCCAACGTGCTTATCATTTCTGCAACTACGTCATCTTCGTCTGGCATAAATCCTTCAAACAGAGGGCGTTCGCCGAGGATCTCGTAAAGGGTGCATCCCAGAGTCCATACGTCAACGGCCGGGCCCAGATGCTCGTGAAAGAACATTTCTGGTGGGAGGAGTAAGATTGGCGTATGCAAGTGTTGCCGCTCCTCTTCGCTTTGAAAGAAAGCCTCGCCGAAATCTGAAATGAGGACTTGACTGTCAACGACTTCCTCGCTTGACTGGAACATCAATGCAGGTGGGACGCAGTATTTTGGGACTTCTGGGCCCTTGAGACCTCCATCTAGCCGCTCTACTGGCAGCTTTTGAGGCTCTTCTACACGGCGATAGAGTTCTTCAGTGGTGCACCAGCTGAAGTTTGAGGATATGAATAGAATGTTGTTGGAGTGCAGATCTGTTCAAGTACTCTATTGTTAATGCCTTCAGAGCTATCTAGTATGATGCCACATCTTACACTCTCGGACTTACCACCGTGTATTATTCCACAAGAGTGGATATAATCCAATCCAAGTAGAGCTTGGGCAGATATCGCCCTTGCCACCTTGGGAGTGAACTTCCACGTGATGCTGGCTTCTTTTGATTGTGCAACGCTACAGCCAGCGGCTTCATTCACTATACACAAATGGCTGCCATTTGGCCCATTGATAGTAAACTCGTCCAGTAACGTCGACACGTATGCTCGTCCTGGATGGTCTGTCTTGCACGAGCTTAATGCGCGTAAAACTTTTCCCTCCGAGTTTTTTTCAAGGGCGGCACCGACAAGAATCTTCAATGCAACATATCTGGCTTGTAGGTGATCTTTGGCAAGCCAGACGGTTGAGTAACTCCCATGACCTAGCTTGTGGACGACTTCATAGCGGTCGTCATGATACCGATCACCGATATGTGTTGGATGATAGCCACCAGGGCGATATCCTTCAAGAGACTCAACACCTTCTTGCCATTGATAAACAATCTGTGGTAGGCTAGTAGAGGGGCTTGAAGGCTCCATGGTACGATGCTGGGCGTACAAAGACAATGTTCTGGAGTGCTGTAGAGAGGATACTTGGGGAAATATGAAATATTTTCTCAATAATTGTGAACGTGAGAGCTTCGGGAGAAATATATTTAGTAACGACATCTGACGAGCAAGTCCATCAGTTTCAGCTATTATTATACGGTATGAGACTGCGCGATATCAAAAAAGATGAATCGGAAAGGGAATCCGCAAGATGGTGAGTTGCATGGGGGTTGCCTGTTACGCGAGAAGCACAGCGTCGAGAAAAGAAGCATGAGGCCAGCCACGGCTACACAGCGTCTTTGAAATCTTACGTGGTCCTCGATGTCAAGCCGAGTGGCTATACGAAACCGGATAATTCTATAGACTTGAGAGGAAAGGAATTATGGCCTGCTGAATTGGTTTCAGAGGACGTTTCCCATAATGGCTAGTGAATACTGACAAGATCATCTGCTTGATAGGTGATTTTTAGAGATAGCAAGACAATTAGCATGGCTACAAGAGCGGATAGAAATATATAATGGTATTAGTAACCAGAAATTGTTGATCTTTGTGTGAAATACTATACCAACTCTGGAATTATTTTGGAGTAGAATTAGATTGATCTAAATTAATCTTTTGAACGTGGCAAAGGGCCTACTCTAATTCTCACATTTTGCTGACTGATTGTTGACGTACTTCCTGAAAAGGGAATGTTGGTAGTAATCACAGACCGTGGAGGCAGGTTCAAAAGACAAACCCAAGGGTGGTCTGGTTCTACTTTCAAAATCCCACACTTGGTCCGGGTTGACTGTGTAAACAACCAAAGACCACCGGTTTCCACCAGCCCCAACGGACACCCTAGAGTCTGTGATGCTTCCTCTTAGCATGAATCAGATGCCATTATTGATTCTCCGCTCTAACACGAGGTTGTCTGGCCAGACGGGTCTGCCTCCATAGCCGAGCGCAGAGTCATCCCTTTCTTGGCTAGATGATCTGGCATACAAAAGAACTCTTGGGTTTTGTGGATCAATGTAACCATGCGCAGTTAAATGCTTCCCCAACTGTTTCAGTCTGGCATCTTTGAATGATATAGTGATATGCGCGGGGTCGGAGAGCCAATTCCCCCGAATTGTCGTACTTGAGTGAACAAGGGAGCTGCCCAAACTTGTTAAATCATATTATCTTGGAGGGACGCTGGTCGAACATACCGAATCAATATTTCACAAGCTCCAGCATTTACTGCCATGGTGGTCTCGTATGCCAATTCCTAATTACTTCGGCGGCACGGGGTCCCATAGGTTTTTGAATTTTCCAGAAAAACACGACTTGTAGATCGTCCATGTTCGTGGAATAGAAACTAGATGCTGATCATCAGTACAATAATTAATCACAGACTATCAAAACTGGGCTGTGTACCATGAGAATAGAGAATTTATGAAGAAAAGGCCCATCTGAGCGTGGCAGTAGATGAAGAGAAATAGATTCGTATTTCAAAGCCAGAGTGCGAGTAGCAGGTTCCTTTTATACACATCCACTGGGACGTTCCTGCCATCATTTCCTCTCGTGACATGGCAACTGCTGGTTGTTTTGCCTTCACTATGATGGCTCCTTTGGATTAGGGTGTCCGTTAATCTGGTCTGGGTTGGTCTTTAAGGTAAAGACCAACCTCTAGGCTGGGCGTGGGTGGCCTTTTTAACTATACAAATCTATGCATAAGTCTGGTATAGATGTGAATATTTTGGGCAAATCACCAGCATTCTCAGCATACTTTTGCTGAGTGATTGTTGATGTATTTACTAAATGGATAATGCTGGTGGTGACCACAGACCGGTGGAGGCATGTTCAAAGACCGACCCAACTAGTCTGGTCTCACTTTCAAAATTCCACACTTGGTCCGGGTACGCTGCACAAAAGATCAAAGACCACCAGTTTCCACCGGCCTCAACGGACACCCTACTCTAAGTCCAGCGCGCCGCTCACAAAATTGTATACAGTATGAGACCTACGAGAAGAAATAGATTGATTCTTCGATTCCTTTTTGCAACTGCTTCTGAAAGGGTCTTCTTCGTCGGGAATGATTTACGGTCTACATTGGTAATTTGTCTCTGGCAAGCACATCAATTGAACCTCTTAGAATTAAAGCAATGCGTACTATGCATTTGTTACCTATTCTAGGATAGATAGATGGGCACAGAAAGTATTCCCATATGATCCTGATGCGCCGCTCCGATCGAAGATATCGGACTATGTGAATATCGTAATTGTCGTAGCCTCATTCATGGCTGTGATGCTTGCGCTATAATGAACTCTGAAAAAGAAGAAAAGAAAAAAAAGAAAATAATCAAATAGGAAAAGCAAAACAACTTTCGAAAATCTGCCAAGGGTGAGTAAAGAAAAAAAAAAGCTTGATCTCTCCACCCCTTTCCGCCATTCTTTTGCTCCTTACTGAGAAAGGCCTTTTGATTTGAATTGAGAGCAGCGTCAAGATGGGCAGCTACCGAATGCTCGCGGCTGAGACGGAGCAAAGGAGGCAAATCAGGGAGTTCCAAAGAGCGCCTTCTCAAGCTCCTCGCTCAAAAGCTGGTCCGAATCGTCTACATCTCCTTCTTCGTCCAAGTGAGGCTGCCCCTCGTCATTCTCGGGCTGAGGCTCAGACAGCTCCATAGCATCAACTGTAGCTTCAGGGTCTTCATGAGCTTCGCCCTGTTCGGGCTCCTGGTCGAGGTCCCGTACACCAGGACTCGACGCTGCCGCCGCTGCCGCCGCCGCCTCCCTCGCCTGTTGCCGGATAGACTCTTGTGCCTGTCTCCGTCTAAGTACGACTGGCGCGGCTGAGTAGGCTTTACCCAACTGGTGGTCATATTTGGCGCTCTTCGTCATGTGGTTGCGGTCTAGCCAATCATAAGTACGTTTTTGAGGATTTGAAGCTGGCGGTGAGGGTGCAACGGGCTCAGGAGCAGGGGCAGACTCGGTCAGGTCAATGGTCTCGACAGTAGAACCCGACGCCTGAAGTGTACTATTGTTGGAAAGACGGTCATCGACGTTGAGGCCGGGCTCCGTTGCCGCAAGATTATTTTCAAGCGGAGACTTCTCGACTAGCTCTTCATTTATAGGCGCCGGATTCATGGAGCTGTGAGGATCAACGGCCAATTCTGAAACCTGAGGCGCCATTTGGCCATTCAAGCCGCCAAGATCAGAAGAGTTTGCAGTTCCACTGCCTGCCTGTCTCAAAGACAAAGAGGTAAGCGCAGATCTCGATGCTTCTCCGGTTGAGGTGGTCGGGGGCGACGCCAGCAAGGCAGGGTCAACCTGGCTGGACGATTGGGAATCTGCGCCCTGTTGGTTGAGTCCGTCTGGAGTGCTGGTTTCCTGCCTCAAACTTGCGACCTCTCTGGTTTTTGCCTCCAATTCGGCTCTCAAACCATCGACTTCTTCCAGTAGCATGGTTAAACTCGTCTTGCCACCTTGGCTGATCCGAGGGACCGACCAGTTGACCAGCGCCAGCTGGGCTTCGTCCTTAGCCTTCTTCAACTCCTTCATCTTTTCTCTACTGGCTTCCAATTGCTCACTGAGGCTGCAATTCTCCTCTCTAAGGGCTTCGACTTCGGAGATAGGAGCTTCGATAACGGGGCCAGGGATATCAAAAGAGGCAGGGAAATCAAAAGAGCCAGGAAGTTGCACACTTCCACTTGCGTCGTGGAAACGTGTAGTGCCATAACTATCTGGCGTGTAAACCCTAAACTCACGCCCTTCATCAGTCATGTGGACGGAGTGTGAGAGTCTTCCGAATTGAGTAGCCACAGCTGCGAGTGAAGGTCCTGCCATCTCGATAAACCGCAGCACCTCTTCTGCTAAGTACGGATGTTCAGCGCTCCGAATCTGGAGGCAGTACAGAATAGATCTGAAAGTATCACGAAGGGCTGGAGTCAAAGGGAGGGATGTGACATCTGTCGGAGAAGGGGTAAATGAAGCGCCAATAACAGGTCCAGTACTCCTGTCCTGGAGTTGAGAATGTTCAAATGAATTCGAGACGTCTGAGATCGAGTCACAATCAGAATCCGACTCAGTGTCGTATTCCTCCAAATTTTCGGCTTCGGTTAAGGGAGGATTTGAAGGAGAGGGACTGCGGTGTTCCAGTGAATGAGCCAACTCGTCGTTTGGCAGGGCAACCTGTACGGGTTCGGTGTTTCCTAGAGAAACCTCGCTCATCTGCGGCCTCATAATGTCCATTGCAGACTCTGTGTCTTCGTAATCTGCAAATTGCGATAGGTACTGTAGGGCTGACAACCCGTCTTCGTCCAACGCCAATTCTTCGCTCATACCAAATACAAGTCCATCATTTCCAAATTCAAGAATCTCGTCCTCGCTTTCCGAACTTTTCACACCAGATTGAGAGGACTGTGCGAGTTGCTCTGAACGGGCTTCGTTGTCCAGAACAATGGACTGTTCGCCCGCTCTTGGAAATTCAAGACGACCATTTGACACGGAAGGCTCGTGGTTTCCTTGGCTAAGGTTCTCGTTGTTTTCCCACGGTACTTCCGATCCATTCAAACCAATATGCTTATCGTCTGAACCAGCATACCTCTGGAGGCGTGACAACTTGGTATCAATATCGGAAGAATTAGATGGATCGTCTGACTGATTCTTCACGCCACCGGCGATACCAATGCCATTCTCATCCTCGAATGGAGCTATGAGCTCGTGCGCATGGCTCCGCGCTGCGTCGTTTTGTTCGGGTACAAGAGATTGGTCCACATCGTCCTCATCGCAAGTGCCATCATAGCCATAACGCCGACGAGACTGGCCAATATTAGCAACACCAACGAAGCATTGAATACTAGAGCCCGCAAGCGCCTTAAACGCTTTTCCTTTGGCAGAAATACCACCACCTCCGTTCACAATAATCTCTCTCAGAGGGGTCGAGCTATTGATAAGTCGATCTTTCGGGAGCGTAGAGATTCTGTTCAAGCCTTCGTAAAGGCCAGACTTGGCAGCTGGGAGACATGACGGCCCATGTCCGCTTTGTTTCGCTCGTCGTTCTTGGGATGTACGCGGGTTCGAAGAGCTATCGAAGGAACCGGACTGTGAGTCGGGATGATGTGTAAGTCCCAGAGCTCTACGTCTTTCTTTGTCCAAGCAGGACGCATCTGAAGAAGCATAAATACCTTCCACAGAGTGGCTCTCCATCTTCACAAGAAGAGAGGCCACACCTTAGCAAGCTTGCTAGGTTCGGTCAAGTCTCAATTTACACCAAGCTGGTCTAGGCAGATGTAACAAATACCATAATACGCAGCAAGGATATCTTTCACTGACTTGAGGTAGGATATAGGATGCTCACGTTTTCAAAGTGTCAAGAAAAATGGATACTTTGGAACGTGAGGGTCAGGACTTGAGGGAGACAGGAAGCTCCAGCGCGAATCAAAACAATTTCAATCACTAAGTTGGCGTCTCAATATGCGTGAATCGTTGCCGGGAAGATGCGGCTCGCTTCGCACACCTCGTTGTGGGTTTATCACAAGCGACTGACGCTAGTCCTAACTAGTGCTTAAGCACCTGCAGCTCATGGCTGCCCCAGATCGTCATTTGCTTCACATCTCCTGGTCACTCTACTCAAATTGTCAAATATTTCTTAAACCCCCGCCGCCTCTCCCCAGTTGAAGCTCTGTCAATATCTGGATCAGGAGCAATGAGTGTCATTTTGTGTACAGGTAAGTTGACAATGGTCCCATCCCTTTTGCTGAACACTTGGGACTAATTTATATACACTCTAGCTGGCTACGATCATACAATCCGGTAAGCTAATGAAAATGAAATGTAAAGGGAAACGCTCTTGCGTTTGCCTTTTGCTCTCTAAATTGAAATGTTTTCTTTTCATTCAATGTTTTGTTTTCTAATTGGATCTTAGCTTCTGGGAAGCTCTTTCTGGCATTTGTTCGCGCACCATTCAACATCCTGATTCGCAAGTCAACCGTCTATGCATTTCTCCCGATAAACGTTTCCTTGCAGCTGCAGGCCATCACTCAGTGAAGCTCTATGACATCAAGTCAACGAATCCTAATCCTGTTCTTACTTTTGACGGTCACAGCAACAATGTGACCGGCGTGGCCTTTCATTGCGAAGGAAAGTGGATGGTGACGAGCTCAGAGGACGGCACCGTCAAGATCTGGGACACTCGTTCAGGGAGCATTCAACGCAATTACAGCCACGGTAAGCCGGTCAATGATGTCGTGATTCATCCAAACCAAGGAGAGCTTATAAGCTGTGATCGCGGAGGAAATGTACGAATCTGGGACCTTGGGGAGAACAAATGTACTCACCAACTCATCCCGGAAGATGATGTTTCGGTAGCAAGTGTAACGGTTGCAAGTGATGGTTCAATGCTCTGTGCTGGGAACAACACTGTAAGAATCTATCTAGCATTTGTCCGTTTTGAAGTCATTGCTAATTCGTTTACAGGGCAATGTCTACGTGTGGCGCATGATCCAAAATAAGGATGTCACCTGTCTAGTTCCGGTGACCAAGTTTCTTGCGCATCATCAGTACATTACTCGCATCCTGCTCTCTCCTGATGTTCGTCATTTGGCCACTTGCTCGGCAGATCATACTGCCCGTATTTGGTCCGTCGATCCAACCCATCCTCACAATGTGACGAGTGCAGATGCATTACCCGCCAATCGCGAGCCAAATGCATTTCCTCTCGAAACAACTCTCCATGGCCATCAGCGATGGGTATGGGACTGCGCTTTCAGCGCTGATTCCGCATATCTTGTTACCGCATGCTCGGATCATTATGCAAGACTGTGGGAACTGAGCTCACAATCTATCATCCGCCAGTATAACGGACACCATCGTGGCGCTGTGTGTGTGGCGCTAAATGACTACTCCGAGATGCGTTAACCAATCCTTCCTTCTGCATTGGCGTCAAGCGGGTCTATACTTGGGAGGAGTTTTGGGTTCAATTTACTCTGAAACATTGTTGATTGACATTTTCTTGTTCATCGAATCTACTCCCGTGGAGGAGCTATTTCATGGTGCACATGTCGCGTGGGAGCTAGATAATGGGGATGTTTAACGACAAATGCTTTTTTCTACTATCTCAATACATTTATTTTCTAAGATACAAGAAAATCTACAAAGGCTCGGGGATATCTAGTGACAGGGAGAATCATAACCAAACTACACGTCGAAAGCAACTACATCTTGATAAATCAAAACTCCGAAATTGCCAGTCTCCGAACTCCGGTATGCAATGGTGCGTGCCTTTTGTCTCATGTGTTTGAAGGGTTCTAATCCCAACCTTCTCCCCAATTGTCTTCATCTCCCCAAGTCTCTTCTTTGGGCTTTATGTCAATCTTCTTCGTTACTGTAGCTTTCGGCTTCGGTGCCGCTGCAGCCAGCCGCTTAGCACCAGGTTCGGACCCGACACTTCCAGTAGTACTTGCTCTTGCCCCACCCGGCCGAACAGTTGTGCTTGTTGAAGGGCGGGTCAGGCCCTTTGGCAAGGTTGATTTGGACTTTGACTTGGTCTGTGCATTGAGCCAGCCAGCAAAGTCCGGCTCACCTCCATCATCATATGCCACCGGTGTGGCAGTCGGCTTGGTGTTCTCAGATTTTGTGGCTGAGGCATCGGGAAATGCGGTGTCGTCCATGTCACCCCAAGCATCAAAGTCATCATCAGCGCTACCCGCTTCTTTCCCAAAAATATCACCATTATTCTGTGTTCCCGAAGGGCCCGCAGCAGGTTCCACAGCAGATGACGGACGTTGAAGCTGAGCTGAGACCGACTCGTGCAATTTAGAGGATGCACCAAGAGAGATAGATGATTGTGCTCCTTCTACTGCAGGTGGCACAGAGCTGGGCCGCCCATCCTGCAGTTTTGAGACAACACTAGGTGTGTCTTGTATATTGCCTCTTGCAGATGATAGTGTATTGGTGAATGAGGAGACAGCCCATCCTGCCCAGGAGCCGTCAGTCTGCGGAGTAGCCATCCTAGGTGTAGCACCGTTGCCAGTCTCAGATGGCTGTGGTGGTGGCAGCATTGTATCCGGAAGAGTTGCACTATACTTGCGAACCCTTTGGAGGAAAACATCCATCGTTTTGTTGGCTTGGTCCCTTATGAGTCTGGTCAAACTATCAGTATAGAAGAAGATATAGGGGATGAAAGTAGTCATACTTCTCTTTGTCAACGAGAGATGGACATATTGCCGGTAGCAGACGGGTTGCACACTCTTCCTCGCTGAAGAGATCAGAGGTAGCGGCCAAAGAAAGAAGAGCCGCATTTCGTGCATGTATAAATGGATCTCGAAGTGAACGCGTGAAGGCTGCTAAGAGAACTTTCTGCCTTGTCTGCATCCAGTGTTAGCATCGACTCTAGCTATTCGATGGAGAAAGACCATACACTAGCCCCGAGATTCTTTGCAATCTTTCCGAGACAGACAGTCGTGTTCGTTCGAATCCCCGGCTGCTCATCGTTTGCTGTCTTTGCTAAGTATCGGAGAAGTTCGCCATTTGCGGTACGATCAGACAGCTTAGAAATGACTGTCAGGACAGCTTTCACTGTTTGTTCACGAACAACAGGTGCTATATCCGTGAAGCCCGTTACCTGCAAAGCATTCAAAATCAATACCAGGAACGACGTTAATGTCATGAGATACACTTACCATTTGAGGAAATATTTTATCATTCACAATCTTTTGGGAAAGATGGTCTATCATCAAGGGCAGATTGTCAAGAAGGCAGACACGAATGGCTCGATCAGGGCTGGTAAACAGTCGAACAATGACTGGGTTTAGTTTTGACTCATATTCGTCATCTGATAATTTCGTGCCAATCTTCATGACAATGGCGAAGACTCTGGCGCCCCCTCCTCCAAATTCTACAGATTTAAGCAATTCTGGCAGGACTTTCATCTTTGTGAATTCCTCTGGAAAATCATCAAAGGCATTATCAAGTTCACTGTACCAAATCTTATGAGCTCAGATGTACAAATTTGGAGGAGGAACAAAACATACCTGAGAAACTCATCTCTCTCCTCAGCATCCTTTAAACCTAGATTTTCAATCCCCTCCGCAAGTCGAATGAGTGGCGTTTCAAAAAAGCCGCCAGTCCTCTTCCCCTGTTCGATGAAGTGTGCAACACTGAGGCGGACTCTGGGATTTGAATTTAAGAGCCTCTTGTAGCTCTGTTGCATAGTTGGGGGAATATTCTTTGTTTGTCCTGCTTGACTGGCCTCTAAGAAGCTGCCATTGAAAGACTCATAAATCAATGTACCAAAATTGTACGAGTCCACTGCATGTGTCGGGTTATTTCTGATACTATCCCATCCAGACTTTGCAACTTCAGGCGGCGCATAGCGGCTCAGTTCTGGGACGAAACCCCCATAGCTCTGGGCCTTAATTAGTTTACCATATCGACTGCTCGGGCGAGGCTACTTACATATATAACCGCATCATCTTCTTTAAGAGAGCTTAAAATATCAAGACCGCCAAGTTTCCATTCCCCGCTTTCGCTTGTAAATACAGAAGAAACCCGAACATTTCCATGGACCGAGGTGGCTTCGTCGTTGATAAATTTGAGAGCTTTCTAAGGAAAGTGTTAAAACCCGTCAACCTACTGAGCCAAAGTGCAACGTACAGAAATAGTGAAAAGACCCCACTTGATGGACTCTGTTGTTAGGCTCTTTCGACGAATGTGCCATTCCAAAGGAGTAATGCGCTCGGTCGCTATGTAAATATAGGTGTCTGTCTAATATATCGGTCAACGTGACTCCGCCCGAAGAATAATTGATTTGACGTACTTCAACAGTCTCTAGCACCTTGATGATTCCCGGGTGGCGCAAGGTTCTCAACTTTCGGACGGCATTCCTGGCCAAGGGAACGTACGCTTTATTGGCGACTGCATCGAAGGAGAATATGCTACAATTAGAGCCGTCCTCCTAGATTTCAACGCAGGTCAGTCCGGATCATCAAGGGAAAGGAGAATCAGGGTATACTGACGCGTTTTGTCCCATTGTGCAGTGACCATACCGACTGACTCACGTCGACTCGATCGCCAAATGAATAGGGAAACGGGGGCCCTTTCGATATAGCGGAGGCTACGGCGGACTTTAGAAAATCCATGGGTTCTGGACAGCTTGAGAACGGCAGCTATGCATCAGAATGTCAAATTCACGTGTCGCTGTGGGAAGAGGAGGTGGAGAGGTCCCCTTTGAAACTATCAAGTGTGAAGGCCGCCCGAATTATTTCGACTGGGCAGTCTAATAGAGACGACAAAACAACAATTGGTCCTCGGTCCAAGAATTACAAGTAGCGAATGAACGAGGGGACCTGGGGGGAAACAGGACAGCCGATACGCGCGATTGACGACAGGCGGTGGAGGATAAGCGATAAGGGCCGCGGGACAGGTCCAGTTAAGGAAAGGCGCGACCTCTGAACTGTTCGTGAAAATACAAGGGAATTAACGACCTACGTCTTTGGCCCTTTTACTCCTCAATCCACTATTCATCATCGCCAGCCCAAACGGTGTGCTCATAATATGCGACTTTAGGGAAATTCGAAAACCCCAGGATGCTTTTTCGAGGTGATCATCATTGATCAACACATTTCAAGTTAGATTTAGGCGCTGCAACGGCGGGAAAGCAACAACCTATTAACATATGGTCACTGAAGTAGAGTCGCGCTACGCGAGCTTCGGTTGATCGCAGGATCGCTGTCCATTCACGTTGCAATCTGCCTTTCGACGGACCTATGTTTGCATCATATTTTGACTGCCGTCTTCGATGGCCCTGGAGCCATCAAAAAGAAGATTTGATGAGTCGATGAGAGGGCAATGGGTAATCAGCAGTCATTTGAATCAGGATCAAAAGACTCCTCTCCCGCACTGAACGCGTCGCGGCACAACTCTCCTATTGCTTCCCGCTCCTCGTCGAAGGTAAGTGAAGCCTGAAATTTATGTGCCTACATTTCCGTTTTTTCATTATTTTTGTCAATATTTGCTCTTTCTGTTTTTTTCGGGGTTCTCGCCAAAGGCTATTCCTTCAAAGTTGTCTGTGATGAGTATATGGTAAAAGGTCAGACTGCATCACGGGGTCATGATGGTTCTCATCTTTTCTTCTCTGGTTAATTATGGACACCGCAATGAACCAGCGCTCCCTCAGCCGGTTAGAAGAGGCGGAAATCTGGTCAGTCTCAATTGCTGGACACCTGCTTTAAGGTAACGCTTTAGTTGGCAAGATGTTCGAATCAAAAGGATTCTGGTTCGAACTCTGAAATTGAAGCGCAAAGCAATGTCATGTACGGTGACAGCGCCATCATATGGGGCTTCCGCTCTCAATTCTTACGGGCTGATGCCAATGGCAAAGGCGTAAATTCTCATAGCTTTCCACCTAGCATTTGAGACTGATCACTGCTAACTAAGCGGCTCTATTCGGATTGTTTTGGGGAGACCGCTGTCAATAATCCACTGGAAAGGACAAGAGAGCCTCTGGCTTCAGCAGATTGATGTCTTATTTGAAACTGAAAAGACCTGAGACTCCTTTGATAGCCACTTTCGTGCTTTTCCCCTTTGGTATTTGCCATAATCGTCGTTTCGGTAGCCAAGCATCGGAAGTTGCTATGCCTCCTGTTCGACTAAAATAGTATTGGGCTGACACTTCGCTATGATCGATAGTGCTCTCTGGACAGCAACTCCAGCGCATCCGTCCATTCCATTCCGCAAGGTTGGTAAATACTTCTTCTATAGTTGTACAGATAGCTAATTTAAATAGACAGAATAGCTAATCAGCATATGAGCCCGCCTCCCTCTTCAGAGTGGCTTTTGCCACTGCCCGTTCCGACTTCTATGCGGGACTGTTGGGGAAATCCATCGGGACCACGGGATTTTCCAACTTTTTATGACTCGGCTCCCTTCCTGAGCAGCAGCGGTCATCAAGAAAATAGTTACACTTCGCCATATTCATCCCATACAAGACGACAGTGGTCACTTGGAGTAAACTCTGGTTGGTTTAGAAGGGGCGCAGAATCCACGATCGCTACGAATTCTAAAGACATGCAATTCAGAATATGTCAAGTCTGCAAAATGCCCCCCATCAGGGAATCAAACCCCGTCCTAAGCTGTTCCCAATGTCACCAATCATTCCATTCTGATTGCCATGTTCCTGCCATCGAACTGCTTCCCAGTGAATGGTGAGTTTAAGCGAGCATCCGGTGTTATCTCGTTTGCTGAACTCCCATTAGTGATGCGCATTTGTGGCGATGCAACCGCTGCACAAGTCCTTCCGAAAACGTCTCAAATGAGAACAGCGACAGACATCTATATGGAAAGCCATTGCCAAGAGTACAATCCCCTGAACCTGTCTGGTCGGATTATCCGGTCGATTTCGAATCTCCTCCGCTTAAAAGGCACAAGACAACCAAAGATCAACGCTCAGGAGGCTTGAGTGATGTAAATAAGGATCCTCATTCTCCAATAAACTGTCATTCGCTAATGGATTTCTTTTTCTGATAGGTTCAGCGCCTAGCTTCAGGTCCCCAACACACGATGCCATTACCATACTCTCTGGGACATCAATCCAGCTACTCTGAGCAGCTACGGCCAGATGACATCCACAGCGTTGGTCTTCCGACACCAAATGGACAATCTTATGAAAGAGACGCCTGGCGATCCGCATCTGTACCCTTTACCAGCCGCCAACAAGTAGACATTGGCTCAAGGAGCGCCCTTTCGAGCCAGGATCATTATGAGATTGCGGCAAGTAAAATGCAATTCACCACACAAACACGAGGACAGTTCTCAGCTGCACCGTCTGTAACGCGCACCACGTCTGCCAACGAGCGTTCTTCGAAAAATGGAATAGATGATTCAAAGGAATTATCCACCGTCTGCAATGATGCTTACCAGAGTTCCCATCCTGAGGATAGCCCCTTTGCTTCACCTAGGCGAATGGTTGAAGAGTCAGCATTCGTACCCTCCCGACACATTGATGGCTTCCATGTCGATCATCTTGGTCGAGTTCCGCAGCCGAACGATGGATTTCATGAGGAGCCAAACACACCTACCCCGCACAGATGGATCCTCTCGCAGCTGACCCAAAATACGGCGGACGGGAAGGCCTTTTTGCATAAAAAGGAACTGTCAGCTAAGAGCCCTTTGCATAAGAGCTCGAATAATGAGTTATCCGGCTTGCATTTTACCGCGATCAACGCGTCCGGATCGATTAGGGAGACTCAAACAGTGTACGATATCGATGAGTCGGAGACAGAAAGCCACATGGACGGAAATCTTCCTTGTTTGGACAGGAAATTATCACTGGCCCGTGGAAGCTTGACAGTCACCGGCAACAGCATTGATGGTGAAGAGGACCATACCCAAGAACCAACCAGTTTGCAGGACTCTTCCGGGAATGAGAGTGACAACCAGCCACGACCAAGCCCAGAGAAGAACAAATTTGAAAGGATTCAGTGCTCCGGTTGCAAGAGTCAAGTTCCATATATCTCAAGCAGAAGCAAGGATAGAATTCAGTGGTAAGCTCTCCTCAGAGTTAAGTTTTTCACGAAATGAAGATTAAATTTTGAAAGTGGAACTTGCAGGACATCAACCTTCCCCCCTCGAATACTTTCACTGCTCAATCCTACGCCGTCCTACTCGGTGAACGGAAGACCTCAAGTGCTTGAAACACCCAGCTCTGCTCAGGAAGTCATTGAAATAGATGAAACGGATCATGGGAAGGACGGATGCATGGATGGAAGGAGTACGCAAGATCCCAATGTATCAGAAACTCCTCGACAACAAGAACGGCGACAGAGCCCCCGCCTTAACGAGAAGAACAATGCCAAAGAGTCGTATTGGAGTTCATTAGATGGTTGCGATGATAATGCTCAATCATCAAGAATGTCCAACACCCCTCCAGCTTCGCGAAAACGGAGGTTGGAAGATATATCATCGGATCCTGAGTTGATCCCCAGCCCAAATGGTGGAGCAATAGAAAGAGAGATCATCGACAAGGAAAATATCGGATCAAGGCCACGGAAGAAAATCAAATTTCTGGATATGAGCATTGCGGGGCAAGTCCCGAACTTTGATATTCTGCGGGGGGAACTTGAAGAAAACCAGGAAGGCTGGAAAGTTTTAGCTCACCAGCGAGAAGAGGCCCTCAGGGTTCAGGAAGAGGAACTTCAAAAAGCACGAGACAAGATACTCGCTCTGGAAGCAAAGGAAGCCGAGATCGAGACAATGCGACTCGAACTGGCTAGGCTCAAGCAGGAACAAATGCGGATATCTCCTTCAAAGATCAGCGAACAAGAACACCCGAATCTCCCCAGGCTCGACACAAGCGACCCGGCCTCTACAGAGTGCGAGGCGCCGCAAACACTTGATGATCCCTCTAGCCCTCAAACAAACGAAGGACATCAGTTTATTTTATCCGGAGATGATATCTCTAAATCCCAATTTCCGGCAGGGTTTGAGACATTCATCAGAGATCCTGAAAACTTGGATTTTCGAGAAAAAGACTTTCTCAAAGCATTCCCGGAATTCCATCAAGACAATGTATGGTTTGATAGGGCAGCCAAGCTCGCGGAGATTAGAGCACGGCCTTCCCGAAAAGAGTCTTTTGGCAAGCGCCTCGCATTTTCCAGAGCAAGTCGTCACGGAAACCTCCATCATGAATTACAACGGCAGGCCCCAGCACCAACGCAGAACGAAAGCTCATCTGAACGCGACCCTAGCGCGAATCGACAAAAGTCCTTCCAAGAGTTTTTTGGTATACCAGAGAAAGTGATACCTACAACCCATGAAAAGGGGCTGGCATACCGAGACGAGGCTCTTGTAAGTCGTACCCACCTCCCTTTGTTACAATTTGCTATCAAGTCTTTTACTGATCTGTATGGGCTGATTTTTCTAGACGTCGAGCGGAAAACTTCGGCGGGCCAAATTCATGCATAATGTTGGACGAAACCCACTCGCGTAAGGCGGGCTGATGAGACGCTGATCCTGTTCGACTTACAGGAATAGGCAAGATAGCATAGTTTAGGAATTATTCGGCGACTGGGAGTTTCAAACTTGTCGCAGGTAAATGCTTATTCAGCATTGCGAGGTGGATGGTTTTGTTCCATTTGGCAAGCGATTGTGGTAGTTGGGAACTTTGGCAACTTGGGCATTTCTTTTATAACGTATCATATTAGCGTGAGCGGCATATCTTTCCCTTTGCGTTTTGCTTCGTCCTCATCATCATCATTGTCATCATCATTCGTCTCTGCAATTTTGAACTTTTCGGATGATTTTTCAGCTTCATGTTACGAACGATATGGATTTATCACTGTATCCTCTTTTTCCTTTCCTACTATATCTTATTCCCGAAACCCGGTTCTCAAGCCAAAAGGGGTTCTCAACATGTTGTATGATGGCAGACGGACAATGTTCGCAGCAACTTGACCTCTTTCGAGGACAAAGACCTCTAGAAGACTAGATCAGAACATTCAAACGACTCTAAAGTTCAAAGTTCGAGAATGCACCATATATGGTAACGTGACTTATGTGACTATGTCTCCAGGTGGTTCGGCAAAAGTTGAAATCAACTCGCTTTTAGTGTTTCCGTATCAGAGTCAGACAATGGCAGGATGTGTCCGTCTCTGAAGACTTAATTGTAAGGATGCAAGGGCAGGTGTGTCACAAAGCAGCACTGGACCACTGATATAAGCAGGCTGCACGCCGCACGCCGAACGGCATTCAGATAAAAAGACAACAATAAGGGCAATATATTCTAAATATGCGCGCAATTTTGGAAAAGAAAAGAAAAAGGTCAATTCCAATCCAGTACGAGCTAATTGCTGCAAACACATAAGGATAGCTTTACAAAAAATTTAACTCTGCGGAGTACAGTACTGTACATGAAACGCGGTGTCATAAAGCGCTCATATACGAACCGGAGAGAGCAGGGAAAAGAAAAAGAAGAGAAATTTCGTTACAAAGCAGTTCCCCTATGTTACATAGCGCTGAGGTATAGAACGGATTATGTTTTTAAAGGCTTGAGGATGTTTTATGGGTCAGAACCACTCTACTGCTCGATTTGGCCCTCAGCAGGTACCAAGACGTGCTTCTCCTCGAGCAACTTTGCGAGTTCTCCGTTCTGGTGCATCGACATGAGAATGTCGCAGCCGCCGATGAATTCCTTGTCCACGTAGAGCTGGGGTATCGTTGGCCATTCGGAGTATTCCTTGATGCCTATTGCATGGGCGTCAGCATATATTGTCTCTTAGATGTATACGATGGCCGTGCGCGCATTGTCAACGACCGGCGTAGGCGACGGCATGGGCATCGGGCAAGGACAGTTGGGACGGATAGGACAACGACTACTACTAACCCGTTCGCAATTCGTCATCCTCAAGAACGTTGAAGGCGGTGAACTTTTGCGGGTCCACGCCCTGCAGACCCAAGATCTGGATGCTAGCGCGCGAGAAGCCGCACTGAGGCATCTCCGGAGTACCCTTCATGAAGAGCACGACAGGGGCGGAAGCAACGGCCTTGTCAATCGCCGAGCGGGTCTCCTGCGACAGGAACCGAACGTTCAAGGGCGTGAGTCTGGTGAAGTGCGGGATGGCGGACTTGGACGCCACCGGCCGGATGGGCCGCGAAGCTTGCCGGAAGGCCTGGTTGAGTGACTTTGTATTAGATTTCAAGAAAGCCACAAAAGAAAACACCAAGAGAGAAGAAGGGGGGAGGGGGAGAAGGGAAAGTACTGACAGATGAGAGAATTGATCTCGAAAACATTGTTGTCTCGTAGGAGGAGGTAAACACCACTTGGTTTTAGTGATGTCAATTGTCAAGTATTTACAAAAGGCGGATGTTGAAGGGCGGGTTGGCGGCGCCTGGTGTGAATGATGTCGACAGCGGGAAATAGTTTATTAAGCTTCTCTTTGCTACGGACAGCAGGCCAATCACAAATTGTTCCGGCGCTGCATTGCTCAGCAACGCAACAAACAGTCATCATAACGAGTCCTATCATAATATCGCATTTCAAATAAATAAAAATTGTCTTCTGGCTGCAGAATCATTTCTAGTACCAGTAAAAATATCGAGAGGTTGTTTTTGGCAATGGCTACGTCAAATTCGACAGCTTCTGCATCACAGATACAGAGCAGTATCTCCTCAACTCCGTTCGTCGCAGCGGAGCATATGAATGATGGCAAGAGACATTTGCTCCTGGCTGCTAGTGGATCTGTAGCTACTATTAAGCTTCCCAATATTGCCCAAGCTCTGTCTCGTCACCCAAATTTATCAATACGCATTTTGGTCACTCAATCAGCAGAAAAGTTCCTGATAGGACAGAGTGCAGAGCAACCTCATCTGGAATCGCTTCAGAGTATTCCAAATGTTGATGGCATTTACCGCGACGAGGATGAATGGACGTCTCCGTGGACCAGGGGAGGAGGGATCCTTCATATCGAGCTGCGCAGATGGGCGGATATGTTGGTCATTGCTCCTCTCTCAGCTAATACGCTTGCAAAAGTAGTCGTTGGCCTTGCCGACAATTTGCTTACGTCTGTCGTACGGGCCTGGGATACTACGGGTCTGATCGATCCTGTCTGTGGCAAGAAGAGAATCATAGTTGCACCAGCAATGAACACCGCCATGTGGCGACATCCCATCACCAAGCAGCAGATCCGTGTCCTTGAGGAAGACTGGGGTGTCGATGGGGGCCAGGATGGGTGGTATGAAGTACTCAGACCAATGGAAAAGGAGTTGGCATGTGGCGATATAGGCGACGGTGCCATGAAGGATTGGAGGGAGATTGTAGACATCATCGAGCAAAGGCTGAATCTGTCTACTTCTGCTCCCGCATCATAAAACCTTTCCAAAATGATACAACCACGGCAGAACTTATCAAAGAAGCATCGCATCACATTGGAGTTCGGTATCTATGAGTTTCTGGAGTTCAGGTCAAGGCGCAGGGAGTTACTGATAAAAATGCTTCTAATATATTTTCCTGGCTAAATGTCTAAATATTGATATCTTCGACTCGGTAATGGTCTGCGACAATTCTGTAAAGATATGACGGCGCGTGTCCACCCCTAAGAAATGTATTAGTAAAGTGGTATCATCTTCAGGTGGTTGAGAAACTTACAAATTGGTAATATAAAGATCTACTAGCTCAGCTGGTACATAGTCAAAAAGCGGGTTCTCAACGTCGACCTTCTCGACAAGATCGCCGTCTTCATAACTGAATACTTTGCTGACGTCGCCGAATTCAATCAGTGACTCAAAGTCAAAAGGATAGACCGGGCTGAGCTTGTAGACGCCCGATACAACAACGACTGGAGTCTTGTGGGTCTTTGCTGCCTTGGCAATTGCTCTTGTGCCGGCTGCCGCAACTAGACCGCCGTTGGCAAGGACGGCATGGGTGCCCAGAATAACTTTGTTAACTCGGGACATGAGGGCGAAAACCGCTGAATCCGGAATGAGAATGACTGTAATGCCGGCAGCAGTAAGGGGCTTCTGGAATGCTTCAGAGCTGAGCTCATCCTGGTTTTCATTGACCATCTTGCCAGTCACAGTAGCATGAGTCGCTTCATGATCGTTAGGGTAAGCTTCGGCATGGACGACGGTAAATTTTCTCTTCCTTGCAGCGGTAAGAAGAAATTTTTGGACCGTCATGGAGGAAGTGTGGGTCAGAATGATTTCGTTTGAATGTATGTGATCCAAAGCATAGCCAGCAATTTGCTCATCGACCTGGTCCAACTCATCAATGATCTCTTCGATTCCTCCAATCACTTCAGGTCTTAAATCTTTTTGTGTCAAAGAGGCAAAAACAGCTTGTGTTGCCGAAGTTGGTCTCCCAGAGGGTGACTGAGTTCCGGATGGAGTTGCCGTGGATGAAGGCGTTTCAGGGTGGGAAAGCAGGCTAAACATGGAAGTGGCCATGGGAGCAGTCGCGCTGGCGGCATAAGACGTGTGCGATGTTAGAAGCGGAGGTCTTTGTGCTGAATCGGCAACAAATTTGGCAGTGTCTGGCTCTGCCACAGTTGGATCCAACGGCTCGATGGCACCATGTCGTAGCGGGCTCAACGTAGATATGCTTGATGAGAGCGGCGGCCGGACTCCTGAAATCCTAGGTGTTCCCGGCTGGCTATCGGTTCCTGGCTCACTGAGTGCGCTTGCGTCGGCGTCGCGATCTTCCTCGGCCTCCTCTCGGACTAATCCCAGAATTCGTCGAACGATATTCCCAATCGAAAGCTCGCGCGGTTGGGCTGCCTGCAGCCTCTGTCCCACAAGTTGGATGCGCTCAATAAGTCTTGACACGTCGGTCCATCGGAATGCGGAAACCACTCTGAGAAGAAGCTGTGCTGTTGCTACAGCACACGGTCGTGAGTTGCGAATCTGCCTCCGCTTCAAAAGCCTGAAAGAAAAAAAAATCAGTGAGAGAATTGACAGATTACTGGATAAAAGGCACATACGAGATCAGGTGCTCAATGGATGCCTCTACTGGGGTTGACTTCAATGACTTCAAGAATGAAGACAGCCCCGGTGAAGCAACGATGGTGGGTGAAGGCATGATGCTGCAGCTGCACCCTGCGCAAACTGAGGTAGTGGGGCAAGTCGCGCTTGCTGCTCCGGTTGAGTGTTACTTCCAGCGGGTACAAAGACCACAGTCCCCTCAGAAGCTTTGCAGCAATTTTCGAGGCAGAAATTAGGACCTGATTATGGGAGGTGCAAGCTCCGTTAGGCGACGTATGCGGTGGATTTGGAAGATTGAGGGCTTTCAAACACATGCCGTTATTGAAGGTGAATCACTCTCACAATATGCAATGTTTATCTTATCAATCAACATTTTTACCCCATACCATCTCAATCATTGCCTAATTAGGACTAGCAAGTGCATGGGCCCATCATGAGCAATGTCGTAAACATTCAACAGCTGTTCTTCATTAATTTCATTGTCCATCAGAAGGAACACAGGATGCCATTTATTATTACTATTTCTGAAGAGAGGCTATTAAAACCTTCGTAATATTATACAGCTTCATTAATAAAATTCTGGCATTTCCCACTAGAAATACTAACGTATCAACAATGGGAAAATAAACATTCGACAATCCAAGAATATCCGAATCAAAATTTATTCATGGCTGACAAAAATATGCCTGATATATGATCGTCTAACGCTCTCAATTTTTGCCGTAGATGCGCTGGATCGTCTCTCTCGCGCTTTCAGGCTTGAATGAAAACTTATCGTTGTCCCATGGACCAGGAACACGGCCGTTTCCACTTCCCTGTAGTTGTCTAAGGGACCAGTACAAGACTGAAGCCTCGTCACCCTTTTTACGACTCTCGTCTTGTTTCTCTGCCGCCTCGGCAAGTGGCAAATACGTTCGATCATATTTGCTTCCTTGTATCTCCTCTAAAATATCCAGCAACTCTGCATGGGAAACGTTCTGGCCAATCACTCTGAGTTGGCGTTCTGCTTCATCATTCTCAAACGGCAGCAGAACAGATTCCACGATGTAGCGTACGATGCTATGTCTCATGTTAGCATTCCAAGAATGTTTCGTTCACACCAAGACGACTTACTCGGGCACCGCGGTAAGGGAGAGAATGGCGTCGGGCGTGCCATAGACGGTGGATGTGTGCTTGTCGGTATCTACACCCAACGGAGGGATGGCCGACCATTCAGCGAATATGCCATTCATAAGCAGAGTGTATCGAAATCCTGGGACTTCTTTTGCTTTTGCAACAAGATGATCGCGCGTCACACGCTTGTCTCGGAGATATCTGAAGTCGACGAGGTCGTCGTGTCCTACATCAACTCCGAACTCGGAAGGATAAAAATGTCGGACCCCAGCAGCTACAGCTGCTTCGATCATGGCCGGTTGAAGTCTCATGATTGGGTTTCCTGCCAGGGAGATCACGACAGAGAAGCCTTGATGCTGGTATTAGCCAAACGTGCAAATGAAAGCAGCACTTCAAAAAGAAAATCCGACATACCTTTATATGAATTGGGGTCCAGGAAAGACCCAGTCACCACGTCTATTCCTCGTTTCTGGACATCTTCAAACTTTTTGGCTCTAGACGGGTCTGCAAGAATTGCGATTCTTTCAAATTTCGATTTTTGTCTGATAAATTCTTCCACAAGAGGCACTCCAAGTGAACCACTGGCACCGATGAGCAAGACTGAAGGAGCCATGTTAGAAACGCAAGCAATTGTATTGAGATTTGTGCTCTAAATGTATAATCTTGAGTATATGAATTGGCATTGGGAATTCGAGGAGCGACGCATTTTTATACATTTGCGGCGGTCGGCGCAGAGAGTAATCAGCAATGATTTCAGCCGATTGCGACACAGTCAATTCTAGAAACAGCTATGGCCCAGACGAGCTTTGTTGAAGACTTGGAGGGATGGTTTCATCATTCATCACCAAATTAGAAGGGAAGTCATGCTGCAGTGTAACAACAAACCGCCAACGGCATTTCTAATGAAAGTCTCTAGCCAGAGTTGGTTAAGAAATGGTAATTATAACGTCTAGTAATACGCTTCCGATGGCTCAGTAATCAGTCGCCTTTTCCCACTGATCATGTGAATGGTTCGCAATGGTTTCCAACTATAATACTGAAACCTTTTTGCAGCCATGGTGTTTGATTTTTCTTTTGTGAGGCTGACAAATTGACCAATTATTAACCCTGCTACCGGAGTATGTGCACGGAGGTGATAACGCCTTGGAAATCTCAATGGCCACCCACTGCACTCGTGGTGGCTGAAATGATTATCAATAAGGTCTTCTAAAGAGAGAGAGCTTTGCGAAGGAATAGCGACATGATCGGTGGAGCTGAAGGAATCGTTACAGAATGGGCCTTTTTCCATGTGGGGTAGAGTGAAGCTCAACATTTGGGTTCGTGGCCAAGGAATACGAACGGCTATATACTACGTATGATCCGAAGCATCCAAGCACTCACTCAACAGACACCACTAGCTAGAGCCCTGAATATTGACCACAGTCAAAGTAACAGAGGTAAAATGTGTATCGAAGGAATAGATCATGTCAGTAGATTTAATCGTATATTATCATTAATTCAAGGTTCATACCCTGACCTGCTGGGCTGCCGGCATTGTTTTTGTTTCGTCGGCGAGAGTTTAACCGTCTTCCGAGCTCAACTCAACCTAATTATTGTTCCCCACATCATCATCCCCGTCAACATGTGTTGATTCAAACCCTTCAAACACGAGTCCAACTACAATCTCGTCGATTCGAATTGCTTCAAGCCTTGGATTATATTTCCCACGTGTATTCTAGACAGGTCTTGGAGCGCTATCAGCACTACCCCGGATCATTCAGATCAAACGGCGCAACAGCTCGATAACGCCCCCCCGGCTGCATCGACGACAGCTGTCACGCTGTGCAACGTTGCCAATTGCGCTATATCCTGGACACCCGATAACCGTCTCTTCAACTGCTAAATTTCGTTATTCATGGCTCTTTTCAGACGATGAACTCTCTGAACATCCTTTCGGCGCGGGTCATAGGCTCGACTCCTCCCCAAACACCGATAGGTTCGCCATCGACGTCGCGAGGTGACATCACCAAAGAGGACCAGGATCAAGCATATTTTCCTCCAGAAGCATCTGCATTAGAAGACGATGCGCTGAGCTCTGGAGAAGTTCCTGAAAAAGTACCGGCGGAGGATTCCCCATACGGACCTCTGCTAGATTCTTCGAGTCCTTCGGCCCCATCGGCAAGCGCAATGGACGAGAAGTTGCCTCTTCTGTCCGAGCAACAACCGGGACTACTGACCCGGTCAAAGCGCTCTAGCTTCTTGCGCATACCTAAATGGTTTGCAACAACCGTCGCGACAACGGTGAAATGGATCTTATCGACTTTGGCAGCACCAGGGATATACCTGGCTGGCTGCTTCTACGATGACGCCGGCAATTTCTCCATGTCGATGCCGGCACGCCGTGTCTACCACACTGTGCTACGTACGATACGCCCCAAGGACACGATGCAGCGATTAACCCCGCTTGATGACGATAGACCTCCAGCGAAGAACGGTAGGCAGCGATCAAGTCGAAGTCGGCAAAGTCCAAAATCGTCGCGGCGATCACTTTCGGCAAGCTCGTCGTCTTCAGCAATAACATCAGAGTCGGAACTGGAGCATGAGCGCGAGCGAAGCAGGGCAACAGCATCATCGTCATCATCATCTCCTCGTAATAATCGCTCCAAATCCTCCTCATCTGCATCCTCGGAAGAGATTGCCCCCGCGCGTCGCTCGATTCGCATCAAATTATACAATGAAGAATCGCTCAAGCAGCGCAAACAAAAGAGAGCCGAGCAGGCTGACTCGAAGAAAACCTCAAGCACGTCTACGGGCGTAAAATACTCGCCAACACCACTCACCGCCGATTCCATAAAATCCCCCACCAGCGCCGCATCTTCTCTCCGCGTCACCAAATACCCCCGCGCTCCTGCCCCGCCTCGACCCTTGATACCCCGGCGGCAACCATCATATTCCTACTCGAGCCCCTTTTCTCCTCAAATTCCCCAGAAAACATTAATTATAGATTTGGACGAAACTCTTATTCACAGTCTTGCCAAAGGCGGCCGTATGAGCTCAGGCCACATGGTCGAGGTCAAACTCAACGTGCCCGTTGTCGGGGCCACCGGCACCACCGTAGGACCGCAGCATCCCATTCTGTATTATGTCCACAAGCGGCCCTATTGCGACGAATTTCTTCGCAAGGTACATGAACCTGTTTCTTCGTAATAATTTTTTCAACTTCGTTATCTAACCCCAACACCCAGGTGTGTCGATGGTATAACCTCGTCGTGTTCACGGCGTCGGTGCAGGAATATGCCGACCCAGTCATTGACTGGCTCGAGCAAGAGCGCAAGTACTTTTCCGGCCGGTATTATCGCCAGCACTGCACCTTTCGCAACGGAGCCTACATCAAGGACCTCAGTTCCGTCGAGCCCGATCTGAGCAAGGTCATGATCTTGGACAACAGCCCAATGAGCTATGTCTTTCATGAAGGTATTTCTATCCTCATAAAACCTCCCTTTTTCATCACCATCATTCTCCCCCGTCATTATTACCTAGTTCTCCATCAAGGTCTCGTTGCGATGCTGACTGATCCTGCTTGTGTGCCAGATAACGCCATTCCAATCGAAGGCTGGATCAATGATCCGACAGACAATGACCTGCTTCATCTAATACCCCTGTTAGAAGGGCTGCAGTACGTTACCGATGTCCGGGCACTTTTGGCACTACGCATGGGCGAAGCCGTGGCTTAATGAATGCATTTGTTTTTTTCTCTCTCTCCTACTAAACTTTTTTTTTAATTTGATTATATCATTTGTAATCTTCTTTTCCCCACTTTTCTCGACCCCTGTTTCTTTCCTTCTTTTCTTTCCCCTTCGTCCCCGCGTAGTTTTTTCTGCGCATCTTGTGGGTTTGGTTCATTTGAAAGCGCCATAAAGGGAATTATCATCATAAGTTAAATAGCGAAACATGTAATGATGTAAGTGTAAAGATGTCCACTGAGATGCCTGTTCTTTCTCCCTCTATTCCTTTCTTGTTCTTGTTTGGGTTCTTATTTTTTATTCTTATTCTTATTCTTATTTCTATCTTATTTTTTTATTCTATCTTATTCTTACTTTTTCATTTCTATTTCTATTATTATTGTTTTTCCTTGTTTTATCTTATTATATTCTTTTATTTCAGTTATCTCCGTATCTTTCCTTCTTCTCTCGCGACCGACAGGCAGCTGGACCAGGGACATGGGACATATCTTCCCAGCGCACGTTTCTGTAACTAGTATTTGGTATATTCTTTTTCTCGGCGAGTTGCATAGTCTTGGCAAACAATAAACCTATATTATTATCATTATCATCATCATTGTCATTTTTATATTTATTATTATTTTATTCTCATTCTTATCATTGCTATTGTTTTCATTATTATCATTATCGAGTCGACTTACTACGGTAAATCAAACCACATTTTGCTATTCCTTGTCTTTGCTTTTATTTTCCGTCTTGTGATTCGAGTCATTCGACATGCATGTAATATGCAATATGCGAGATGCGATATGCGAGATATGCAATACAAAGTACGGAGTACAGGTAAATTATGCATTAATGCACGTTTTGGCAACTTAGCCTTGACTCTCCACTGCTGCATCTCAGTCCGAGGCGTCGAGACTGTCAATCTCGAATCTCAGTCTCGAATCTTCCTCCTCGCTCCCCTCGTCCGTCAGGGATCGGTTCGGCTACATTCGCTTTCCTACGGAGGATGGACTAGCAATCAACTATTAAATAGTGACAGAATACATAGGTTGGTAGTACAATAGCGGAATTAGCGCCGCGTTGAAGATGATCATCCGGAGATACAGAGGTACTACGTACAGTAGTCCGTAAAAAAAAAAAAAACCTTAGAGCAACGATAGCTGCGGTATTGACCTACCTACCTACCTAGCTTGATATAGCGTACCTCTGTACAGAGGTAAATACCTTACGCAGTTCTCTGTAAAAGTAACGAGTTGACGGTCACTGAGGCCAATTGGTATCCATGGCATTGTGCAGAGGTACGGTGATGTTTAAAATAAAGTGAAATGACTCCGTTACAGTATCTTACTACTGACGTACGAGGGATCTCTCGCGATATAAACAGTGTTGTACGTAAGAGATAAGTGACAGAGTACGGAGGTACAGTGGGGAGAAACTTAGAGTAGGAGTGAGTTAACTAGTAGGTAGTTCGATAAGGACAAAGGGAAGAGAGAAACGGTGGAACAAAGGCCCCGCGGTACGGATAAGACATCTGCCGAGGCTTTTGATGGGCGAATATTTTATCGAGTGGCGTTGTTTTTTTGGTCGGCGGCGTCATGTCGGACGCTGTGGAAAAAAGAGTCATTAGTTCTGTAGGGGGGAGAGAGGGAGCCTGGAGGGCGATCTCGGAGGGACCAATGTCGGATCCGCTAGACCTACTCCAGCAGGTCCCTCGGTCAGTCAAACTGAACCGAAAGTCAATTGGAGACGAACAGTCCTTGCAGTCTGAACTCTTGAAGATTTCCTTGGCATATTATTTGTTCGATCCTTCGTCCTTCACTGCTCTTAGAATTATAATTTGTCAGATATTTAAGATCTCAAGAATGAGAGACAAAGCTTTCCTGTAGAAATCATGTCTTGATAGAGGTGTAGTACTGAATGAGGATTACCAGAGGAATGGTTTGGGCGTCGAATTGATTTTCCTGGGGGTCCGTCTGTTTGGCGCGACGCTAAACCGTCTCGGCTATCAATCTTGAAAAATGTCATGAAAGCGCCCTGTCGGTCTATCGCTCCCCTTTCGCCGGCCTCCCGCCGCGTGAGTCAACTTGAATAGACACTTTGGCCGCTCGGGAGGTGCTAACCTATTCCCCAGTTGTAGTATTTAAAATGCCCCGCTGCCTGTAGATACTCTTTGCCGCCATCTACCATTCTCTTTGTGTGTTTCTTGTCCTCATCCAAAGGAGTCATTTGTTTCTGCATTTGTTGATCAAGTGCCCTAATCTGGCTGATCTTTGAATACGTTTAATACCCACAAGACAGTAATTGCCCCACCTTGGAGCATTTCATCGTTCGAAAAGTTGTTGTAACTCCAATTTGATTCTCTCCCCGCAACGTTTCCTGTTGCTTTTCAGAAACATAATCGCAATCGAAAAACAAAATGTCTCCCTCTGCCGTTCAACAGCCCGAGAGCATAACGGAGCTCAACTCGGCCGCCGTGGCTCAGAATATTGCTCAAACTGCCCCTTCGATTGCGCCGGCTTCAGCTACACCTGCGTCCACTCTCCCTGAACTCGATGCCTCCCAATTGCGCAAGAACCTTTCCGCTGCGCCCCGCGCCGTGCCTGACCGCAACTCCCCCGAAGTGTGGTCCATGTCGACATGCACCGACCATATGGTGACTGTGCGCTGGACCGCGGATAATGGATGGGAGGCTCCGGAGCTTAAGCCGTATGGCCCACTGTCTTTGATGCCCACTGCATCTTGCCTGCACTATGCAACCGAATGCTTCGAGGGCATGAAGGTCTACCGTGGCTATGATGGCAAACTCCGCCTCTTCCGGCCAGACAAGAATTGTGAGCGGATGGTGCTGAGTTCGGCACGGATCGCCTTGCCTGCCTTTGATCCGCGTGAGCTGCAAAAGTTGGTCGAGGCTCTCGTTGAACAGGACGGCTCCAAGTGGCTGCCCGTGTCCCAACCGGGCCAGTTTCTGTACATTCGACCTACCATGATTGCGAATGCCCCTGCCCTGGGTGTGCAACGGCCTCGCGAGGCCCTTCTCTATGTCATCCTTTGCCTGTTCCCCAGCTTCGATGAGCCCACTGGTACGCAGGCCCCTGTGCCTGGTCAGACTCTGAAGAAGCCTGGCTTGAAGTTGCTGGCTAGCCAGGACGACATGGTGAGAGCATGGCCAGGCGGATTTGGTTTCGCCAAGGTCGGCGCCAACTACGGACCTTCGTTGATTGCTCAGAACGAGGCCAAGCAGCGAGGCTACGACCAGATCCTCTGGCTCTTCGGATCCAATGCGGAGGTGACCGAGGCTGGCGCGAGCAACTTTTTTGTCGTCTGGCGCACCCGCGATGGCGCGCTTCAACTCGTGACCGCGCCTCTGCAGGACAAGATCATCCTCGACGGTGTGACGAGACGTAGCGTGTTGCAGCTTGCCCGCGAGCGTCTGACCAAGACCTGGGAAGGCGACGGCATTAAGATTGAAGGCCTGGAAATTGTTGAGCGCAAGTTCACCATGAGCGAAGTTGATGAGGCTATCGCCGAAGGTAGATTGGTCGAAGCGTTTGCCGCTGGTACTGCTGTAAGACTCACTCAATTTAACCCTTTGATTTTTTCTGCAAAGAACCTACTATTCTTGTTTGACTGCTGCTAACGCATATATCTCCAGTTCTTCATCGCCCCTGTCTCTGAGATCCATTTCCGCGGAAAGGACCTTGATATCCCTCTGGCGGCTGGCACCACCGGTCATTATGCTGCTCTGCTCAAGAACTGGCTTAGGAACATCATGTACGGCAAGGAGCGTCATGAATGGGGCGTTGTAGTTGAGGAGACTGCTTGATCACTGTGCATGTCTGCTGGGAGCAAATCTCGGACCTTGAAGAGCACATTCTCGAAGCCTTGCAAGATCATCCACGATCTCTGCATCCTTCACACAACCATCTTTTTCGAATTAGCTGCATATCCATGGCGTCTGGGAGTTTGAAAAGGCTAGCTCATGGAATTTCAGTCATAGATATGGAGAATCATATAGACAGGTTTTGGATGATAGTTTTGTAAAGTCTTCTAACAGAAATAATGTTGAATTAATACTTGCCATGCTATTTACATTCTTCGCTCAAGTGCATGTATCCTGGTGATGCCATGTGACTCGTCGCTGTGAGAAAGGATTAGCTTCTAAATGATCCTTAAATTAAAAGCTCTGCCAAGTGTTGAACGCCATCGCTATGCACATGTCCCTTCGTAATGCGTTATAGTGTCCGAGTCTGACTCGAGCCGCAAAGCAGTCTAATGTGGTCAGCAAATCAAATCTATAAATTTCCTTTTGAAGCATCTCTTTCGAGCTTGATGCGGTTTGCCTCTTCTTCCATTTCTTCCCGCCTACGGTAGGCCTCCTCGCCAACGCTCTTTTGTCCCTTGACACGCTGTCGTTCTTCGTACAGTGCGCGGCTCTTCAGTATGCGCTCCACAATCTCACCCGCATTGACGTTTGCAAAAGCGTGATCGCCAATTTCATGGTAGATACCCATCTCCTTTGGCGCCGTGTAAGGATCGTATGTCAAAGGCATAAAAGATGTAGGCCCATGATAGACGGCATGCGGCACACCATAGGGAAGTGTGGTGAGGTACGATTTGCTAGGCGCAAAAGGGGCCGAGAAAGCCACCGCATGAATGTACTGAAAGACGGCGTTAGTCTGAGCCGCATAGCAGATAGCATTTCCAGCCAAAGAACAGGAACCAACAGGTGGCTTTCAGTTAATAGTCAGAACTTACACGGCACTGGAGGACACAGAGCCCTCTCTCAAAGATATTCATGATTGGATAATTGACTCCCTTCCAGTAATTAATGACCTCGTCATCATGAACACCAGCAATGATATATGCCGGGCCGTAGTCTTCTCCATGCTCAGCTTTCCTCTTGTTGGTAGCTTCGTCCTCGAACCAGCCCCGTTTGCGCCCAATTTCATTCTCGACTTCGACAACGTTACGCAAAAACTCGATATGTCCAGACGAGAAGAGATCAAAGCCACCGTCCACGTAAACAATTCTCTGACCCGCTTTGGGGGGCTTTCCTGCGACAAGGCGCTCAAAGGAGCCATTTTCTTCCTGAGAATCGTGCAACCTGGCAGCTAGCGGGGCGTTCCAGCTCCAAACTTCAGGTCCTGGTGCTTTCCCGGTCTCATCACTCGCATATTCTAGAACCCGCTGGGTCATTTCTGCGCCGAGCTTCGCGCGCTCTTCGGCATCTTCAGCACCCTCCTCACCAGACAGAACCTTCTGAAGTGATTTAATAAAGTGCGTCTTTGTACAGAGCAACATCCTGCCCACTAAATCCGTGGTTGAGATACCCGGTGTTCGCTTGACGACAAGGAATCGGCCGGCGGCCTTGACATAACGGTAGCAATCTTCGCCGCTGCTATCTGATGTAATATCATCTCCATGTACTACATATTTGCAGCCATAGTGAGAGATCCAGGGAAGTGATGTCACGTAAGGAGCACAAGGAATTGACCGAGTTGACCAACGGCACGCGTCCACCGCTGCGATACTATACGAACAGTAGTCAGTATTTCAGTGATGACGAGAAATGATGATTGAGTTTTTACCGCTCTTTGAGTGTCATCACCGTTGGGCCCTTGTTCTCCATAATCTCCTCGTCAGAATGAATACCGACCAAAAGTTCATCACCTAATCGCCGCGCTTGCAGCATCGCTCCCGCATGCCCTACAATTGAGTTAGCTAGGCCTCTTATAAATCTCCTGCTACTGACGCACCGTGATGGCTAAAATCAAAGCAGCCGTCTATCCATACTCTCTTGTCCCAAATCGGAATATCTTCCTGCGGGTCAACTGGCCACTGACCGGCCACAGGTACTGCCTCGACGGACTTGCTGGTCATAGCCGAAAACTTGCTTCTTGATCGAGCCTTTCTGTGAAGTTTCGCAGAAGGATTGCCGTGAGAACCACTCTATATTCTCGGAGAAATGACTGTTATAGGTATTGAATAGACTGCACAATTCAAGAGAGACTTCGCAATGGCATGACAGCCCGTGGGGCACGTGGGGCCAGGTGGGATGGTTGCGCTCTCGGTTGGATTCGCGAGCTGAAGTGCTGCTGTATACTTACAGCAGTGCCGAGACCGGATCATTACAGGTTCTGCTCACGGCCAGCTACTATGAAAAGGAAATGCCACTCTTCTCCCAGATCGCCGTTGAAAATTATCATTCTCGTACTCATCATTGACGATATTGCAAATATTTTCGAGTCATTTTCGTAACGAAGATGTTAGGTTACAGATGAGTGCTTGTGCCTGTCTCAATGTACATTTCTGCGACCCTCTTTACGTCCCGTTAATAACCAATTGCTTATCGACGGCACTTGGTGGAGGTGATAGAACTAAATTGACTACCGTAAGTGGGCGTTCTTTGCAATTTTCCTTCCACAAAGTTCTCCTGGGAAAAATAGGGGGTGGCCCCGGGCTAATTATTACTAGCTCATTGATTTGCCGCGAGCTATCAGATAGATTGGTCAACCACAAGACAGCAATTCCGGCATTACACTGTATAGGATGGTTGTTTTCTGAGCTGCAGGGTTTCCCTCGAGCTCAGGCACCGGTCGCGTAAGCACCTCTGCTACACACGCCGTCTCCCCACGAGATGGGCAACCTCCCGACTCAGGGCCCACACGCCGCAACGGTGCCTGTCCACTAGCGTGCTACTGATCCCTGGCCGCCGAGCGGGCACGATACTAAAAATCGCAGGCAGTAGAACTGAGCGAGAAATGTCGAACCCTTCGTTTCGTTTGACAGCTGCGGCTTCTAAAGATGGCGGACAGCTGCGGGCATACCCTCTTAGCACCCTTTCTCGAAGCATAACGCCAGATCAACTACTTTCAGAAAGCGACGCTGCTGCAACGGGCTCAACGGCCTCCTTGACTAGAGCCTGCAATCAGCCGCCTTTATTACGGATTCATACTGCCGATCCCGACTCCCCGAGCTCCAAAGGTACCTGCGAACCCTCCTCGCCTTTGAGCAGAGTGCATACGTGCGAGGCAGCGTCATTAGCATCGGCCCCTTCGACGTCTTCACCAACTGGAGGCTCCCCCAGTTCTATTTCCTTGCGTCATTCATCGCCCTCGACCTCGCCGTGCTCAAGAAAAAGCTCCCTCCGCCTATTCAAGTCAATTGACGGCAGCTCTGAATCTTTCCTCAATAACCTGAGTGCCGGTTCTCGACTTTCGGTAACGCAGTCTCGGAAAGCGTCTAATACACTTGCTATGATTGTTGGGGGCTTCTCTGGTCGTAATAGAAAGGATTCAGAAAACAGAACGCCCTCAATATCTCAGGCGTCTAGTACAAACCCCGCATCAGGAAGCTTCGCAATGGCTCATGTCAACACTCTTTCCGCGTTTCCCAACTCGGGAAATATACCGGTGACGAGTGGGCCATTAAACCCTCAGGCCGTCTATCAGCATATACACGATGTTGCATCAAAGCGGATCGCAACTTTAGATTATCTGAGAAAAGCGTATGTGACCACAAGGACATGGCATAAAGTTTCACGGCATCACCGATACTAATATTTATAAAAGTCATGAGGGACATATATACTGGTTCAACACCGTTCTCTTTAATAAACCCGATGCATCGAGAACTTCATATTTCGAGCAGAAGAAGCTTTCCCGCCGCGCCACCAACTACCTCCTGCTGGGAATATCGTTACCCACTATTCTCGACCTAAATACACAAGGCCCCTACGAATACCTACGGGCACTTCACGCACTACTAGCGGAATTCGAGACTTTCCAGCAAATTCATCCACCGGACGGGTCTTCGTCCTCTTCGCTCTCTCGAGCACGGATACCGCAAATGTTCAAACGTGCAACCCATGCTGCGTCGGTAAAGGGCCGTCGGACGAGCTCGGCGGCTGAGATTGGTTTGCCAATGAGTAGTGTCAGCGATCCGTCTGATCTGAAATCGATGGCCAGCAGTGTCTCATCCGCTGGCGCCACTACATCCTTCTCGTTCACTTCTGGCGACCAGGAGCTTCTTCCTGGAGAGGAGTACACTCATCTGCTCACTCCCTTTCTTCCATTCGAACCGGACTATAACGAAACATTCGCTACACTCTGCGACGTTTTAATTGATTGCTATACGCGTATTATGACTCTAGTATCCTCACCAGAAGCTTGCGCGCCGCAAGTGGATGAGGTGTTCACCAAAGCTGACGCTCGAATCCGCAAGGTCATCATCGCGGGGGTCATGAAGGAATTCGAAGATACAAGTCGAACTTTTGCGAGGACCGAGCTTCGAGGACTTGGTAAAATGGTACTTGGCGGACTGATGTGAAAGTCTTTGTTCATGACGGAAATTCTGTATTTCTCTTTTACCGGTTTGGTGGCTTTTCCAGCGAGGCGTTTGTGGATAAGGCATCAGCAACGGTCTTGCAGCATTTTTGATCGAAGCTGTTGGGGTTTATATGAATCATTTCTTTGCATATTCTAGAGAATAGTTACACGACATGCATTATACGAGATACGCTATCTGGCACTCCATATTCGCATTTCATCAAAGAAGCAAGCATGAAGTTAGTAGTAGGGTGCTTAGAAAAATTATTTGACCACGAAGGAATTGCGGTTCAGCAACTAAAGTGTGCACAAGGGCTCGTGCCTTTATGAGGCTGTTTAAAGGTAAAATATCAGTAGTAGATATCACTAATAAGCTCTCCGTCATCTAACTCCAACTGACGCTTCAACATCAAACAATTTAAGAATCGTAGCAGAGAGTTAGAAATCATTTCTTATTGTGTAACCAACCGGCTCAGATATCATACCCTTAAAATGCCTGTCCGTATAAGAGCCTTAAATGAAGCATATGGTTGTAAAGCGATATTTCAGAACATTCCGCGGAGCGACGCCATGGGTTCCCCCATTGAAGAATATCGATCGAACAATCCCTTACCTCAAAGGCGCAGAGACTTTGTGTGAAAAAGCCCCGCTCGGGTCACTTGGAGATGCCTCCCACAGTGAGAAAGGGAACTGACGCGGCTTAAGCGGCTACAGGTGGCAGTTTTTGCCCAAGACATCACATGAGAAAAGGAAAAGAAAAAAGCACTCCACTCTGCTCGTTAATCTGTATTGGCTGTGGCGGACTCTAGAATCAGAGCAGAATTTGTTATGGGCTTATTCCGTCCCGTTGGGTTTAGAAGGCGAAAAGTAAGCATGAAGCCGAGGCCGGATCGGTATTTCGGCCGCTGACATCACCAACTTACCTTCCTACCGAAGATGACCACCACTAAGGGTAGGCATCAACGCAATGACCTGCAGTAGTACGTAGGAAAATAAATTTCACTCTCTGACTGCTGATCGCTCGAAAAAGAGGGATGCACATGATTCAACCAGTGGCGAAGATTCTGAGATACAGCCCTGCTTGCTCCCATTTTGTTTATAGGGTGGTCAGTGCGGCCCTTATATTATTATCTGGTGCTGTCTCTTGGCTGTGACAACGCGCCTCTTCTCCCTTGGAAGTTTGCGAGAAGCTCACTCTTTGTCTCTACTTCAAACCCTTGTCAACTATAAGACCTTTTTATCACTACTTTTGCCGAAATTTTAAGCCCATCAGCAGGATGCCTATGGAATTGCGCAAACGCAAAACTACGGCTTCAACAGCCTCAACTGCATCGGATGCGTCGCCTTCATCTAGCACAAAGAAGAGAACAGCTTCGATGAAATTGGCTCTATCAAAGGCCAAGTCAGTTGTCATTAGAAAGAAATCCCCAGCCGCGGTAGACCCCGGCTTTGGCCGATGCGTTGTTGGTGAGCGCCTCAACCTCGAGGGGTTTGGTGGCTCGGTGGAAACCCATACGGGAGAGAAGACGACTCTGAAAGACCTTGTTGATAAGAGCGAGAAGGGTATTGCGATATTCATCTACCCAAAAGCCTCGACTCCAGGATGTAAGTCTACGGTTGGGTCTCTTCTTTTCTCCTCTCTTCCCTTTAGACTTCCTTTACGGACATTCTCGCGCAACCCGAAATATGCAAATAATACAAGTCCTATCCTACACGACCTATAGCGCTTCATATCCTCTTTCCATCTCCCATAATGCTATGACGATTTGAAAATTCTAAACCTTTGCTTCGACTCTGCTGACACGAATCAAGGTATCAACCAAGCCTGCCTTTTCCGAGACGCAAGCCCGCCTTTAGATTCTACAGGTCTCTCCATTTACGGATTGTCGACCGATAGTATCAAGGCAAACTGCAACTTCAGGAATAGGTACAAGATTCCGTTCTCTCTCTTGTGCGATCCTAAGGCCACGCTTATCGGCGCGCTTGGTTACAAAAAAGCTGCAGGAGGCACAACTCGAGGCACAATCGTGATTGATAAAAATTCTACGGTCCTTGTCACACTTGCTGGTGGCCCCGGCGCGACCGTTGCTGCCGTTGAGGAGCTTGTCCGGCAACAAGCCGAAGAAACAGACACCAATTTGGATGGCAATCGCGAGGATGAGCAGCTTCAAGCACAAGACGTTGCTGATAAGAATCAAGAAAATCTGGTGAAAGATGAGAAGAGCGGTCTCGCAGAGATTGCTGACAAGAAGAAGGAAGAAGTCCTTGGAGATGGTTTGAGATCTGAACCTGTGACTGCTTAACAACTCGATCAATACGCAATATCC